TCGGAGACGCAGACGAGGGCTCGGAGCGAAGCCTCAGTTGAGGACCTGACAACCTACCGAGGAGTGACAAACCCGACGATGGGAGAGGCAATGGTATTTCACCCAGCTCCAGAACGTGTCCGACGTGCGAGGGAGCCTGCGATTCTGCTTGGAAATGGACCAGCAGAGGGGGAGGAGTCGAAGGTTGACGAAACCGAAGATTCGGACAGCGACGACCACTTCTGGCCACCATCGCCCAAGCGTCCGAGGTTTGACGAGGGCAGCTTACTTGCGGAAGCTGTGCTGGCATACGCGGTAGACGTTGGTGATGCAGACGACGCACCAACTACGTATGATCAGGCTATGCAGAGCGGCGAAGCCTCGGAGTGGGTCAAGGCGATGAACGAGGAACTGAAGGCGCACTCTGACAACGGATCCTGGACGATGGTTCGGCGGACAACGAAAGCTCTGCCAATCGGATGTCGGTGGGTGTTCGCGAAGAAGCGCAACGAGCACGGCCGAGTCATCAGGTACAAAGCTCGGTTGGTGGCAAAAGAGTTCAAACAGAGGTTTGGCGTACGCTCGGTTGTGGTAGCCGAGGCTTACGTGACCGAACAGTTGGATGCGGACACGGCATTTCTGAACAGTGATCTCACTGAGCTTGTCTACATGGAGGTGCCGTATGGCATTACGAACGCGAGGAACATGATGTGCAGACTCGAGAAGGCGATCTACGGTCTGATGCAGGCGGCGAATGCTTGGCACAAGACTATCCACCGAGTCTTCATGAACATCGGATTTCGAAGTTGCGGTGCGGACCAGTGCGTCTACGTGAAGGGCAAGGACGGCAGGTATGTGTACGTATGCCTCTACGTGGACGACATGATCATCGCGGCCAAAACGAAAAAGGAAATTGAGGAAGTCAAGGTGGCACTTAAGAGCTCGTTCAAGATGAAGGATCTGGGCGAAGCTTCGTTTATCCTCGGGATGGAGATCCACCACGACTACTCGACCAAGATGCTGATGATCAGGCAGACGCGTTACATTGACGACGTGGTGAAGAGGTTCAACCAGCAGGACGCCAAGGTGGCGGAAACCCATGTGAGTCGGGCATGAAGCTGACGAAGGCTCAGCAACCGAAGACTCCAACCGAACTTTCGGCAATGCAGCCGAGACCTTACCGAGCACTCGTCGGATGCTTGTTGTACATCACCACGTGCACTCGTCCGGATGTAGCTTACATAGTCACGCAGCTGTCACGTTTTCTGGAGAATCCCGGGCAGCAACATTGGAAGGCCGCGATCCGAGTACTGAGGTATCTGAAGGGTACCCGAGACCGAGGTATCGTTTACAATGGCAACGAAGGCGAGGTTTCGGTTGAGGCGTACACAGACCCTCGACGACCGTCGCTCGGTGTCGGGAACGATGGTGATGATCAGTGGAGCGCCGGTGATCTTCAAGTCGAAGTATCAGCGCACGGTGGCGCTAAGCTCGGCGGAGGCCGAGTACATGGCACTCAGCCTATGTTCCCAGGAGGTGCTGTGGGTCCGCGCCATGTTGAAGGACTTGGGTCATGAGCAAGTGGGAGCTACTCAAGTGTGGGAGGACAACCAAGGTGCGATCTCGCTGGCGAGCAACGCAGGCTACAATGCTCGGACGAAGCATGTCGACATCACGCATTACTTCATCAGAGAGAACGTGGCGCGAGGTATCATCAAGGTGGATTACGTCTCAACTAAGGATCAGCTTGCGGACATGCTGACGAAGGCGGTGGGGACCAAGCGCCTGCAGTATCTACTCGAAGCGAGCGGAGTTATCGGACAAAGTTCTCAGGCAGAGGCTTCGGACCGAGACTTCGGCCAGACCGCTCAGCACTAGCGGCGAGTGGGAGTGCTGGCATTGAGCGCCGCCAGTGCACGCGAGAGTGACGAAGGTACGACCGAGGACTCATGCAGAGATGACTACAAGGAGAACGAAGTGACGGCAGGCATGGCACGTGCCTGGCCACGATGTGATTGGACCAACCGAGGACTAACCGAAGTCTCGGTTGGGTATACCATACTGGAATCAAGTCAAGTCTGGTGTGCGCTAATCAATGTGATGAGAGGCAACAAGGAGAGCAAGGAGGACAACAGGGAGAGGAGGACAATAAAGTAGATTTAGGCTTAACAGTAAATCTCACTTCGGCATTTGCCCTCTTCACCACAAGCAACAGCAAAACCAACAATTGCAATACAGTAAATAATTGGGTTTTCCAATAAAAATCTTTGTTATTGAGTGCCCTCGTTTCCAATACAGTATCATATTGACCCAATTATTGATAATAAATATGAAAAAAGACCGCTTTCATAGAAGTTTTGACTGATGATTCTAGCTGCTAAGGGCATGGATTTGCTCAACGCCACATCCAAGCAAGTATTTCATACCCTAATTACTATTATATAGCTATGCATGAGCATATGTTTTACCATTGCTGAAGCTCGCCGGTAGAAAACAGCTTTGAGCGACCGATAAGACACCGACCGCTATCATAATACTGTGAGCATACAACATGTACAACGCGTAGATTAAGCCTCAGGTAGTCTTCATAGTGAAAGCTTCACTACTAAAATTTGAATATCAATGCGTTCAACGGATAGACAATGTCAATGGGCGTATAGAAACTTAAAACAAGTTATGTTGAATACCCGGTTCAGTTAGTTCGCAACATTCACCCTGCACTCACGTCGTCATTAATATCCTTGCTCGTGGAATGCTTGTGAACTTCACACGCACCGTATGTTATAAAGGACTACAGGTATATTTGAACAACATACATATGTGCCACAAGCATGCCACAAGCACACAGTAAATGTTCGTGGCAGCAATGGCGCCGCTACATCCGTAATGTTTCGGATAGTCGCTTTTTGCGATTCGACTACCGTATTTGAGATCTCATTCTTCAATGAAATTCATTGAAGTAAAATAACTTCATACACCATATTCTTGAAGTTGTGTTGTTGTATTTTGTCTTTGCACCATTTCACCCTTTTTGTGCATATTTTTGGATCTTTCGTGCCAAAAATGTGCGGTTTATGAGCCGCGTAGCGCGCGAGCGTAAACCCTGGCAAAACCTAACGTAGAACACTACCTGCGGTTTTGGATCCGTGTACGTAGCACGTGGGCTTAAACCCAGGCAAACGCTGGAGTAGAATACTACCACCGACACATAATTAATTTTGAAAGCTTTATCTGCATTTTGCAGTACAGAATTCTGCCCGAATAAGGAACGGGTGTATAACTAATAGCCTCACATATTTAATATTATTTTCCAGTCGATGTGGCGATAGGGGGATGTGCAAGGTACTGCAAGGTACTGAGGTGAAAAATCCAGTGCCAATCATCCACCCTCGTTTGAAAAATGGCGCGCATTTAGCGATCTTACTAGACTTCAAACTACATGTATCGTAGTGGTAGACTCGCACTTTTTCTTTTGCACCTCGCCCCACAAGCCGACCTCCTTCCCCACTCCACCCATGAAGTCCACACCGTCCAAGCGTCTCCGCCTCACTTGGTCTGAGAAAGTGGGCATCCTCGACAAGGTGAAGGGCTAGATAATCCCTACGAGGTCGGTCTGTTGACAGCGCTGTTGTGGTGCGAGGATGCCTGGTCAAAGGTTAGTGCTTCGACCATACGCCACTGTTGGAATCATTCCGGACTCGTAGGTAAAGCTGCTCTTCAGTTCATTTTGAAATTACTAAATCAGTACATTGGAAAAGTATACTCAACTTAACATCAATTTATATATTCTGCGTCTTTATATATATCAGGCGTCCCTTACTCGGGCAGATTACTGTAGTTACTTTTTGCGATTCGGTTAGTTACAAGAAGCTAGTCGAGAATGAACCCTGTCGATAATTAATTTTATGCTTCGTTTGCATTTTGGACTAGTTACTTTTTGCTTCTCGAGTAGTCACTAGTAACTAGTCGAGAATGAAAAAGTAACTACTCGAAGCATTATTGTCGAAAGTGACTAGTTTAAAATTAAAAAGTGACTAGTTTAAAATGTGCACCCCCGTAGCAAAACGTGAGCTCGGGCCGCTTGCCAGGCAGAACATTGCTGAGTCCTGGGTTTGCAGCCGCGTGCTTCGCACACGGACAGTCAAACCGCAGGCTGGCTCTCTGCGCTCGCTCGTGACATCTGTCCCCGTGCTGCCTATACAGTTTTCCTTATTAAACTCCAAACCCAGTCGATTTCAATAAAATCGGATTGAAACCCGGTCGATTTTGTGAAATATTGAGCAACGACACGTGGGGTTTGTCGTGTTGGCTGCTCTACTTGTCCCCGATTGAAGTAGGCGTGCATTGCGTTGTAGCTTACTTGAGTTTTGTATTGCATACTGTAGCCCATATCTAACGGACTCTGTGCTTGGGCGCAGAGATCCCGCAATCCCAAATTTCGCTGAGTGGGCGAGAGCTGCGTTCGTGGCCATCTCTCTGCGCTCTACGCAACAGGTACTGAGCCCAACCGTCTGGAGCTCTGTGAGCTTACCCTCTAGAGCTTCGCGGTGGCCACGAGGATGACGACTCCTCCGGCGAGTGGTGCAGCGACGTCAGTTGCGGGCACCCCGTCGACGAGTGCGCATGGTTCAACGCCGAGCGTGGCGGTAACCTCGACGACGGTGACCACGATGGTGTCTACGGCGATGGTGGCAACTACAGGAGCTGGTTCTAGTGGTACTGTGGCTACTGCTGAATCCGTGACGACGACAACGGCGGCAATGCCGCACCTCCAAGGTGGATTCTCGTTCCCTGGAGTGGCTACGAGTGGGTTGGTCCCTTCTTCGGTTGTATCGGTGGCTGGTGTTGCCTCTTCTGTGCCCGTTAGCTATGGAAACGCCTATCCTGTGATGACTAGCATGCAGTACGGCTATGGCTACGGATTTTCGGCCCCGCCAAGTGGAGTATTGCCGATCCCTGGAGCTCGCAGCTCGGGAAGTGTTATCGCTGGAATTAAGGACATCTCAAATAAACCCCCAGTCATGAAGAGCAGCTTTGATTTGTATGCTGTTCAGTTGAAGACCTCTTTGAGTCGGCTGGGGCTTTGGGGCGTGATTGACGGCACGGATTCGCGTCCGCTCTTTGATGTCGGAGGGCAAGCTGCATTTGATGCTCGTGACAATGCGGCGCGTGACGCGATATTGCGTGGCGTTCCTGAAGCTGACGCGGAGATGATCTGCCATGAGGCATCTGCAAAAGATATGTGGACTCGCTTCGAGAACAAGCAGACAAAGCGTGAGTACGCCAACTATATCTTCGCACGCGAACAACTGTATTCCAACAAGTACACTAGTGATGTGAAGCTGAGTGACTGGTTGAGGGACATGGAGTTGCAGAAGCGTGAACTCCAGCACTATGGAAAGATGATTAGTGATGAGGAGTTTGCGGAGATTCTCTTGAGCAACGTGTCGCGCACGCACCGTGAGGTAGTGCGGCAGTTCTCACGGCACTATGTTGTGCTGACTGTGCCTGGAACTCACCAGCTGGCCCCGACAGCAGCTCAAGTGATGAATGCACTTCGTGCCGAAGAAGATCTGGATGAGAAGATCGCTGAGGAAGTTCCTCGCTCTTCCATCAGTTCTGCCCAAAAGAAGTCGAACGGCGGCAACAACGGCAAATCTGCCGAGAGTTCGGGCAAGAACAACGCCGGAAAAGGAAAAAGGCAGCGCGGGCGTGGTAGATACAAATCGAAAGGCCAGAATCAAGAAGGCAAGTCAAATGCTGGTAGTGGCAGCAAGTCTTCGCAAGGTTGCTGGAATTGTGGCGACTTGAACCACATTCGCGCAAACTGTCCGACTGCAAAGCCGAAGGAAGGCTCGCAGGAACAGAAGCAGCCTGTAATTAGCGAGTACAAGCGATGGCAAAACAAGAAAGGTGGAGATGCAAAGAGGAGCATCGATGCGCTGACGGTGCGCAAGGTCGGCGCGACTGCGATTGGTGCTCGTCCCCGTAAGACTGGCATTACGGAGTGGGTGCTCGATACAGCTACTGATGTGCATGTATGCACGGATGTGAACTTGCTGGTGGACCCGCAGCCTGATAGGCAGCATCTCTTCCTGGATTTTGATGGTCAACCAAAAGGAGAACGATTAGTTGGTGATGTGCGCATTCTGATGGATAATGAGATGACAAACCAAGATGAAGTGTTGATTTTGATTGGTGCTGTTCACACACCGACTGGACCAGACAACTTCTTGAGCTCTCACCTTCTGGAAGAAGATGGCTGGGAAATGAGCTTCAAGCGTGAGACTGGAGACTCTTTCTGCTGTATAAAGAAGGGTGATCTGGAGCTGCGATTGAAGAAGACGCGCGGGCGCTACCGCTTGCAAGCGAGGCCTGCCGATGCACGAGACGTGCATGCTGTTTCGCAGGCTGCTAACAGTAACGAGGATGCACTTCAGCGGTGGCACATGCGTTTCGCGCATCTCAACTATCCTACATTGTGTCGAATGATTTCGCAGGAGTCTGCATTTGGTTTTGATTACTTGTGTGGTGCTGGTGCTGGGGACCCTGCTGAAAGATGCTGGTCGTGTGTTGCTGCGAAGCAAAAGAGAATGTCTTATAAGAAGACGCTTACGCGGCGAGCGACAGACCCCTACCAAAAGCTGATGTCGGACATGTGTTATGTGGGTGTGGACACCTACGACGTCTATCAGCATTTCCAGCTCATCGTAGATGAAGCGACACGATGGGTGGGGGTTCCTGATGGAGGCTAAGGAAGAAGCTACAGGTGTAGCGATCTCCCATGTGATGTGGTTATTGGCTCAGGGGCATCGCATAGAAGTGTTCTCTTCTGATCAAGGCAGAGAACTGGTGAACAAAAGGATGAAAGCATTTCTCAGGGCGAAAGGAGTAGAGTTTCTGTGGACAAATGCATACAGTCCGGAGGAGAACGGCCTTGTGGAAAAGATGAATGGTGTGTTGTTGGTGCGTGTCCGTAGTCTGTTGACAGGCCACTCGATGCGCTAACATTCACCACTTCCACAGCAAACGTGAAAGCTTCACCCCACAAGCTCTCCGGCATGTGAGCGGTCTTGGTGGAGACACCCCGTTCACGCGACGTTTTGGTGAGGGACCTGACGTTGGGATAATGCGTGTGTGGGGCTGTGTGGTACACGAGTTCACTCCTAAGGTGCTACGAGCTAATAAACTTGAAAACCCTGGCAAGTTGGGCCTCTTTCTAGGATTTGCGAAGAACTCTGAGGGGTATCGCATTCTGAATTTACGGACGGGTGATATTCGTGAGCGACGGTCTGTCGAGTTTGATGAAGGCTGGACTGTGGAGTGTTCCTACGTGGAGCATCTACTGGCAAATCGATATCGGCGTGGCCGCTTCAATCTCCCAGCTTGGTACGGCTCCCGGTCATGGCGGCAGTCACTCATGACGAGCTGACAGCGCCTCCGCCGAAGCGTCAACGTCTCGCAAGTGCACATGGTAGTGGACGACCTAGTGGTGTGGGGGAGCAGTCTCCGGTTAGTGCGGGGGGATCTGTGGCTGAACCGTCGAACTTGACTCCAGCGCGAGTGCCCTTGGCGGACGCTCAGCTGTCACCGTTTGGTGAACCACAGCAAGAGGTCGAGTGCTTGGAGCACGACCAACTACACGAAGAGGAAGGTGATCCTGAGGAAGCTGCGAGTGTGTCTAACCGCCGCTCAACGCCTAGGCGGGAGCTCCCGGATCCTGTTCAAGAGCATGTTGTGAATGACGAAGATGCACACATCGATTTCGTGACTGCTTTTCTCAATGGCCCGATCGACTGCGAGATCTACATGAAGCAGCCCGAGTTCTTCGACGACGGAACTGGGCGCGTGTGCAGATTGCTGCAGAGCCTCTACGGTTTGAAGCAAGCTCCGCGCATCTGGTACAAGACGCTGGATAAGTATCTACGGCAGTGTGGCTTTCAGCGCTCGAAGATGGACGGTGGTATCTACTTTCGGTGGGTGGATGGAAGTCCGATCTTTTTGGCTCTTTACGTGGATGACATCGTGATCGCGGCAACGATCGAGAACATCAAGCTTGTGATGAACGAGCTTAGCAGAAAGTTTAAGATTAAAGATCTCGGAGATGTGCATCACCTGTTGTCGATGGAGATCCGATATGTCCCTGGTAAGATGTTGTCTATCTCGCAGCGTGGGTATGTGGCGCAGCTGCTGGGGCGCTTTAAGATGTCGAAGTGCAAGGCGGTGGCGACGCCGCAGGTCAAGGGCAACTTCCCGCTCCCGGGCGACCCGGACAAGGAGTTGGTGTGCGTGAACATTGACCCGGACGTGGACTACCAAAGCATCGTTGGATCGCTTCAGTATCTGGTCAGCTGCTCTCGGCCAGATATTGCCAACGCAGTGCGAACGTTGGGCAAGTTCTTGATGTGCTACACGAAAGAGCACTTCGTTCTGGCGAAACGTGTTCTCCGATACCTGCAGGGTACGCGGGAGCACGGACTGGTGTGGTACAAGCCGGTGTCTCCGGAGATGCAGTTAGTGGCCTATGCAGATGCTGATCTCGGCAACGAGAAAAATGATCGTCGTTCTATCACTGGTTACGTGCTACAGCTCAACGGCTGCACGTTTGCCTACAAGAGTAGGAAGCAGCCGATCGTGACCGACGATACATGCAGTGCGGAGTTTGTTGCAGCCGGTGAGTGCTCCAATCTCATCATGTGGACGCACAACTTGTGCGTTGAGTTGAAGATTCAACGGACAAAGAAGACGATCCTCTACGAAGACAACCAGGCAGCGATCCAAGTGATCAAGGAGGTCAGCAGTGGCTACAAGGTCAGATATGTGGACCTGAAGTTCCACAAGATCAAGGACTTCGTGGAGCGCGGCGTGTTCGCGGTCGAGTACATTCCGAGTGAAGACAATCTTGCGGACATCTTCACAAAGCCGCTCGGCCCGCAGCAGTTTGTGAAGCTGCACGAGCGCCTCAACGTGCTGCCCGTGCCGGACAGCGAGTAGTTGCGCACGGTAAGCACGTGCTGGAAGTGAGTGCAGCAACACGAAGTGGGAGTGTGAAGTATTGAGCAACGACACGTGCTCTACTTGCTTTGCGTTGTAGCTTATTTGAGTTTTGTATTGCATACTGTAGCCCATATCTAACGGACTCTGTGCTTGGGCGCAGAGATCCCGCAATCCCAAATTTCGCTGAGTGGGCGAGAGCTGCGTTCGTGGTCATCTCTCTGCGCTCTACGCCACAGATTTCAATAATATTCCCACGGGTACGAGTCGCGTTACAGCACCTTTAATGCGACAGCACAACATCTGCTTTAAGCCCTACGGCGCCCTAAAGCCAAAAAGAGGGGGTGAATCTGCGGTGCTGCAGTGTACTCACTGCAGCACCGCAGATTCACCCCCTCTTTTTGTGTTGGCAAAAAAAAAATGATTTAAATATTTTTATCGCTTATAAAAATCCATAAAAATATTTTTCGATTGTTATTCATATAAGTGCGATTTCTGTTATCCTTCTTTTTGTATAGACGAAACCGCTTTCATTACAAGACTGGGTTCTCTATTCGGGCACCTTTACTGCAAGCGTGAGCACTGACACGATGGCATGGCCGCTGGCAATCTCTACAGCAGAGCTACTGTCCTACAGACGAATCCAGACGAAGACGCTGTCGATAGCGTCGAACCGCCCACCAACACGATGCCACTTGACTCATCCCGCTGGCAATGTCGCGTCGCCACCATCAACGACAGACAACCCCACGGACAAGCTGATGCTGCCAGCCAAAGCAGCACCGCCAGATCCAGACGCCGAGTCTGACGAAGTCCACACGCCGCCCGTCGCCGCGCCGGTCGTACTGTCCAGTCGCACCAGCACAATCAGCCAAAGCCACGTCGTGCGAGCTGCGAGCGCACCGATCCGTGAGCACTTGACGCCTCGCTGCCAACTACGCCGACCAACCCGCTCGACTGTGTTGATGAGCGCCAGACCCGATCAAGACAGCACCAGCCGGACCGGTTTCGCCATCAGCGACTCTGTGCCACTGCTCACGGATCTCGCGCCGCCGTCAGACACGAGAACTTGCGCCCCAGACTCGCCTCCGCCACGGACGAACAACGCAAACGGCGCGCCTCGAAGCAAGAGACTCGAGGTACATTGGCACTGTGATGCCGCTGACCGCTTGCCCCTCAACTACTGCTTGTTGTCTACGCTAAGCCGCCCGCGCTCGCTGTGCTACATGTCGCCTGTGCTCTGATTGTCTGCAGCGAGGATACAGGCTACTATTAGCGCAACTACGGTTCCTCTGCAGCTCCCGGTTTATTCGATTAAGCGGGATTTGCTCGATAAAAATGTAAAAATCGGATAAAAATAAAATATTTTATTTTATTTTATTTTATTCGGATAAAAATCCTTCGATATTGTTTTTGCCAACACTGGTGTACTGGAGCAGACATCCGCAAATAAGAAAACTAACACCGAGTAGCGGCAACGGGTCCATCCGCTGGAATGCCTGGCGGTGGGCTTGCCTCCGCAAATACTGCGCAGACCTGCATTACGGGCACTCCGCTCAGGTTTGCTTGCCGTGGCAACGTGTCCTCACAGTACACGACCAGATGAGCCCATGACACCCGCCCCGCTGCTATCCGTAAATACAAATCCCTTATTATTCCGATCTGCGTAAAGATTTGCTTCTGTACACAGACTTTGCACAGATTGCTAGGGCGCCCTTAACTTTACGGCGCCATTAAAGTGTAGGAGGGATGACCTCCAGGCCTGATGGCTTTGGAAATGGGCACCCCGAAGGAGTCCCTGAGGAGGCGGAGGTCCTGAAAACCAGCTGCTTTACTAATGGCGCCCAAGGCGCCATTAACGGTGCTGTTGTGCTGTCGCATTAAAGGTGCTCTAACCACCTCGCCTGGCTTGTGAAGTTCACAGTGAACGGGCGGGTATGGGTACCCGATCAACACCGTTTGCGAGCCCTGATGTGCACATCCGATATGTCATCATCCAGGATCGCGCTGTGATTGGCGAACAATGTTTGCTCTTTTTTTCGATAGCTCTGGGACCAGTCTGGTTGGCTCAATAGTGACTCACTATTAGTGAGATACGATATTTGAGACTCGGACTCTACTGTTCAGGTATGCAACAGACTATTATACGGTAGCGGAGACACTATTGAGACGGACAAACCTCGAGAGCATCTCATTCCACAATTTGCTTCACGGCACCCGAGCAAACCACCACAGCCCTACAAATAACCCCGCCAGGACTTCCGTCCAAAACCTCAAGAACCGACAACCACTATGCGTCTCACTTTCATCTTCGCGGCGGTCATCGCGGCCTCTCTCCATGCCAGCGGCGCTGCCCTCCCTTCGGCCACGGCATCCAATATCGCTGAGGTCGAGAACGAGGCCTCCCCTGCTATCGCTGATTCCACTCACGCCGATGGTGGACGAATGCTTCGCCGTGTCGAGAAGAACGAGATCGATGAAGAGCGAATTGACTGGTCGAAGGTTTGGGCGAAGCTCACTTCGAAAAAATTCACGAAGGGTCAGAACATGAGCCCAACGGAGCAGCACAAGTGGCTTATTAAGCAAGCAAAGAAGCTGGGCATGAACACGGACGGCTTGTAGCGAGGCCTAGTATGAACTTCCATGCGCGACAGCGATCTGCATGGGCTGGAATTACCTCTCTACAGTAACATACATTCCTACCGTTCAAGTCTGAAATCGTTAATGATCCACTGTTCTTATAACTATTAAGTAGTATAATACGTAGTGGAGCATCGGTTGAGTATCGACACCCTGCAGCGGAATCTCCACTCCAAACCGCACAATTGGTCAGGCGTTGGCTGCCTTCTCGGCAAGCTTCTCCGTGCTGGTCTCGGGTAACATCATCCTCGCCGACTTGATCTCGGACTACTGGGTCCGGATGTACTGGTTCTTTCCTGCCGATCCAACACTTATCGGAGTTCTCGAGTGACCGCTACATGTACACCCCCGCCCAGAGCAAGACTGAGAACGCTTCTCATCAATCGAAAGGCACGGGCTACATCGGATTAGGCATCGCGGGGCTACTTCGCGTTCACGCGAGCTTCGCTGCCTGTCTTAAGCCAGCCCTGGCTGGCACTTGCCCTCGTCGTTGAGCATCTTCCCGGTTTATCAGACTTTTTCAGAGCTGTGACAGGACTGGGCTTTCCCTTTAACTCGAAGACCCTCTTTTGGTCAATACCGTCGTTGTTCTTCTCGACGCGGCGCAGGACCCATCCGCCATCCGCGGTAGCAGGTGACGCCCCGTTTCCGAGCGCAACATCCGGCGCTTTAACCGAACGGGGGCCACTGGCATGAAGAGTGGCCGCAACAACCACTCCGAAGATGAAAGTAAGGCGCATACTGGCTGTCGGTTCTTTTGAGCTCGTGGTATGCACGACTTGCTGGTGGGTTATGGAGCGAATGGTGTGCGGGCTTGTCCAGCACGGAAGGCGGTATTGTGCGCTGCAACCTGATGACTCTGGTCCGGCTACTAACGGCTTCTTTAGCTACAGTAGTGCCAAATACCATGCTCCTGCAACGGAACGGAGGACTATGATCGTGGTTGGGATTTGGGAATGAGTTTACTGGTGTTTACGTTTATGGCGACTTTTTTTTTAAAAAAAGTCTCCAAGAGTGCTCATTCTGGGAAATTCTTGCAATAGATAGTCGTCCGACAACCCGTGAAAGTTATACCACCCGACGAAGGCCGGATGTGGGAAGTCACCTGACAAAAAGAGTGTACATTACATTGCTTACGATGCTGCCGTAGAGAGCAAGTCGTGATCAAGTGGGACAACTTGTCCCACTTGATCCGGACAAGCATCCCTGCAGTCAACTCAAAAGCCTTTGCAAACTGGCATTAAGCTTATCACAAGTAAACACCTAACACACCGAGTGCCGTTCGGCTCCTCCAACCCACGTAATTATCTCTTGAGATGGCTCACATACTTGAACGTGAGGTAGATGGCTGTCTGCACGACGAGCCAAATGACACCAGTCCCACCATGAAGTTGTACTTGCGCTCCGGCCGGAAGTCGTAGATGCTTTCGATGTAGTGCGCCGCAGTCATGTTCGTAATCGTGTTGCCCGAAGTCACCGCGATGATGTCCTGGTTGTCGCCGAACTGCACTCCCATCAGCGCCGCCAGTGAGTAACTCGACGGCATCAGATTGGAATAATTGGGCAAATTTGGCCGGGAATCACAATAGTGTGTATTAGAACACGCGACAGCGACTGGAATTACTTCTCTACAATATCGCACTACAAGCAATTCATTCCTATCACTCAGTCTGAAATCGTTTAATGATCCATATGTTAAGATTGAAATAGGGGGTATCGGATAGTCTGCAACTAATTTGTTTTGCTCTGTGACGTTATAAAATGATGACTGATAACGTTGCAGGAACGCCTTCCGCTTTTACGGCAACGTTAGGGCCTTATTGCGACGTTATTAGCAACATGGGTACATGGTAGGACAAGGTCGGACTTGTAATTTATCGGATAAATTCCTCGTGTGTTGCACATAGGTAATTTATTTCTGAGGTATTATCTGTGCTGAATGAGTACATAGTAGGCTCACGAGGTGTGCAAATCTATCGAGCCGCTCACTGAGGACTTCAGATGTGAGGGTGGGAGAGTTCTGAAGTGGCACACACCACGAGTACACTTGTGAGCGCAAAGTATGCTAACAGAGGCTCAAAATGTGAATACTCTGGTGTTCGGATTCATTTATCTCTGCATGGTACGTTTTATCGCGGATGCCAATGATTTTCTGGGCTGTACTTCTTCGACAACGAGACATAGTTCTTCTTAAAAGAGTATATAACTAATCAAGAGCTCGTAAAAGCGTTTCAAAAGTGACCATTATATTTTTTTTCGTAACCATTAACGTTGCCCTTTTGATAACGTTGCTCTCGCAGTAACGTTGCCCGCTAACGTTGCCCTTCGATCACATCGCCCATTAACTTTCTTCGAGGTAAGTTGTTGGTGACAGTATTGCACGGCAGCAAACCCTACTGATAAATCAAGTAACATATCAGGTCCACGTCGCTGGTTATAACATTATGATATTGTGAGTGTACGGACACTTTCATTATGCATTCAATGCTGTGCCATCGTGCATTGACTAGTTTAAAATTATTCTCTTACAAACTAGTTGACCTCTTCTCAGAAAATCTGGAATAATAGTAGACGCTGAAGTTCCGCGTCTACTACGGAAGTTCCGCGTCTACTGTATAAAGTCGTGTCAGAATCTATAAAATAAAACTATTAGGTGCACGTCTATTACCTTCGGTTACTATTCAGTTATACTCTCATTGTCTCCGTCTTAGTACATCCGCCAGATTATCAATGACTACATTGCCAGGTTGCGTGTACTTCACCTACAATAAATAGGATTCAATATTTTAACAGTATGAAGTGTAAAAGGCTTAGTACGAGCGGTACAACCGTCAATCGCGCATCATAATTGTTAGGTAAAACCAGTTAACGTTGCGCAAGAACTATTAAAGCTCGTAGCTAAAGGGTTAACGTCGCTGTAAATTTGGAACTTAAGCAGCGTAAGACTTGAATTGCTGCCTGTTGCTTAGCCGATAAACCATAGCTGTTCATGCTTATATTTTACGTATTACTGTGTACAATAACTACCACACATCGACACATGCAACAAATGGACGTAGAATCTATTATCAAACTCATACAGGGTAACATTTTCGAAGTGATGCATAAATGTATCGTCACAGTTAATCTGCCAGAAGGGTCGCAGGTTCTAGCCGACATGTCCATGAAACAGATTCCTCATCAGTTGTGTGCTGCAATTTAATAGCAGTGATATCAAAGTAGATTGCGATCTTGTTCTAAATCATACGGTATACATCGCTGTTTTCTTACAATTGGACTCTATATATCTGTAGGCATAGTATGCAGATGCGTGATCCTGCCTCCATTTAATATGCTTCTGTAGTAGTGCGGCCTGTCACGTGGCCGACAGACGGCAGCAGCCGCGCACTCGAGTCGTCATCGACTTGACGAACGAGTGACGAAGAGGACGATCAGCCAGTCGGGGCGCGAAGTGTGGCAGCGGCAGTTGGATGGTGGCGGAGGTGAGCCAGTGGGCTGGAGACACCGGCTACGGGCGGTATCCTACAACTTCAAGGCCAGACGTCGGCCATGCAAAAGATCGCAGGAGGGCGGACACGGAGAAGAGTGAAGGACAAGTAGTATGCAGAGAGGAGAGGCGACGACAGAGCGAGTGGCGTGCGGCTGAGAGACAGCGAGAGCAGATAGGTTACGAAGGGCCCTCTCGTAGGTAGAGGATAGGAGGCCTCGTAGGTGGGGGCAACGAGCGCGCGGCTGGCCGCTCGACCCTCAGTTAAGATTGTTCCCGGTTGGTGAGCAGTTAAGACTAAATACAGCAAGAGAGTGGCGCCGTACGCGGGTTCCAGTAAAGCTAAGGTGAGGCAGAGATTAGGACGATTGGTGCACGATGAGGGCGTAACACAGTAGGGTGGTGGGGACTGTGGCTAGAGACCACAGGGGTCGTGGCAGGAAGTGCGAAGTCTGCCATGATCGTAAGGGCGAAGGAGTTCGCTCGCCGCACTCGGGCTTGAGCTCCTGAACTCGAAGCAGATAGAGAAATACGGATTACCTGCGGGACACAGCCCAAAGACCCTATCCGGGGGTGACGGTCGCCGATAATGTGTCCTCCCCACCGTTCCTATCCGAAGGACGTCTGGTCCGACGGCCAGTAGCTGTCTGGTAGTGTTGACGTGTCTGCCTCGCACTTTGATCTCTCTCGCTACGTCCACCGGGCTACCTAGGTGGACGCACTACTCTCACTCTGGCTGCTGAACCAGCCGACGTGTAATGGAATTGGCGTGGTGGTTCGGGAACTAGCTACACTTCCTATACTACGCGCTGGCTAAGTCACCGTAGTGCTATCCTCTCTCATTATAGTAAAGTATTTTGCCAAGTTTTATAGCGATCATGTACCGTACGCCTTGGGGAAGGCATTGTACCCTTTGAACACTAGCTTTATATAAGAACAGAGGGACAAATCACATTAACGGGCGATGTTAACGTGCAACGCTAAAAATAAAGCAACGTTATCTTGGATTAACGTTAATGCGCAACGCTAAACATAACACAACGTTATCTTGGAGCAACTTTAATGCGCAACGCTAATCATAATGAAACGTTATTGAGAAGCAACGTTAGTACTCGGTAGTGTCGACCTCATTCGATTAAACCTAAGCGCTTGGGCGCAAATGCTTCGCAAACGTTTAGGACGACAATCGTATAGGTGTACGGAAAATTACAGAACATAATTACAAGCAACGCGAAGCAGCAGCCATTATGTCAGGGACCTGGACGATGATAGTGGTTTGGTAACATCGGTACTCTGCTAGATGTGGACTTCCCTCTCGGCCCGCACGTCCTTGTCGTCCCACGGCGCGCAGCTTGAAGCTGAATACCAACGTCAAAACAACATAGTGACATAAATATTAATGAAGCAGTGTTATCAATCATAGAGCGACATTAACAGACAATAGAGCGCAGAGCAACGTTACCTTTAGTATTCGCGGGAGGGGGGGGGGCAGACTTTCGCAGCTTGACCATCTCCGATGCCAATGCGTTCAGCTTGCCCGTACGAGGCATCCTGCCGCTTTTGCCGCCTCCTTAACAGCCTTAATACATTAACAAATAAACAATAACAAATTACCAAAGTTAATGCATATATAACAAGCAACATTAATGCACACCTGTAAGAAGCAAGATCAAACTTACGTAATTCGTGAAGTCGCTTGGCTTGCCCCACCCTTTAACAGCGGGCGCGTAGGGCTATCGTAATGTTTCCAGGAGGTGGCTGCGCGGTCCGATCCTAAAGTACAGCTTCTTTCCGTTTAAGTTCGAAATTAATCGAGGTAAACCCTCCCTTCAAATGAGTATTTTAATCCTGAGGGAAAATCCGGCCGGAATGAGGGATTTGGTTGTCACGTATTTTACGCGTCATTTATTTTTTGGGCGACGTTATTCTTGTTATTGCAACGTTTTTGAGCTGAGGTTAGGGCTAGTTAGCGTCGGAGGACCCACTTCGGACAAAATACTAAGAACACACAGGGTGCTCTAGTTGAGGCACTTATGCCTCTTTGCCACAATCCGGAGTTTTGAGGCGCATCACTTCTCGCAATTTGAGGCACCACTAGGGGTTTCATACAAATCTAAGATAAATGGCAGAAAAGGAGTGCCTCGCGGGCGCCTCAACCAAATGCATATGCTTGGTGTGGTACACGTTAATTATACATGCCACACGCTTGTTGGCATCCCGCTGCAGGCATGTCGACCGGCCTGCAGATTTTCTATGAATCACTTACTTCTTCCATGCATTGCACTAATGCATAATTTCAACTACAACACACAGCCTGATAGGTGGCACAACCTTGATTGCAACCAACGTTGAAGCTTTTGTTTCGCTCAAAGATTTTGTGGCAGCGCCAATATAAGTCACTAGCTTGGGTTGTACCAGTTTGGCCCATGTAACTGTTGTCTTATTGCTTGCATTGCATTCTATTAGATTTATGTCCTAAGTAATGCCTTACCGTTAGGGTACTACGCTTTTTTCTATCGAAAAATGCTTCAAGTCCAAATGTGAGTTTTGAGTCACCCTCCGGAACCTTGAATGAGACGCTCGGTGTTTTTTCTGCACACATTGCCACATCTAGAGCACCCTGAGAACACACTTCCATTCCAGTGAAAACACACAGAGGATGGGCGACATCATAAAGTAGACGAGGCGCGATAGCGCCCAGCCAACGGAGGCGAGCGGTTGCGAGGAGCGTAGCCGCAGCAAACCCGCGCGGGGAGCCTGCGAAGCAGGGCCGCGCGGTATTTGCGGAGGCGGGCCCAGTGACGAGCATTCCAGCGAGCCGAGCACTGCACTCGCCAGGTGAGAGAATCTATATATCGCGAGCGAAGCGAACAGCGGGGCGCCGAAGGCGGTGCCCAGCCAAGCGCAGTGCGGCTGGTCCGTTTATGAAAACGCGTCATCCCTCCCAGTCACTATAGTAAAGCCAAGTCAAAAGGATTTGTAGGATTTGTTGTGTGTTTTCACTGCATGTACGTGTGATTTGACGGTTCTGTCGTACGGGTTGGGGTGACGCCCTCCCGCGGCGTCGTTCTCGGGGGCGCTAATGCGGCTCCCAGTCTGGGAGTCCCAGACGGACATTTATTTATTTATTTATTTATTTATTTATTTATTTATTTATTTATTTATTTATTTATTTATTTGTTGCGGTTTAGTCCGATACTGCGCTCTGCTGCAGCCTCGCCAGACGGACAAGGATGTGAGGCTACAGTAGTGTCTCTGGGCCGAGAACTCGACGCGGGTACGACTCGCAGAGGCGGTAGCGAACGAACCAGGCGCGCTCAGTGCTCAGCCACCGACTTCCCGTGGGTTGATAACTACGGCATCGCCCAGGAAGCTGATTGGGCGGCGAGGCGCGAGCGCCCGCGAGGGGGGAGATTGCTGCGGCCGTCAATCGTCAAGGGAAGGTGCTCAAGGGGATCAGCATAAGGCGCAGGAACAACACAAGACCGACGAACAAGGGCGTTGTTAAAACTCAGTTTTGGTTGGTCAAACTTAAGCTTTATTTATCTCTTAATGCCCTCTAATAGACTAGTGCTCAGTCGTTGGCAAAAGGAGAAGTGAGCTCTCTCCGAATGCCGTCAAACATCATCGCACGAGCGGTCGCCAACAGGGCGCCCCCTGATTGGCTAGTTATGTAGTCCTATGATTGGCTCTCTCTTAACCAATGGGAGAGCGCCTTAATGCCAGCGGGAACACTTTACCCTCAAGCGGTCTCTCGGGGACCTCATTCTAACAGGCGTGCTGGCTGAGACTGCGTGGTTTGTTGCGGCCACGACAGCAGTTGCCGGGGAAAGGAGTAGTGACCCGAATACCTAGCTGAATCAAGACTACAAGACCATCGCAGGCAATATAACGCTGATACGCCGGCGTTTGGCTCGTTTGGTAGGCGAAGTTTGATAGAATTATCAACTACCTATAAACTTGCAGGACAGAGGAGTATTGATGAAGCACTAGTTTTTTTATTTTATTTTTTATTTTTCATTGTTAACGCCAGTCACACTGGCGATTAAGCACAACTTGGATTGGCAAAGATGTAGTTGCTCAACGCCTAACACCCGATACCGTACGTAACAGTAGCTTACAATTCCCTCGTCACCATAAATATCTGTATGTGAAGTAGGTTAGCAAATTCCGTGCTATAAGGCCCTACACTAGTCATTCAAACTGTTCCTCCTGATGCCAAGTTTTGCCAACCTCGTGGCATCGCCATGAAGCCAAAGTAAACGACCAAGCTGGTTGATAGCCTTGTCGTCTCTATGGAGGAACCTACTAGTGAGCGAGGTCCTTTGGATATGGGGCATCTGGTCAGTACATTAATTCCGGTAAGGACACTTTCCATTATAGTTATTGTTCGCTCTGCTACAAATTTCAGAGCTTCTTCGGGCCCCGCACGACTTTGTTTTCTTTGAGTAATTGACAGAATTATGTTCATCAAGTACGATCTGGGCATCCTACGCGGGCCGATGACTGCGACTAACTTTTGTGAAGTTCATCTGATATACAACGTGTGCCCCTGGTCTCTACTTCGCCTGTGTTCGCACTGTTACCAATTGTACTTGGTTTGACATGTCGAGATCATTGGTTACTGATGTTGAAGTTGCATTCGAGGTTCGCTGTATGCATCACACAGGGCCGACTACTGCGTCTGCAGCCGTGTCTTCGGTATTATCGATGTATCTGAGCCGCTGTGGTCGTTACCCCTACGAGTAACAGCCTCTGGGCGGCGCAGGTTGAAGTGCCCAACCTTCACATGGACAAGACCAACAAGACAGCGCCGATGTTCCAACACCCTCTGCTCCACGTCATAATGTAAGTAAGCGATAACTTAGGCTCAATATCTCGGGAGGGAATCTAATCTAAATGATGAAGGAGGTGGCGGAAGTGAGTGATGCACCCTTCGAGTCATGAACGCCATCCAGTATTGACAGCAACTGCGCAGTGACAACCACAGCGAAAGGCGTCCTGTCGAGATCAACGCGAGATTTAATTGCAGCGAGATCCAGCGGGAACTCGATCGTGGCTAGTTATCTTCTCGCTAGTTGCTTCCCGGGAGCATCGGCTACCAAAATGGGTCAGACATGTAGCCACGTTGCAACTTGCAACTCGCAAGTGTGGTCATATCCTAGCCTCTACTAGAGGAGAGGTCTCGACACTCCACATTACCCTGCTGTCTCTTTCTGTCCACTTGATCTCACTCCCCAACCATACTCGGTGGGGCTGACTTCCGCGACGACGTTGCGGTCAGCGAGGAGCTCTGCGATCTGGCGGCACGTCCGTCCACGGTGGACTCCACGCGATGTCCAAGCCGCGTCTGACGCCTAACGGGCTCGGCCGTGGACAAGAATCCGCAGGGCGCGTGGCGCCATGGGCTTTCGCTTTCGGCGGATATTACAGACATGTACTGTAGTTACAAACTGCAAACGGATACCGAGAAGTTGGCTACGCCATTGCTTCGCGGTGATCGCTGCACAGTTGGCATAGCGGCAACAGCAGCTGAAGACGAAAATGCTCGGCTGAGATCGTGTGATGGTCAGCCCGTGCCCTCCCTCGGCAAATGTCCTCAAGCACTTCCGCCCTTCAAACATATCTAGACTAACCCTCTCGTATCCAGGATTGCCCGGCGGCTCATGATCCACAAGCTGCGGCACGACGCCACGAGGGGAACGGAGCCCTGCAGCTCTATGGAGAGAGAACAGCAAAGCACGCCGGCACAGAAACGCTGGTGCCACGAAACGACGTGCTCGCGGCCCAGACGGCCGGCAAGAGAGCTTCGACTCGAGCGATGCGAGCCGGGGAGCCTCATCTTCAGCGGAGCTCAAGTGTTCGGACCCTGGCTGGACGGACGGGTAAGTTACTCTCACTTCCAGTGCCTTGGGGAGAACGCGAGAAACCGCAGCAAGCAGCAAATACGCTGCCTGCTCACCAGACGGCCTCGCGAATAATAAGCTCGCGTTAGTCTCAACAGGGCAACCGCAACAACTCCGCACAGAATCCGCTTGGTGTACCGTACGTGTTCATCTGACTTTAGGGGTGGGGAAAAGAGACGTATCACCCTTATATATGAGTCTTCAACCCCTTCTTCAGAGCGTTATCGTCCTTATCGCACCTTAAAAAGGAGTGCCCGACTGGCTACTTTTTTGCCTTTTCAACTGCTGGAGACGATGTCACGCCCGACATGGAGCTCAGCTGTTTGCAGCGCATTCCCCCTCTTGCGTTAGGCATTGACCAGCAGGCGAGGAAAGGCCAGCAGGGCACGGCACTTTCAGGAATACCTCAGCTGCGCGCACTCGCCCCCGCTTGCATTGGCCTAGTGACTGGGATCTCTCTCTCCAGTGCTGCCGACTGCGCCTTTCCCGTAGTACAGTAGCGGAGACGTCGCGGGTGTTCCAGTGCCCGAAATGCCTCCTTCCAATAGCGAAAGCGTCGGCAGCTCGACCATGTCCAAGTACGTGACCCCGAGCGTCGCCGTGGGGGCTCGTTGCTACATCCCGGACGAAGACTCTGCGTGGCTGCCGGTGTACGTCGAGGAGGTGAACGAGCAAAAGGGTCTCGTGACCGTGAGGATCCAGCGGCCGCGAAAGGATCAGCAAGACGAAGACACCGTAGATCACGATGACGCCGACAGATCCGGGGAGAGTCGCGTCGTGGCCATGGATGTCGGCTTCCCGCTGCAGAACGCGCAGCTTTCGCGCTACGACGAGGGGCTGGACAACATGATCGACCTCAACCACCTGCACGAGGCTGCTATCCTGCGCAACCTCAAGAAGCGCTTCCGAGCTCGGAAACCGTACACGTACACGGGGGATATCTGTCTGGCGGTGAACCCTTATCAATGGCTGGACGAGTTGTACACTCCCGGACTTCACAAGAAATACCTGCAGGCTCGGAAGAGGCAAGATCTGCCGCCTCACGTGTACGCGGTGTCTGTGGCTGCGTTCAGGCATATGTGCGATAATGGCAGCAACCAGAGTATCCTCGTGAGCGGCGAGTCCGGCGCAGGGAAGACCGAGACCACTAAGATCCTGATGGATAACCTGGCCACCATTGCCCCGGCACCGACTACGACCGCCAGTGACCAGGAACACAGCATTACTACGCGTATTATCGAAGTGAACCCGCTGCTCGAAAGCTTCGGTAATGCGAAGACTACACGCAACGATAACTCGAGTCGCTTCGGCAAGTTCACGCAGCTCCAGTTCGACAAGAATCACGCCCTGTGCGGTGCTCAGTGCGAGACGTATCTGCTCGAGAAGACCCGCGTCATCTCCCACGAACGCGGCGAGCGCAACTACCACATTTTCTATCAGCTTCTGCACGGCACGACGGACGAGGAACGTGACGCATTGGGTCTTGGCGACGAGTGTCCGAAGTTCTCGTACCTTGAAGAGAAGGAGCCTCGGCTGGAGGTACGGCCAGGACGGAAATCGAGACCGAGTGCGCCTCCCCCACCCAAGTCGGCGTCAGTGATCGAGGCGGAGAACACCAAAGACCGAGCACTCTTTGCGAAGACCAAGCAGGCGCTCTCTCTGCTCGGACTCAGCGCGGACCAGCAGAACGCGTTGTTCCAGGTGCTGTCGGGTATTCTCCACCTGGGTGAGGCTCATTTCGTTCCGCAGCCGGGCAACGACGAAGCTTGTGACCTGGACCAGGATTCCGTGATTTATTCGTGTGTGCTGCTGGGGTTGGACCCGAACACCATGGGCAAAGCCCTGACTCACCGTACTATGAAGGCTGCGGGAGAAGTGTACCTGGTCCCGCTTACGGTGGAGCAGGCCCAGTCCGGACGTGACGCGCTCGCCAAGGCCATCTACGCCAGCATTTTCGACTGGCTGGTGGCTGGTATCAACGCTAGTTTGGGTGCCGCCCCACGAATGACTGCGAACACCATCGGCGTGCTCGATATCTTCGGCTTCGAGAGCTTCGAGTACAACTCGTTTGAGCAGCTCTGCATCAACTACGCGAACGAGAAGCTGCAGCAGAAGTTCACACAGGATGTGTTCAAGGCCGTGCAGGAGGAATACGAGCGCGAGAAGATCACGTGGGCACACATTTCGTACGCGGACAACAGCGAGACACTCGCGCTCATTGAAGGCCGCATGGGTGTGCTGGCGTTGCTGAACGAGGAGATCGTGCGTCCTCGCGGTAACGAAGAGGGCTTCGTTAGTAAGCTGTCGGGTGCGTACCTCAAGCAGAAGAACCTCATTGAGTTCCCGCGGATCTCCAAGACCCAGTTCGCCATTCACCACTACGCTGGAACGGTCAAGTACGAGGCCACGGGCTTCTTGGAGAAGCACAAGGACGCTCTGCTCTCGGACCTGTCGGACCTCATGTGCGGCAGCCACGAGCCGTTCCCGCAGATGCTCTTCAAGGTCAGGGCCGAGATGGAGGCGGCGGCTGCAGCGTCCGCCGCCAGCTTGAAGCGCTCCACCTCTGGAGGCCGAGGAGCTCGCGGAGGCTCGGGCGGCGCTGGCGGCGACAAGACTGTCGGCATGCAGTTCAAGCAGTCGCTCAACTCGCTCATGACCAACATCAACGAGACCAACGTCAACTACGTTCGATGCATCAAGCCGAACAGTGCCAAGAGCTCCACGCTACTCGAGGACAAGATGGTGGCCAACCAGCTCCGCTGCGCCGGTGTCATCGAAGCCATTTGCATCGCCCGCGCCGGATACCCGAACCGACTGCTGCACGCCGAGTTCGCGGAGCAGTTCGATATCTTCCTCACCGAGCAGGAGCAGAACCGCCAGAAGGAGGACCCGGAGCAGTACGGCGCGGCTCACTGCCGCATCCTGGTCAAGAAGTTCAAGCTCGAGATGCCCGAGGAGTACCAAATGGGCGTGACCAAGATCTACCTGCAGAAGGGTGTGATCGAGAAGTGCGAGCACATCAAGGCGCAGAAGCTCTTCGCGTACGTGGCGCTCATCCAGGCGCACTGGCGCGGCATGCGCACTCGCTGCGAGTACTACGAGATGCGCGACGCGTTGATCACCATCCAGCGTCGCGCCAAGGTGTTCGTGACGAGGTGTCGCTTCCTGCGCGCGCAGCTCGCCATTGCTCTGATCCAGCGCGTGTACCGAGGATACGTCGGTCGCTGCGAGTTCTACGCCGTGTTGAGCGAGCACTGCGCGCTTCAGATCCAGCGCGTGTACCGAGGATACGTCGGTCGCTGCGAGTTCTACGCCGTGTTGAGCGAGCACTGCGCGCTTCAGATCCAGCGCGTGTGGCGCGGACACCAGGGACGCAAGATCCGCTTCGCCGCGCTGTGCGAGCTGCGCGCCACGCAGATTCAGCGCACGTGGCGTGGTCACAAGGGGCGACAGATCTACTTTGCCGTGCTATGCCAGACTCGCGCGGTGCGGCTGCAGTGCTTCGCTCGTCAATATCTCGCGCGTCAGGAGCTATACCGGCGTCGTGCCGCGTACCTCGCTAAGCTTGAGAGGGAGGAGCGTGAACGCGTCGAGCGCGAGCTGGAGCTGGCTAGACAACGCAAGCTGGAGGAGGAGCGTGAGCGCCAGCGCAAACTGCAGGAAGAGCTGGCCAGGCTGGAAGAGGAGCGTCGGCAGGAGGAAGCGCGCCAGCTTGAGATTCTTCGTCAGGAGAGCGCGCTGATGATCCAGCGGCAGGTCCGTGGGTACTTCGCTCGCTGCGTGTATGCCGAGATGGTTCAGGAGGCCGAGGAAGAGGAACGCCGTCGTCGTGAAGAGGAGGAGGAGCGTGAGCGCATCCGTCTGCAACGCGAGCACGATGAGCGCGAGGCCCGGCGCCGTGCAGAGGAAGAAGCGGCGCGCGAGAAGCAAAGGCTGGCGGAGGAGCGCAAGAAGAAGGCGCTAATGATGCGTCAGCGACGCGAAAACGCGGCCATCCGCATCCAGCGCACGGTTCGTGGCCACCTTGTCCGTAAGGAATTCGCAGCGCTGAAGGCTGTCTTGCTCATCCAACGCGTGGTCCGCGGTCACCTTGCCAGGAGGCAAGTCGCGATGCTGAAGGGCGCGGTGCTCATCCAGCGCGTGGTCCGCGGCCACCTCGCGAGGAAGGAATTTGCAGCCATGAAGGCTGTGTTGTTCATCCAGCGTGTGGTGCGCGGACACCAGGCGCGGAAGCAGTTCCACGTGATGAAGGAGGAGGCCCGACAGGAGGCGGAGGCGGCAGCTATTCGCCTGCAGAGCATCCAGCGTGGCCGCTTGGCTCGCCAGAACTTCTCCAAGCTGCGCATCGAGAAGATCGAGAAGGACGAGAGGGACGGAGAGATCAACCGCGTGCGCGAGGAGTTCTCCATGTTCAAGATGGAGAAGGCCGAGCAAGACGACGAGCTCGTGCGCATGCGGGAGGAGAACGCCAAGCTGAAGATGCAGTTGGCGGAGCTGCAGAGGGCCAACAAGGAGCTGGAGGCCGCGGTGGCGGAGCACCGATGCGATCGCGACGTGATCAAGGCCTCCAACAACCTCAAGGAGATCGAGCTCACGCAGAAGCTGACCACGCAGCGCAAGGAGCTGGAGACGGCGCGCGGCGAGTACTCGACCCTGTGCGACTTCTTGGAGAAGACCGGCAGCTCTCGCTCCACGGAGCCGGAAGAGCTCAACTCGTCCGACAGCTCGTCCACCTCCGGCGACGACGAGGAGAACGAGCACTGGAAGGAGGACCGTCCTACCATTGACTCGACGACTGCGTCCTACTTCGAGGGTGACCGTCCGTCCCACGACATTGCCAAGCTGCTCGGAAGCACGTCGCGGACGTCTCGACTGGCGAACGCCATGCTGCAGCGTCGTCAGAAGGCGAGCCAGGCTGTGGCCCAGCGCAAGCAGCAAGCTGCCGCCGCGATGCAGCACCGCAAGGAGCAGGCAGCTCAACGCAAAGAGCAGGCGGCCAAGACTCCGACCATGCAGAACAACGCCAACACCGCCACGAAGGCCAAGAAGTGGGTCACGCTGGCCCGCAAGAAGAAGGCCGAGTCTGTCACCACCCCGATTGAACCTATTGAGTAAGTACCCGGTCGATGGGACCAAGTAGTTGAAGACTGCAGCGGCGCTGGCAGATAGACGTCCCCCACACTGTCAGCCCCAGGCAGTCCGTAGTATCTATTACAATTCACCTCGTAATGAGAGAGTTTTGAACACATAAACCTTTTGGTTCTCGACTTCAGAAGTTTACAGTACTAGGAACTCAAGCTGACTGTGGCCTTCTGGTAAACGCCCTCGCTATCTGTTCGCGCTGCGGTTCATTTGAGAAGGTCCTTACAGTAAGTTGCAAACCGGATGGAGTAAACAGCAGATGAAGTGCCCCATGGTCGCATCCAAGCAGAAGTTCGTCGCCCGTGGTAAGATAAGATCCGATCACTTGCAAGTTGCACGCTCGACATATTTTGCATGTTGAAGCAAGTCGAACCCATTACGATTTTCCAGCGAGCAAGTTTCCTTCCGCCATGAATTTGACCTACACCGCCTTGTAGTAGAAGAGATTTTATTTGGACTACTATGATAGCCATTAAAATCCTAAAGAAGATTTCATCATCACCACTAATGGCGATTCTCTTGGTAGCTGCATGCTGCTTACCCGTACTTGTCCTGGTTGTTCAAGGATTAATAGAAAACTGTCGATACAGTCCTCCATCAACTTGCCTTGTTCAACTGTTTGTGGACTCATCTTGTCCCTCCTTGCTATTGCCTTCAACTGACGAACTCCCGTCACCCGGAACTCGACGCAACTTTGCTCTACCGATGTTGGTTCTCCTTCAAAGATGAGCCTGTTGCGCACCATCCATTGCGTTGTGCTGCAAACGTAGCTAAAATTCTCCAAAGACGTTTCAATGTGTCTTCATGCTTGGCCGTGCAAGACCCCGCCGTGAGGGCCACTCTCCTCTTCAGTGAGTCCGGAATCGGGGGAGCTTGCCGTGATCCACAGTACTCTCGGTACCCGAGGAGGCCACTGTCGGTCACGTCAGCGCCACCCCAGTGTCTAGCTAGCCATTTCCAGCATGCCACCGCGCACGGACATTCCCAGAAAATGTGACCTGGGTTTCCTTTTCTTGGGTACACGCGCTTGTTTTCCTGCATGAATTGCTGTGTTGTCTCCCTTCAAAGAACAGGTTTAGCTGTCTGAGGGCCATTCTGTACTAGGTAGGGAGTTAGGGAATGATCATGGCTCCATAACTGCTTGGGTCGTTGTTGCTGAAGCCCACGTTGCCACTGGTCTTGTTTCGCCTGCGTCTCCAGTCTCTCTATGACCACGCCAATACCGCCTCGCAATTCTATCCGAAATCGTTCGAAGGCTTGTCGTTTGAGCCCCTTTGATACATGTTTGTTCTTGATTCTCTCCTCCACAGTCCAAGGGTACTGATGAAGGCTCGGATGTGCGTAAAATACTACGCCTTCAACTTGGGCCCACTTCTGTAAAGTCTGCGTAGTTTCTTCTGTGCAATTCTCCACTTCTATCTCCCAGTTGATACCGTTGGGTAGTTGCCTGCAATTGAGTTGCCAGCTCGCCGTGCCTTGTGAGGTTGCTGCGCCTGAGAGATGCCCCGTTGGCCCTAGTCGCCACGACACATTGCGTAGCCATTGCGGCGGGTGCCTTAATTTGAATGGTGGATCGAGCCGACCTTCTAGCCAATCTCTCGGAGATAGTAAGATAACTATAATCGCCCACTTGCACATGGTTCTGTGACGGTGCCGACGCCCTTCATTTGATTCCTGCGCGACGCTAAACGAAAAACGCCCCTCAGCTTCTTTTCGAGGTTCAAGTTGATCGAGAGTACCATCCCTTATCCGTGAAAATCTTCTCCCGCTTAACAGAAATCCAGATGGTGCTGTCAACCATGGGTTATCACTCCAACCAAAGGTCCCCCAAAATGTTTTAATGTGCTCCGGCCACGCTAGCCGCGAGGGCTCTACCTCATAATTCAGCTGAATCACGAACCTGTCATCAGCATCCCACCAACTAGTGCTCGCCTCTAGGATTGCTGCGTAATTGGTCTCCACTATTTCTTCTCGTTGCTTACTTCTTCGTCCGCTGGCTGGAGCCATTCACTGATGAGCTGCATTCCTGGCTCTACTCTCTGATTTTTTGCATTTGACGTTCTTGGCGAGACCGACTTGTTTGGGGCCTTGAGTACCCAGAACTTCCAGGCTTGCAGGTAAAGATCGGGTTTTTGAGTCAGCCATAGCAATTCATGTTTCGCTTGCTGTGTTTTCACCGCTAACGGGATAGACACCAAACCGATTCTTCCTGCCTTTCTTGGTAGAAACACTAACCCAGGGTTAATCTTGTGTTTTCCTCCACTCGTTTCCACGTGCGCTTGCCAAAGAAAATTTTTCTGAAGGCACTGAAGTTTTTTCTCCGCCCACTGTGGTAGTTGGAACGCTGCAGAAGTGAAAGTCACGGCTGGAAGCACCATCGCATTTAGTATTGCCACTCTGTCTTCTACCGAGGTAGCTACCCTGCACGCGGTGGCCAAACGTCTTTGTATTTTGCGAATTCGATCTGCCCAATTCACATCGCGCATCTCCGCAGTCCCTACTTGATACCCCAGATACCGGGTCGTCTCTCCATGTCTGAGAACTGGGATACCCAAAATCGTCTTTCTGTACTCGACGGCGGTGTTCAAACTTATAAACACGCGTTTCGCCGGCTGCACTCGGAGCCCCGAAAACTCACCAAACCGTCGGACTACCATGAGCACACGCGGCAGTTGCTTTGCCTTTTGCATAAAAACCGTCGAGTCGTCGACAAACGCAGAGAACAAGTGCTCTCGCCGCTCCTTGTCACCCGGCACTGCTACACCCGCAATTTGCGATTCTTGTGCCAGCGCTAGCCCAAGGATCTCAGCAGCTAAAATGAAAAGCAAAGGTCCAGCGGGCACCCCTGCCTGATACCAGATTCTATCGGGCTCTGATCCGATAGCTCTCCATTGACCATAAATCTAGCTGTTGTCCCAGCGTGTAGGTTCCGCATCACTTCCACAAATTCACTGCAAAAGCCGAACTTGCTTAATACTGCAAACATGAATTCACGGTCGAGCGTATCGTAGGCCTTCTTGAAGTCCAGCAGTAATATGCCGGCGCTGTCTTCTAAGTCTGCTAATGGGTCCGCCACCGCACGTTTTAAGTGAGCTAACATCATCATTACCGTCTTGTTCATATTCCTCCCATGTACAAAGCCTTGTTGCGAGTCTCCAATTAATCGCCCTAGAAACATTTGTAGTCTTGTTGCCAACACCTTAGCCACAATCTTGTAGCTGGTTTGCAATAGAGTTATCGGCCGGTAATCCATAGCGCTCGTCGAGTCACCCTTTTTCCTCAACGGAATTATCAGACCCCTAAAAAAAGTCTGAGGTGGGCGCTTGCCTCGAAGGATCGAATTTCCTACTCTCGTCAGGATCGGCGCCATTACGTCTTCCATATCCTTGTAAAAGTCGTTGTTCAGTCCATCTGGTCCTGCCGCTTTTTCTCTATTCAGCGCTCTGATAGCCTCCACGACTATGTGTTCGTCCATGTTAGTAGTAAGCGCTGCGTTGTCCTTGTCGGTAACTCGTCTCTCGGATGGTACCGTGGCGAACTCATCTAGTCTGCGTTTTAGATCATCTAACGGGACCGTACGGTGGCTCCGTCCTTGGATGTCATTCCACTCTTGAGCAAACTTGTCTGCTATGGTGGACCTGGGTGCGAACTCAGTCCCAGGAGATGGTAGTATGCTGCTAACCGTTTGGTCACGTTCCCACACAGACACCCGGCGAAACCTCCTTCGTACACTGGCATGCGACCGTTGTAGTGCGTGCCCTGTGTTGAGTTCCTTGCTTACTTTCGCCTCCTCAACGTTTGCTGCGATCAGACCTCGCCGCGTTGCAATGCCTGCTCGCTCTCTACGTTTCCTGGCCTTTGCTCTCCAGTATCGTCGCTGTTTCAGTATTTTGGATAATCGTTTTATCGTTTTCACGCATTGATGTACGACTTCGTCCCACTTGATGCTCCTTTCCTGGTCGGCACCCAAATCCTCAACCATTTCCGCTCGCAACTCGGTTTTCACTCGTTCCTGGTTGCTTCTTCGGATGGGGTATTTTACCCAGCGAGGTGCGGTTTTGTTGACCTTGTTAACGACGTCTCCGCGCCTCAAATGCATGATTAGTGTTTGCTGATCACTACTGACCGGCGGAAGTTGGACTTCTAACCATTGAAACCTTGGAACTAACTGCGCTGAAATGTACATTCGGTCAATTCGACTCGCTGCCGTCGTAGTCCAGTACGTGTAGTGGTGATGTGGAGCCACCTCTGCATCTTCCTCTGCTCCCCCTACCAGCACACGTGCATCCTGCCACAACCTCTCGTCGAGCAACTGTTCCAGCTCTCTGCTTTCAGGTTTAGTAGCACCTGTGTACCCTTTTCTATCTAGCTGAGGATCCAATACACAATTGAAATCCCCACCCATGATCACAGGTTTGTTTTGCGGCCATGGCCACTCCCGTAGATTTTTGAAGAAGCGCTCTCGCTCTTGATACTTGTTTGGGGCATAGATATTGACTACGATACAGCCTTGTACTTCTAATGCCATCACTCGCTTTGTCCATTTGTGTCGTTGCCATGGCTCAGACTGCTTTGCTACTGCCGGATCCAACAAGATTCCAACCCCTCCTGTCTTATTCGCGTGTTGACTCCAGTAGGACAGCTTATCTGCTGGTCGTCGCAGTCCCCACATTCGATTCCAATGCTGTCGCTGCTTTTTAGCATCCTCATCCGACGCAACATGGGTTTCCTGCAGTAACCAAACACTCGGTCTTGATCTACTTGGAGTCTGTTTCCATGCTGAATACCACTTTTTCCTTGTTTTGCTGGCGAACCCTCTCACATTCTGACTCGCGTACCGTATTCCATCATACGCTCTTCCCTCCTCGGTCTTTTTGGACGGATCATAGAATGCGCCATCCAAGATGGCTGCTCTCCCATATACATCCTCTGCTGCTCCTGGCCAGCGCTCCTCAGCTGGCTCGACAGGAAATACTACTTTGGATCTAATAGGATTGACTGTCATCGCCTTCAATCTGCGCTACAGCATTCACGAAAAAGTCGCTCACTTGAGCCCAGTTAACTTCCTGGTGAGAACCGCTGAGCGCTGTATGGTAGTCCGTATTTTTCTGCAACACTTTTAGGTGAAGCCTCACCTTAGCTGGTGTGCTAACATCGTCTGAGACCTCTATGCCTGTCAACGCACGTTCTTCTTCTGCATACATCTCCGCGCAGAGCAGATGAATTGCTCCCACTGTGCGGAGACTAGGGTCACACAAGTGCAATAGTTCATCTGCTCCGTACTTCAAGGACCGTAGCTTCTCCCAGTCGTCTTTGCTGTTCACCACTGCGGCCATGTCCTCTTCAGTGTCAGCTGCATTCCATCGACCACTCCACTTCTCGAGCCACCTTTTCGTTCCTTGCGTTCGTGATTTTGCCGCTAGTGACATCAGGCCGTCCACAATGCATTCACGTCGCCCCACGTGGACAGGGTCTCTGCATTCAGCAATTACAGCACTTCCTCTCTAAAGAGGAAATGGCGCAAAGCTTCTAACAAGGCCTCGGGGGCTTCAGTGGCTGCTTTGAACCACACATCACTCGAGCCGTCCGCTCGTGGAAAGCTCCCCGCCCTGGTAGGCCATGTCTGCTCAAATGCGTTCCACTGATCTACCCATGGAGGCCGATTGTCAGCCTCTATTTCTGCTCGTGCTGTTGCAACTCCTGTTTCTGGTTTTCCACGCTTATACGGCACCGCCGCGTTGTGAGTTCTTGTGGATTCTGCAGCGGAATCCCGTGGTGTACGTACGCTGAATAATGCTCTTTTGTATACTTCAAAACGATAGGCATCGGCATTTCATCCTCTATTGCCTTCTTCTTGGCCTCGACAAGCAGTTGGATGCACCCCCTTATCTCCAGTCTGTATTGCAGACCTTTGACGAAGGACTCTTTGGCTTTTGTCCTGGTTCCAAAGGTGTACTTCGTGCACTGCCATCCTTTCTGCCCCATTGCGTCCTTGCCTAAGACGAATATATCTCGCTGAAGTAGGTTCGCTGCTACCATGAGAGTCCCCAATTTTTCCGCGGCACCATCGCCAGTGTTGCTTCCACATTCGAAGGAGTGGATGCGTACTCATCTAGGTACTGCCCGAACAGCTTGAGTGAGTTTGGCCTTGACATAGTGGGCCATCCTCTGCCCACTTCGGTTAGCGCCTCTCGCCGTGCTTGGTGCGGGAATTGTTTTTCCAGGTTCGTTAGAGCCATTACGCGAATTCCTCTTTTCAGCGTCGCAACCATTTCTTCTAGATGCGTTGGATACGCATGAAGATCATCATCCACTAGTGCTTGCGCTAGAGCTGTTGCCTGACAGTTTCCATTCATCATGGTCTTCACTAGTCGGATGCCTGCACACTGCTCTACCTCCTCCCACGTGTCTGGTTCCGACGCCTTTGGTGATGGCTTGTGAAAGTCCAGACGAGCACTAGGCTCCGTTTTCACCTGCCCCCCTAAGGCCTCCAAAGCATCTCGTTCGCGTTTGAGCTCTGCCATCAAAATTCCTGGAGCTGCTATTTTTTCTTGTGATTCTACTTCACCGTTGTTGTGATCACGGCTCTGCTGCTTCTCATCCAGGCTACTTTTGCTTTCTTTCGTCTCCATTGGATCTTCATCATCCACGACAGGCTCCCCCCCATCCCTTGAAGCTGATGTCATTGTTTTGCTGGCATTTCTTGTCTGAATCACTACTTTTGGTACTCTCCTTGGCGGAATTCTGATCCTTGCTCCTGCCGATTCACTTACCCGGTACGTTGGTCCTTGTGAGTCTCGAACCCCATTTGCCATGGAAGCCTCACTCTCCTTCTTTTAATCACGTTTCTTCTGCTGCTGTCGCTGTAGTCGTGCTTCGGCATCTTGGCGGATGTCTTCCATGCTCGAGAACGGCTTAGCCAGATCCTCGAGCCCAGTGAGCTCCGCTTCTGTTACCGTTTTGGTGCCTTTTGCCATCTTCTCTTCCTCCTGCTCATTGCAGTGTAACATTCTATGACCTTGTCCTCCGCAGTTAAGACAGAGAAGTCTTAGCGGCGTTCTCGGATGTTGCACAATGAGATTGTGTCCGAACCAGTGGATGCGCACTATTCCTTCCAGGAATATTGGGCATCCTGCCAACTGAAATTGCAGTTGCCATACTGACGACAGATGAGCTTTCGGGTTGCACTGATCTAGCGGCTCCATCGAGAAATCCATCGGAATGTGCTTGCGTAAATACGCTTTTAGTTTCCCAATCTCGACAAACCTCGTCACATTGTGTAGGCGAATTTCGTACACGTTTGGACGCACTCCGGCGATTCCGTTCGAGCTGCGCTGATTCTCCCATGCGTTTCTCGAAGCCTTGGCATGCACATTTCGCAAGCCGTACACTTTTCCGCGGAAAGGAATGGGCACACTAGTCATTGACGCTGCTGTCGCCCTCGTGAAGAAATAAAAGTGAATTTCCTTCTTCACTCTGTTGTAGCTCACGGTTTTCAGGGCGTTTACGAAGTTGTACAGACTTTGAGTTGCCCCTGGTTCCGCTGCTCTTAAAATTGCTTCCACGATGGCCTTCGTGCTCTGCTGTGACGCATGGAGTTTATCACGCCCTCCCAACCGCAGCGGGAGTTCTCCTTCCACTTGAGCCTGAACTGTTCCATACTGTCGAAGACGCGTGTCTTCATCTAGCACATGCTTCACGAATGGTGGTAACTCTCGGCATGCAATATGCCCTTCAAGCATACCTTTAATGATCGTCCATTCATCCTCAACTGACCCTGACTTCCTTGCTCACTCCGTCGCAGGCACAGCGACTCGAGTCTTTTGATGTCGTCTTGGGCGGATTGAACATGAAGGGTTTGAATTCCACTCGATGCTGCCCCTGCGGTGTGTTCTCGTGCACTCTAAAACCCTTGACTACTTGAGACCACTTGTCTAGTACTGGTGCTGGGGTCCATCTGAACTGACTCGTGGTTTGGACGAGTATGTCCGACAGCATTCTGGGTTCCGCATACAATTTCTTGCAGATGATAGCTACTCTACGTTGCCAATCTGCATACTGCATCGGCTCCTTCTCCTGCGCGACAGCTATGAACTCCAGCAAATCTGTGACCTCTGCGTCGGTTAGGTTGGGGTATCGTTGTTTCTGCTGCGGCACAAGGTGCGATCGAATTGGCAGTCTGTCGTGCTCAATTTTGAACAGTGTTTTCACCGTGCTCTTCCATTCCACTAAGTAGGTCCCCTTAGGGTGCGCTTTCAGAGCTGAAACTAAAGCTGTCCAAATCTCTTCCGTCGGAATCCCAGTCTTACCCTCTTCTGGCTTGTCTTCTTCAGCAGATCCCGCTTGGCTGGCCTCCTCACCCGCTTCACCATGCTTGTTCTCCTGCGTGTCCCTCCTATCTTGACTCTGCTCGTCGTCCCCACTTGCAGAAGCAGCTTCATCGTCACTCTCACTTCTATATCGTGGCTCTTCATTTTTCTCGGCGTTCTCATACTCACCTTGTTCTGATGACGCACTTGTTTGCTGTTCCCGGCCATTGGGCTCTCCTTCTCTGGCGTTTTGACCGCTTTCTTCCGTTATTTCGCGTTCGAGGTGCCGTTCATGGTCATCAGCTGTCGTCTTCTCTTCTCGCTGCCCACCTCGGTCGTCCACCATCGATCTTGGACCTCCATCCTCGCCACTCCTTCCGGGGTCCGGATGGAGAGGCGGAGGCATTGCTCCTTGCCTCAGTTGACTTGGTTTCAGTATACTTCTCCAAGGTGAAACCCCTGCACTTGTGTCACTCTCGATCCCTCCAGCCTGTGCTCAGCTATTCGGGGCGTGCGCTAAAATCGCAAGTGCCTACACCGCCTTGGACAAGACCTACAGTGCGTGCGTGCAGCTATAATAACATGTAGCAGCCTCAACCGAACGACCGCTTGCTTCACCGATTTCTGAGAAACTCGGAAAACTCTTAAAATCGCACGCCGAAAATACTTGCGCACGAGTTTGGATTCCGGGTTTGCACTTCTCTGTATCGCTGGGGCTGTACGTGCTGGATTCAAAGGCAATGCAAGAGGCCTCTCACCTGTGAACGCAGGGAGCTCAGTGTGCGAGGAAAGGCTCCATTTGCCCCGGAAAGCCTGGCAAGAATCTCGTTGAATCCGCGCGAAGCCAATTTCCCAGCCCATGTGGTGGCACCGCGATCATGAGGAGTTGCTGAGCCCAGCACAGCGCTGTCGCCTGCATGTGTAGGTATGGCTTCGTTGTTGCCGCAGTGACGTCAGTCGAGGAGGTTTGGTTTTCGCTGTGTCGCAAGGCATACAAATTCCCATACTAGCTAACGGCTGTTTCGGTTTAGCAGACACCAGTTTCGAGACGAGCATGCAACCTTCCCTTCCTCGGACTCTGAGTCCGACACTCAGCATTCCAGCACCAGTGTGCCTGCCTGCATTCCATCCTCTGCAGTAGCCGGCATTGCCCATTCCTCAAAATCACTCGGCATTTCCCTTCAGTCGCCAACCATAGCTCTCCACACCTTGTCGCCATGCTTCGCCTCGGACGATCAGCAGCCTCGGAAGCCTCCAATTGCAGCGGCATGGTGGTCTCCGCCATCCGCAGCAGCCTGCAGCTGCAGCTAGAGCAGCGCGGCGTTCGGGCGCTGCAATGCGCCTACCAGACGCAGTCGCGTTGCAATCCGGAGCCGGGAGCGAAGCGCGGTCGGAATCCGCTCAGCCTGGCCGTCGTGGGAGCCGCGGCGCTCAGCGTCGGCCTGGAGCTGCAAATGGAGGGCGTCGCACACGCGCGCGCCGCCATCGAGCCGGCTGTGCCCCAGCCGAGACACAAGTGGCAGTTGTTTGACCAGATCGGCGCCGGCGCCTTCGGCATCGTGCGGCTCGGCATGCACGAGGACTCTGGCGAGGTGGCCGCCGTCAAGATCGTGCCCATGGAGAACCCCGATGACCGACGCTCGTACCCGTCGCTGGAGCGCGAGATCTCGGCCTTGAAGCTCGTGAAGGCGCTCGGAGGCCACAACAGCATCATCGATCTAAGGGACGTCTACGTGGAAGGCCGCAAGCTCTTCCTGGTCACGGAGTTGGCTCGCGGAGGCGAGCTCTTCGAGCAGATTGTGGCTTACGGATCGTTCCCGGAGGCCAAGGCGCGCGATGTGGCGCGTGAGATGGCGAGCGCTCTCTCGTTCCTGCACCGACATGGACTCGTGCACAAGGACATCAAGCCTGAGAACATCCTCTTGAGTGCGCGCGTTGTGGAGCACAACACCAGCGGCGTGTACCGCAAGGGCAACCGCCACGAGAGCACCAGTCTGGTCAAGCTCGCGGACTTTGGCAGCGCTGGGCCTGCAAGCACGGCCACCAACCTGGAGGACATCGGCACGACCGCCTACCTGCCGCCCGAGCTGCTGACGACCGGAGTCTGCACCAGCGCGTGCGATATGTGGGCCCTGGGCTGCGTGCTCTACATCATGCTGAGCGGCTCGCATCCGTTCGACCTGGACGGCATGTCACCCGACCACGTGGTGGAGCACCGCATCAAGGCCGAGCCGATCACCTTCGCCTTCAGCGCCTGGGACAACGTGTCGCCCGACGCCAAGGACCTCATCTCCAAGCTGCTGGCCAAGGACCCGGCACTGCGTCTCACGGCGGACCAGATGCTGCAGCACCCGTGGATGATCGCCAGCGCGGAAGCCTCTGCGGCCGCTGGCAGCCTGCGCGCACCGTCACCGCTGATGGCGGGCCAGCCGATCCCCATGAGCCCGGCCTAAAGGAACCCTCCCTCAACGTGCGCCCGTGTACTATGGAAAAACTACAACTACGTATTTAAAGCGGGGAACGCAATGAAGTTGTTCGCTGCTGCGAGGACTGAACGCCGCAGCGGCACAGCTTCGAGTTGTGTGTAAAAGTACTACTGACGAGTGAAAGACGATAGAAAACCAAGTTGATAGACGAGAGGAAAAGGAGATGCACGTGTGAATTCTCAATTAAAACACGCTTTTTGACACTATCGTCTAGACGAAGCTTCCTACAATTGCTACACGGGTGTAGAAGAATGCATGTATTTGATTGGAATGTATGGAGACAAACCAGGGCAAGAAGCAGATGGAGACGCGCTGCATAAAGCCCAACTATAACGTCTCACTGGAGTTCTCTATCGCATTATTTAAATGACCACCCCGCACACAACGCATCCAAGACGCTTCACGAGGTGGAGATACCAAATGCTATCGGCGTCAACACAAACACTATCCCTACTCTCGGCAAAACCTGAAATGAAGGGCTCCTCAGTGCCGTCGTTTCCAGACAGCTTTGGTACACTGTACCATCCAAACCTCCGCCAATGAATCACTGGCTTCTCGTCTTGACTTGGTGTTTGTATTTTGTCTCCAATCCTCCCCAACCGCATACCCATTCTGCCAGGGAGATACTTTGGTTGGCCATGCGTTCGTCTGGCGGCTTCCTCCGCCCCCATACATAATCGCCGAGCATTTTGACATTTCCCGGTTGAAAAAGAAGAGCAAGTATGGGTCGTGTTATCCGTGGTCAGCGTAAGGGTGCTGGCTCCATCTTCAAGTCGCACACGCACCTCCGTAAGGGCGCCGCCGGCTTCCGCGCCCTCGACTTCGTCGAGCGCACGGGCTACATCAAGGGTGTCGTCAAGGAGATCGTGCACGACTCGGGCCGTGGCGCCCCGCTCGCCAAGGTCACGTTCCGTGACCCGTACCGCTTCCAGCTCAAGCACGAGCTCATGATCGCGGCCGAGGGCATGTACACGGGCATGTTCGTGTACCAGGGCCCCAAGGCCTCGCTCACGGTCGGCAACACGCTGCCCCTGTCGAGCCTGCCCGAGGGTACCATCGTGTGCAACGTCGAGGCCAAGGTCGGCGACCGCGGTTCGTTCGCCCGCGCTTCGGGTGACTACGCTGTCATCGTGACCCACGACGAGGACAAGGGCAAGACCAAGCTGCGTCTGCCTTCGGGCTCCAAGAAGACCGTCCCTTCGGCGTAAGTTGCTGCTTCATTTCTGGATTTTTTTCCATCGACGCAATGATTCGGGGACTCTGAGGAGGGTCCCTGGGGCACGGCGGCGCTCGTCTCTGTTGCTACCCCTAGTGACAGAGTGAGTGCTCGCGCCGCATTGGGAGCTTTGTCTCCCCTTGCGTGTGTGTGTCTTTATCATTCTTCCCGCCTTGTGCGGTGAGTAAGTATCTCTTGGATGATGACTTGCGCGGAAGTGCGATGATTGGTTTTAGGGGTGCTGCTGATCATTGATCGTCGATAGTGGAGGGGGGATTGGTGGTGACAGGGTTACTGACTTGTGTGCTCGCTTATGGGAATTGATCTACAGGTGCCGTGCCATGATTGGTGTGGTCGCTGGCGGTGGCCGTACCGACAAGCCCATCCTCAAGGCCGGCCGTGCCTTCCACAAGTACCGCGTCAAGCGTAACGAGTGGCCCAAGGTGCGTGGTGTTGCCATGAACCCCGTGGAGCACCCCCACGGTGGTGGTAACCACCAGCACATTGGTCACCCGTCGACCGTGCGTCGCGATGCCCCTGCCGGTAAGAAGGTCGGTCTCATTGCCGCCCGCCGCACGGGCCGTCTTCGCGGTATCAAGAAGGTGGAGAAGGACAACTAAGTTGTCTAGCTCTAGCTTAATCCGCAGCCTCTCGGCTGCACAACGGGAATGCCATAATGAAATGCTTTTCAACCAAAACACCTTTGTCTTCTTCTCATTTCTTGTATCTACCCATACATGAGTCTCTCAGCACGACGTCGTTCCTTTGCCTCTCGTTTCTCTCGTTCACGTCGCAACTCTTGCAGAATAGCCTCTTTCTTGCTGGTCTTTCGCGAGTTCTTCTTCTCCTTGTGGTGTTTGCGGCGCTTCTTTGAGCGTTTATCCCCTTCATCTTCGCTGCTGCTGTGTCCACGACGGCCTTTGCGTTCAGGAGACGTCGACGAGCGATTGTACCTGGCCGAATACTTCCTGCGGTCACTACCAGCAGGTCCTTCTTCATCAACACCGCGTCTTCCTCTCTTCTCGTCCGAGCGTCGAGAAGTATCAAACAGCGGACGCCCCTCCTTCGGCCGCATGTGCTGCAATGGATCGGCGCCTTCCAGCTCCCTACAACCACAGCAACAACAGTCAGCTAACAGCTCCATGCTTTTCTTGTATCAATCTGCACTGCGCACCTCTTGCGCTTGCGCTCCTGCCTGGCAGTCGGTTCGTTCTTCTCCGCGTCTTCAGCCTGAGCATACCACGGCAGCTTGCCATGTCGGCCCAAAGTGTCGTCCATCTTCTCCTCCCTCTTGCCCCCGCTCTTTGCTTTAGCTGCCAGCGCCTCCTCCGCCTTGAAGAAGTTGATATGCTGCTCTTCTGCTCGACCGCCGCCCGTTGAGACGAGCTTCTCCGCGCGTCGCTCCTGCTCCAGCCGCCGCTCCTTCGCGTCCCGATCCCGCTGCTGTTCCTCGTGCTCGCGCTCGTCGCGCAGCACGTGCTCGATGTTGTCGCGGCGCCACACATGCCACTTCTTGTGCGGCAGGATGCGCAGCCCGCCGCCCCCCATGCTGCCTCTTCGACTGATTGGTTGGCTTTGTTGGGGAAAATGAATGTGTATCTAATGAAGGCGCTTATGGACGAGAATTTACCGAGGACTTCCTCAAAGCAAGCCGAGTAAGAACTACGGTATCGTAGCCCACTGCAACGCAAGGGAGGCCTCCATCTCCTCTTCCAGCCAAAAGCTCGTCATTGACACGCATGGTCTCCAGGTGACTTGAGGTTTGTATGGGTACCAACTTGAAGCTGGTCACGGTACACTTTCGCCAATCATGACCCCGACCAGCTCGCTCATTTCAGATTTTGCGCCCAAGCCCAAGGACTCGAGCCAAGCCAAGCGATGCCCAAGGCCAAGCAGCTCGTCAAGGACGGCCACAGCGTGGTGGCCGACATGGTGGAGGGCATGGCCCTCGCGCACCCGCACCTGGTGCTGGAGCGCAGCGAGCGCGTGCTGCTGCACCGCGACTACGCGGCCATCCGCGAGCGCCAGGTGACGCTCATCTCGGGCGGCGGCAGCGGCCACGAGCCCGCGCACGCCGGCTACATCGGCGAGGGCATGCTCACGGGTGTGGTCTGCGGCGGCGTGTTCGCCTCGCCGTCCACGCAGCAGGTGCTGACGGCCATCCGCCTGGCCGCGGGGCCGCTCGGCTGCCTCGTGGTGGTCAAGAACTACACGGGCGACCGCATCAACTTCGGCCTGGCCGTGGAGCAGGCCAAGGCCGAGGGCCTCAAGTGCGACATGGTGGTGGTGGGCGAGGACGTGGCCGTGGTGAACGCCAACGCCGGGCGGCGCGGCCTCAGCGGCACGGTCTTCGTGCACAAGCTGGCGGGCGCAGCGGCCAAAGCCGGCAAGGATCTCGCAGCTCTGGTCAAGATGGTGAACGGCCTAACGGGCGAGAGCAAGCTCGGCACTATGGGCGTGGCCATCAAGCCCTGCACGCTGCCGGGCCAGGAGGACAGTTCCAGGGAGTGGGGGGACAACGAGATGGAGGTGGGGCTGGGCATCCACGGCGAGCCCGGAGTGAGCAAGTGCGAGCAGCAGGACGTGCCCGCGCTGTGCAACATGCTGGTGGAGAAGATCACGACGGACTCGACGAGTGTGGGGCTGGCGCTGAAGGAGAGAAGCAGGTGCGTGCTCATGGTCAACAACTTGGGGGCCACAACGGGCATGGAGCTCTACGTGGTGGCCAAGCACGCGGTGCAGGCTCTCCGCGCCAAGGGCGTTGAGCCCGAGCGCGTGCTGGTGGGCTCGTTCATGACGGCGCTGGACATGGCGGGCTTCTCGCTGTCGCTGTGGAACTCGAACGGCGACGCGGACATGCTGGCGCTCTTCGACGCCCCCACTTCGGCTCCTGCGTGGACGTACTCGCCCTTCGACCTCGCGCAGTCGTCGATTTCTGGACCGTTCATCAAGGCTGAAGCCCCCGTCCAGACCACGAAGACTTTCGAGCGCCCGGCCGAGCTCTCCAACAGCGGACGTCTGCTTGAGAAGTGCATTCTGGCCGTGTGTGATACTCTGATCAAGAACGAGCCCCAACTGACCAACTGGGACACCAAGGTGGGCGACGGCGACTGCGGCACCACGTTCAAGAACGCAGCGGAGGCGATCCTTGCCGACCTGAAGGCTCACTACCCGCTGAACGATGCTACGCAGACACTGCGTGCACTTGCTGACTCTGTCGGTCGCAGCGCGGGTGGTACCTCTGGAGTGCTCTACGTCATCTTCTTGACGGCTGGCTCGCTCCACCTAGAGAGCTGCAAGGAAGTCGACACTGCCGCATGGGTTGGAGCTTTCCAAGCGGGTATCGCAGCGGTTCAGAAGTACGGAGGAGCTAAGGAGGGCTCGCGCACCATGGTGGATGCACTTGTGTCGTCGCTTCGTGCGCTTGACAGCCCGACCTCGAAGAATGGCGCTGAATTGGCCTCGGCTGCTGCTAAGGCGGCTCAGGACGGTGCTGAGGCCACGGCTCAAATCTCCACCAAGCAAGCTTTTGGCCGTGCCGGATACGTTGGCGAGGAGTTCGGTGCGGGCATCCCCGACCCTGGTGCCAAGGCCGCTGCATTCTGGATCCAGGCCGTCGCGGACGCGGTGAACTCGAGCTGATGCGATTCAGCCGGAGATATAGTAGGAAAGCGTACGTGGCGAGACTTTCAAACTTGTATGAGATCGTGTCGTGAGCAATAATGAAGCTGTTTGGCATGTTGAAGTTGTCAATGACCACAAAGTATCTTTTGCGCCTGATCCCTGACAGGCGTCGACTCGGACACCAAGATTTCGACAACAAAAGACACCAAGCGGACTCAAAGCAATGAGACCACGCTGGCATCCTCCACAGCTCCTGCTGTTCGTTGTGGTATCTGCTTTGAGCGCTGCGCTTGCGGTGGGCGAAGCGTGTTGTGCTGAATGCCTCGAGCAGACCGACCCTCTACACACAGTCATCACGTACGACCCGCTCGTGTTTGACCAGTGCAGTGCAGCCACAGGCATTTGCTGTTACGGCTGCTCCTTCACACACGGCACTCTGGAGTATCAAGATGGAGTAACCTTCGACAGCAATGGGTCGGCCCAGGTCTCGGCTGGTCAGGCCTTCAGCTTCGGCATTAACGGTGTATCTCGTGTCACCTACGATTTCATGAAGACCAACCAGGTTCAAACGAGTTTCGTCACGAACACAAGCACCGAGGCGAGCTCCAGTGGGAATGTGTTCACTGTTTGCGTTGATGACCCTGGGACGGTCGTCTTACGTGGCTGGGGCGCAGATTCGTGCACTCAAGTGACGGAGGAGTACAAGTTTACCGTCGTTGAAGGCAACGACACCGGAACGTGCGACTCCAGGGGGTCCATCATCTTGGTAGGCTCCGCCTCGTCAGCACACAATGAACCGGTGGATGCTACCGGTCGAGATACCACGAGCTCGTTGTACTCGGACCACAACGACTTTGCGAACTGCAATCCTACACGAGGCACGGTGGTGACGCAGGAGGATGGATCCAAGGTCTGCAAGTGTACGGGTGACTGGCGCAACCCACCAACTTGTGACGAGTTCTCGTACGTCAAAGTGATCATCACCATTCTTGGAGCAGTGGCGACGGTGGTAAGTACAGCGTTTGGAACTGAAATATCGGAGCGAATTGCTGAGCTTTCTTGTGTAGATTTCGATCTTGATCTCCGTGCGGGCGTACATCAAGAGCCGCAAGAGCAAGAAGGCGAACAATGATACAAACAAAGACGCCCAGGAGGACAGCAACGACGACGATGGCGACGACATCCTCTCAGTCGAAGTGATCCACATTGGTAGCAAGCCCCCACCTGGAACACCAGGCAAGCCTTCTCTTGCCATTCCTGGATCTCTCGCTCGTTCCTCTTTCATCGCTAGTGAGCAACCACCAACTGCAACGAAGGAGACGACACTTTGAAGTCCACTTGGAAGTAGTAGGGATAAATACAAGTTCCTCTTATACGACGTAAAATGTGAAATGAGGACGAAAAATACAGCCATGAATACAGACTGTGACTATCTAGTTCAAGCTCGCTAACAGCCTTCGCCGCCAGCAACATTGAGACACGAGGTGCGCTCGAAGGACGACAGAGTCGTCGTGAGCAACGCCCAGAAAACCATGAACGAGGCGCACACGGCCGCTGCAATGGCAATGATCGAGCCTTTCCTGCCAGTAAAGCGTGAAAGCTTTAAAATTCGAGCAGCCTCGGCTTGGTCCGGGAGCAATGTCAGCAGTGCAAGGTGCAGCACTCGGATAACCACCGCAACCAGGAAGCAGTACATGGCCTGAGCGCGAGCGTGACTCGAATCCGACTGGTACTCCGAGTCGTAGACGTCGAAATGCTCCCCAATGGCTTGCGATAGCGAAATGGAGAACGGAACGGCCAGATTCCCCATGGTTACCAGCAAACTGAACGACGTGCACTCGAGTCCCGGTTCAGCGACTGCCACAGCTGCGAGCAGCGCCACGAAATACGCCAGCGCCTCAAAAGTGACAGTAATCTGCTCCACCAGCAGTGTGAGAGCAGCAACACGAAGCAAGTTGAACACCACAAAGAGAGCCACAACGAGAGTGAGAGCGGCCGAAACCACCACTGAGCCAGCCACTGTCTGTCGCCATCCAAGCTTTTGCAAGATGTGCATCGTAGGCCCGTGACCGATTGCCAGCGCTGCTCCTGCGTACACTGCAGCGTTCAAACTGGAGAAAATGTTGGTCGTCAAAGCCCCGGCTGGAGCCCAGTACTCGTAAATCGCCTTGGCCGACGTGGCATAATATGTGAAGCAGAGCCTTGAAAGGAAAATGTAGCACATCAGCTGGAGAATTGCTCGCTGATGGAACAACTTGCGGGCGGTGATTTTCCATTCGCGCGGCGTCAGAATGTGGACGTTGTATCCAGCGGGATTCTCGTCCTCCAGTAAACAGAACCACGTGGCTGCCAATGTCCCGGCCGACACCAGCACAGCGATCACCACCATCCCATTAATCGTAGCTCCCCACGCGAAACTTCCCCCGTACCAGTCACTATTGCACATGAACGCCACGAAGAACGTCACAATGAACTGCGAAAGATATCGTGCCGCAAAGAGTGTCGTGACGACATAAGTCGGTCCTGAAGCTCGCGGCATTGGCAACGGGTTGGTATCTCCATCCAGCTCGCACTGTTGGTGGTGAAAATGCATCTGCTGCTGCTCGCTGGCTTGATGCAGCTGTGCAAACTCAACCAGCATGCCATCGCTCGCAGTGTCCGCCAAAACATATCCAAAGGTGGCAATCACGAACATCGCCACGTATTTGTTCCCAGCCTCCGCTGCACTGCTATTCGTCACAGCTCCGTCCGTCAAGTAGGGCGTCTCCACAGGAAGCACAGCTAATATAAACGAAAAGAAGAAGCATATTCCCCACCCGATCAACATGTACGCTCGCCTCCTCGACCCTTTGATGGGGACACCGTCCGACAGCATCGCCATGAAGACCTTGAGCAGCCACGGTAGAGCAAGCCACCGCTCCGCCGAGTACGCCAGGTAGTCGTCCATATTCAGGTACACGTTCAAGTACGGGTACATGAGGGACTGGAAGAGCCCGTGCACTGCACCGACCGCGACGTAGTTGACGAATAGTCCGATGTTTTCCCGTGCGAAGAGATCCAGAGCTGCTGCAGCCCGCCCCGACGGGAGCTGCTTGCCCACGACCATCAACGAGTCGGTGAAGTTGACAGAAGCAGTGTCGGACTCGGTGCTGGGGCGGTAGGGAAGCACTGCGGCTTCGTATTTGGCGCCGTCGTCACTGTGAGACGCCGAGGCCGTCTCCAGCATGGAGAAGTTCTGGCGCCGGTCCTGCGGAGAGATGTCGTAGCTGTTGAGCTCATTCTGGAGCTGCTGCTCGGGTGAGATCACGTATCCGACGTCGCCTTCGGTCGTACCCATGGCCTCGATCAGAGGAGGGAGGCCGAGCGGGTGTGACGATGACTAGCTTTGGAGATCAGCAATGAGTTGTGGTGGTGCCTTTTACGTCTGACTCGATTTCGGTGGGTCCGTTGCATATTTTAATCAAGAGATACGAGTTCAGCAGGTGACTTGAATAGAGGGCGGAAAAGGCATGGCTCCTGGGCTCTTGGGCGAACCCAAAAAGTCGCGAGCTTGGGCTCCTGGGCTCTTGAGTTCAATAGGTTAAGTGAAAGGAGCCCTCCAGAACTGTGAGCCCTCGTTAAGGGCTCCCCCTCACCTGTGTTAAATATCTCGCTGATGATTGGCCGTCAGTGAAGTATCTCCAGGTTCTAACCTGAAAAGGCATAGGAAAGAGGGCTTCTCCTTGAAGGGAAGGAAGGACTATCGGCGACGCTGGGATGGCCTCGGAGCGGCTGTACACATATGAGCGGCGCGAGATCTTCTAGTGTGGCGATCTTTGAGCTCGATCTTCTAGCGTGGCGCATCGATCACGCGAAGTTACTCGCCTTAAGTCTAGGTAAAATTGGCCAATCATATATTACTATAAGAGCCCGTCATAGATTTGAAGCTAAATTTGGGGAGCCCTGGAGGGGAGCCAATGGGGAGCTCCTTGATCTCGTACTTACCATGAGGGAGCCCATTTTGTGCGACTTTTGGCGCTCGTTTTAGGGGGAGCCCACTTTTGAAGTAGACGGGCTCGGGCTCGTAGAAGGTGTGGTGTACTCTGTATTGACCACCTTCATCCTCATTGTGGCGGCGGCACCCACCCTCCGCACACCAAGTGCTGCTTTTCGTCGACAGTTGGTGAAATTGTTGACCTTATAGCGCAGCTGATGGATAGAGTTCCCCCCGAGCACCTCGAGATATAGTAACGCTACCGGTGCTTGTATAGAGCTCTCACAGATTCTACACAGGTGGCAAAGCATGGAGGGGAAGCTCGTTTACGGTGTTTGTATACCATCTCCAATGGATTTCGTCTGTTTGGCGGTAGACGTTGGTCCGGACCTACTTCGTAATCGGGATGCCATTCCACAATTGGACTGACAGCCCCCAGGTCCGAGTCTTCGCAGGAGAATGATGCGTCTACCGTTCATCCTGCTAATGACCACTGCCGCTGCTTTCATGACTACTGCCGACGCTATAACATCGACGTTGAACCAAGGTGATAGTGCTGAAGGTGTTGGCAGGCGATTCCTGCGGACTTTCAACGACGAAGACGCTGATACCAAGACAGAAGCAAGGTCACTCAAGAAGGAGGCATCTAAAGATTTCGGGCCTTTCGTCGTTAGCTCATGGAACATCGACCCGACACACTAAGTTATTGCTTCACGACAACAGTACAATACGCGAATACAACACGCTTCTAACCGATTCGACGTTGGCATTGAGAGATAATTACGTGGTTAGCCCTGACACAAACTCTCGTTTAGTAAATGGTCTTGTCGTAGCTGCAGGTCTTGAGGATGTCGCTGCCGATGTCTGCGGGCAGCTCGTAGACGCACTCGGTTGCGACGGAGGCAGCGACGTTGCAGCTGTTGCCCACGTACGAGTTGGTCTTCTTGGTGATGACATTGGAAGTTGACGAGGACTGGGTGCGCATGGTGATCTTGTAGTTGCCGTAGCTGGCCTTCCGAGCCATGCACGTGTACGGGGTGAAGTCGTTGACGTTGTCGGTGCTTTTGCCCGCAGCTGCAGCGGCAGCGGTCAGCGGATACCGACCAACGGCGAGCACGTAGGTACCAGAGCTCAGTCGCTGGATCAGGTACGAGTCTTCAGCCGTAACGGAGCCGTCTGTGGTTCCTCGGCTGTAGTACGCGGCGTTGTCGTCGCCAGCATCGTCGTTACTCGCCACAAGCGAGAGCGAGCCGTCCGTGAGCTTCTTGAACAGGAAGATGTGCGGGTCGATGAAGGCCGAGTCGCAGTCCGAGTTGACGTCCGAGAACGTCGCGTTGTCTGCCGTCTCCATGGACAGCAAGTTGATCTCCACGATGGCTGTGGACGGCTTGATAGTCAACGTGTACTGGTCCACCGTCACGTAGCTCGACTTGCGGAAGATCGTGCCGCTCACAACCTCCGTTACGACCGGAAGAGCAGCGTCAACCGAGCCGATACACCACGAGGCAGCTTGCAGCAACAACGCCGCAGCACCCATCGAACTGAAAACACCACGCATATTGTCTGTTGGTCTGGCACTGAGGGAAGAATCAAAGTGAGAGCAAGGAGACTACCTTTGCACCACACGCGACGATGCCTCCGACGAAACCTGGAAGAACGTTCATGCCTACATTAAGCCACTTAGTCCCATCAAAACAGCCACAAAGAATCGTATTCTCCACAGCATCGCAGTCGTACTCTTCAACCACAGAAACCACCAACACGGGACATCACGAATCTAAAAAACAGTCAAAAGCATGTGCATTCTCAAGTAAAAAAAAGTCTATAAACCTGCTCGCTCCACCTTCCCATCCATCCAGCCAGCCAGAGTGAGGTCAACTCCTCTTCCTGTTCTGTTGTGCGGCCTAGTTGCCCAGCAGGTCGTAGTCGTCGAGCTTGTCGTTGTACTTCATGATGGTCCTCTTGATCTTGGAGCTGTCGACCCACGTGACAAAGTCCTCCATGGGGCGCGTGACCAGGAAGGCCGGGTCCGACACGACCGTGGGGCCCACGCGCACGTGGCCCTGCTCCACGAACGTCGTGGCCTCCTTGATGCTCTCGGCCATCTTGACGCGCACCATGACGACGGGCAGGCGGCGGCGGCAGAAGGACGAGACGTTCACCTCCTCGGCCTTGAGCAGGCTCTTCTTGGTCTGGATGAGCCCCATGTGGAAGAGCTTGTCCAGCAGCGCCGTGGTCGTCTTGACGCGGTACGGGTCGTTGGCCGGGCGCTTCTTGAGCCGCGCCACGAGCCGCGAGATGTGCCCCACCAGGCGGTTGTACTTGTGGTACTGCTCGCGGTCCGGGATGCGGTAGCGGCGGATGACCTTGATCTCATGCAGGTTGTTCTCCTTCTTCCACTCGAGCAGGTCCACCTTCCGCAGCAGCTTCTGCTCGTGGAACTTGAGTTGGCGGCCCATGGTTACTCTGCCCAACGATAGTCGCTATGTAATGGAGCTTTTCAGTCAAAAATGGTCTTGGGCTGTTACATACAAAAACCAAGTGAACCGTCGCGTTCCCCCAGGTTATGTTTCGTCTAGTTCGCGTGGTCCACATGACGCTCCCAGAGCCAACGGATCCGTAACGCGGACGGAGGGCATCCCCATGTCCGGTCATTTCCAATTGGCCGTACCCCTACCGTACCTGTACGTCATGACGGCCGCCGACGTGGACAAGAAGAGCAAGAAGAAGAAGCTCAAGGCCGCGAACGCCGAGGGCAAGGACCTCATCGCGCCCGAGTCGCACACGCCCGCGCTGGACACGAGCAAGTGGCCGCTGCTGCTCAAGAACTACAACCAGCTCAATGTGCGCACGGGCCACTACACGCCCATCGCCTGCAGCTCGAGCCCGCTCAAGCGCAACCTGAACGACTACGTGCGCTACGGCGTCATCAACCTGGACAAGCCGGCCAACCCGTCGTCGCACGAGGTCGTGGCCTGGATCCGCCGCATCCTGCGCGTCGAGAAGACGGGCCACTCGGGCACGCTCGACCCCAAGGTCACGGGCTGCCTCATCGTGTGCGTGGACCGCGCCACGCGCCTGGTCAAGGCCCAGCAGGGCGCCGGTAAGGAGTACGTGGCCGTCGTGCGCCTCCACAGCGCCATCGAGGGCCAGGCCAAGCTGGCCCGCGCCATTGAGACGCTTACCGGCGCGCTGTTCCAGCGCCCGCCGCTCATCTCGGCCGTCAAGCGCCAGCTGCGCATCCGCACGATCTACAGCTCCAAGCTCATCGAGTACGACGAGGACCGCCACCTCGGCATCTTCCACGTGAGCTGCGAGGCCGGTACCTACATCCGTACGCTGTGTGTGCACCTGGGCCTCGTGCTGGGCGTGGGCGGCCACATGCAGGAGCTGCGCCGCGTGCGCTCCGGCGTGCTGGGCGAGAACGACTCGATGGTCACCATGCACGACGTGCTGGACGCGCAGTTCCAGTACGACACGTACAAGGACGAGTCGTACCTGCGCCGCATCGTGCGCCCGCTCGAGGTGCTGCTCACCACGTACAAGCGCATCGTGGTCAAGGACAGCTCGGTCAACGCCATCTGCTACGGCGCCAAGTTCATGATCCCCGGCCTGCTGCGCTTCGCCGACGACATTGACATTGGCGAGGAGGTGGTGCTCATGACCACCAAGGGCGAGGCCATTGCCGTGGCCATTGCCCAGATGACCACCGCGGTCATGGCCACGTGCGACCACGGCGTCGTGGCCAAGATCAAGCGCGTCATCATGGAGCGTGACACGTACCCGCGTCGCTGGGGCTTGGGCCCCATGGCCCAGAAGGTCAAGGGCCTGGTCAAGGAGGGCAAGATCGGCAAGTACGGCAAGGTGAACGAGAACACGCCCGCCGACGTGTCGGAGCTGTACGGCAAGAACGAGGAGAAGAAGCCGCTGGTTGAGGAGGTGAAGGAGAAGATGGAGTCGGCCTCGGAGGAGGAGGAGGCCCCCAAGAAGAAGGCCAAGAAGGAGAAGAAGGAAAAGAAGGAGAAGAAGGAGAAGAAGAAGAAGCACAAGCGTGACGCCGACGAGGCCGAGGTCGCCGAGGAGGGCGAGTCCCCCGAGAAGAAGAAGTCGAAGAAGAAGAAGAAAAAGTCCAAGGAGACGAGCGACTCGGAATAGATGGATGGAAGATCTTTTTCTCCTCTTCACTTCCACTGCTCGGTTGTGTTCACCCCATGACTATCCTCCGGACAAAAAGGAGGTAGCCTGCAGCCCAGCCAGCAGTCTCACAAGCAGAATCGAGTGCCTCGAAGCTGCGTGTCGTGTGTATAGTGCACGCAGCTCCGCATACAGTAGTCGCTTCAAAGTAATATATATCCTGTATGTTTTGTTTATCTCTTTGCTACTACTTTCTCCACCTCGAGAAAAACGACGACTCCCCTCCTTTCTTTCCAGGCTTCGTCTTCTTCTTGTGCGCGTTGGCAGCGCTCACTTGGTCCACAAGTCGTTCGCGTTCTCGCTCCTTCGCCCTCAAGACCAGCATCTGATGGAAATGTTCACGCGCACGCTTGCAGCGCCACGCGCATTGAATCTTGACAGCGCAGGCGACCTTCTTGGCCTCGAATTGACGGTCCTTCTCGTCCTCGTACTCTTTCTTACGAGTAGCAATCACATGCGCACGAACTCCAGGGTCGGAGTGCGTGTTCTTGGGGTGTCCTCGACGCATTATGCGGCCAGTGACCAAGTCCTCGAAAATATAATCGGGTGCGTCATCTTCTTCTCCTCCATCTTCTCTTCTTTCTTGACTCTGTTGTCGTCTTCGAAGTAAACGTCGTTGGCGCCGCCATTCCTTCTCAATGCTCTCCTCAACTTCTTCTTCATCGCTTTCAATGCGTTCGTACGTCGTGTCAGGCGTCCCCGGCTCGACAATTGGAGAATCGTTCTCGTTGTCGTCGGAATAAATACTCGGGGCTCCCTTGGCGAAGACAATCGCGCGCGTCTTTCTCCTCTGCTTGGGCTTTACGCGCTTGACTCGGATTCGTTTCCAGCGGTCCGTGAGCTTCGTGACGGGAACGAGCTCCGTGATGGCGACGCCGTCGAGAACAACGCGAACCAACCCGAAACGATCTTCCGGCACCTCCACGATAATGGCCGAGTTGACATGCTTATCACCTTTCTTAGGGAATACCTTCACATAGAGACCGTCCTCTGCAGTCAGCGATTCTTCTTCTTCTTCTTCATCGTCCGATTCACTGTCGTGCTTATTCTTTGGAGGGGGTGCCATGGGCTTGAGCTGAGAGAGCATTCGAGGGAGGAATCGCTTGAACGCACCGTCCGTCGTGAACCCCGCGCAAATTTCATCCTGTCGAGCGATCTCCATGAGCTCAGCGATGCTCGTTCCTTTCGGTTCACGACGATAGTTGCCGGCGGGGAAGTCTCTCTTCGGGTAGAACTGGAACGATATCGCGCACTTCTGGGCGATACTGGGCGCTACGATCACCTCGCGACCCGGCCGACACCAACGCGGCAGACTGATGGCGCGCGTGAAGAGGTAGTGGAAGTAGTTGCGCTGAATCAACGTAGCGGCGCGTCTTCGTCGACTCAATAGGTCCTGGAAGGCGTGATACGCTCGTCGACCTCGCCACATACTCGCAATCAAAGTGGCCGAGTCGTATTCGAGCTGAGCGCGTAGCAGGAATTTCCATCGCATCTCGTCCTTCTCCATGAGGAAGCACTCGGCACGTCGTAAGCCTTGCAGCTCAGCGACCGAGAGTGTTCGAGGGTTTAGGAGGAACCCAGGAAAGACCCAGTGCTTCTGCGAGTTGAGAAACACGGGCGTGCCATCCATGATCGCCTGCGTCCTCGTAGTCACGTGCGACTCGGAGAGCTTGACGATGAAGCGGTTGCGCGTGGTCAACTCCAGTTCGAGGTCTGTGAACATTCGCTGCATGGCTTGAAGTCGCGTGTGCATCTTGCTTTGGGCCTCTTTGATCTCGTCCAGCTTGCGCGTCAGCTCGAAGTTGGTCTTGAAGAGCACGGGTGATGCTGCGAGTAAGGCAACGGAAGACTTACGTCTCTCAACGGGGGATGACTCGGGCGATTCAGTCTGTGTAGGGGTTGAGCTGTCGACAGGATGCCGCAGATACATGACGAACCACAGCGCGGGCTTCTCAGGCGCAGTCAGCAGCAAATTCACCAACGCGCGGACGACTTCGTCGATCACCATGTCGAAGTACGCGTCCAGGTTGCGCTGAGCTTGAAGGCCAAGACGAAGCTGATCTGACAGCCACTCCGACTCGGTCTCCACTGTGATTGATACAGCTGGCTCTGTGGGTTCTGCCTTCGATTGTTCGTTGACTTTAGGGAGCAGAGGCACTTTGCTGGTGTTGATGCTCCAGTTGGACTGCAGTGAGGGCTCCTCCCAGGCCAAGAACGCGTGGTCGACCTTCTTGAGTCGGCGTTCTCGACCCACGAGCTTTAGTTCTTGCTCGAGCGCGATGATCTTGCGGATCAAGCGCTTGCTCTCCAGTTCGTCTTGTTTGGTATCACGAAGAGCGCTTTGAATCACTCGTCTCTTCCTATGCATCTCGAGCATCAAGGCCTCGGACACGGTCGGCTGGAGAACATAAGCCAATTTGCACTGCAGTGAGCACAAAGCTTAAGCGTTAGACTCGAAACACCATGAAGAATGGTACAAGGAATGACGTTTACGGCTCGACGCAGGTAGTCAGCTAACCACGGTAGCGGCGATAAAGGTCTCGCCATCAGCAGTTCATTCACGGCGTCTGAAAGGTGCTGAAGCAGCTCCAACACCTCGGGATTCTCCAAGTACGAAGAGTTGGGGCGTGTGGCTGCGTGCACTCGAGGTAGAAACTTCTCCAGCCATTGCTGTCTGCGCTGCCGGCAGCGTTCCTGCTCGTGTCTGCTCAGACGCACCATCGCGACTCTCTGAGTGCTATCCTGGATACCAACCAATTCGACACCTTGCCAAGTAAAACCATCCATTGATTCATTTCACGACTACGAATACAGTCCAAGACAACATGAGAAGTCTTACACCGTAGTGGGGAACTCGAGCTCTCGCACAAAGTCCAGCGACGCGGCGTTCCTGTTCGTGGCTGTTTCTTGCGGCATCAAGTCGTGCTCCTTTAGCCATTCTTCATTGTAAAGTTTGCTGCCATATCGGACTCCTCCGTCCGCCAGGATGGTCACAATAATGTAACCTGGCCCAAGCTCCCTCGCCATCTTCACCGCCCCCAGCACGTTCAACGCGCTGCTTGGGCCAACGAAGATCCCATCGTTCCGCAGCAAGAAGTAGGCCATGTCCACGATCTCCTGGTTGGTGCCGGTGACGCCTCTGTCGATGATCGCTTGGCGGAGGTTATGCGTGACGCTCGTGAGCGCCGCCACTCCTTCGGCGATAGTCGAGCCTTTGACAGTCGGCATCATCTCGTAGCCGTCCTCCATCGTGCCAGTAGATCGGTTGTTGTTAATGAACATGGCGACGTTCGCGACCTCTGCAGGGTCAATGAGCCACACCTTCACACTCTTGTTCTGCTCCTTGAAGAACCTCGACATACCCGCAATAGTCCCCGAAGTGCCCGCAGATGTCACAAACCCGTCGATCTCTCCTCCAACCTGCTGCCAGATCTCCGGCGCAGTGCCTTCATAGTGTGCGCGCATGTTGGCGACATTGTTGAACTGGTTGGGGCAGTAGGCGTTGGGCGTCGTCTCTGCTAGCCGACGAGCTACGTGGAAGAAGTGGTTCTCCTTGTCCGACATGGACGTTGTGGGCAGGATGTGGACCTCGGCGCCCATGGTCTTCATCATCTGGACCTTCTCCTTGGCCGTGATGTCGGGCATCGTCAGCAGCGTCTTGTAGCCGCGTGAAGCTCCCAACAGAGCGAGGGAGACACCTGTGCTGCCTCCAGTCGCTTCGATGATGGTTCCTCCAGGCTTGAGCAGGCCGCGCTCTTCCGCATCCAGGATAAGGGACTTGGCGACGCGGTCCTTGATGCTGCCGCTGGGGTTGGCGTACTCGGCCTAGGCGAGGAGTTTGCATCCCGTGAGCTTGGAGAGCGTCGTGAGCTCTAGCAACGGCGTGTTGCCAACAGATGAGGGCAAGTCGTCAGAGCCGATATGCTCATAGCGTTGAGAATGGGACGGGCGACGTTGCCAGGCATGATGAACGGTGCTTGGCTTGTTTCAACGTCTGGTAAATTGCAGAATGAAGAGAAGCCTATAGATGAGACTTGGTGTGGTTGGTTACTCATCAAGAGGATGCGTCAGTCTGCAGAGATTACTTCAAGCAACGTTTAGTCAGGAGACCGCGATGACTTCTCCATAATTGACTGAAGACTAGCGAGACTGTTGTGTCTTCACCTGGGGCAGGAGACCCATTTCTATTAATCCTTACCGAGTTGTGTGGTCTCGTACGCCAGCGCTCTGCAACAGCCAGAAGCTTCCTCGATCTAGTTCTCAGCTCCTGCTGGTGCGGTTATGAAGAAAACACACTCAACTTTACACCGTGTTGGGGAACGAGAGTTCGCCCACAAAGTCCAGCGACGTCAAGCCTTCCCGCGGCAGCAGGTCGTTCTCCGCCAGCCACTCTTCGTTATACAACTTGCTGCCGTAGCGCACACCTCCGTCCGCCAGGATCGTCACAATGGTGTGTCCAGGACCCAGTTCCCTCGCCATCTTGACCGCTCCAAGCACATTCAGTGCACTACTAGGACCCACAAACACGCCGTCGTTCCTCAGCAGGAAGTAGGCCATTTCCACAATCTCCTGGTTTGTGGCAGTGACGCCCCGGTCCACCACCGACTGGCGCAGGTTCTCAGTCACGCGCGAGAGCGCCGCCACTCCTTCGGCAATGGTTGATCCGGTGGCCATGGGCACCACCTCAAAGCCGTCTTCGATGGTGCTGGTCGAGCGCTCGTTGTTGATGAAGACCGACATAGCCGCAGTCTCCTCCGGGTCAATGAGCCACACCTTCACACTCTTGTTCTGCTCCTTGAAGAACCTCGACATACCCGCAATAGTCCCCGAAGTGCCCGCAGATGTCACAAACCCGTCGATCTCTCCTCCAACCTGCTGCCAGATCTCCGGCGCAGTGCCTTCATAGTGTGCGCGCATGTTGGCGACATTGTCGAACTGGTTGGGGCAGTAGGCGTTGGGCGTCGTCTCTGCTAGCCGACGAGCTACGTGGAAGAAGTGGTTCTCCTTGTCCGACATGGACGTTGTGGGCAGGATGTGGACCTCGGCGCCCATGGTCTTCATCATCTGGACCTTCTCCTTGGCCGTGATGTCGGGCATCGTCAGCAGCGTCTTGTAGCCGCGTGAAGCTCCCAACAGAGCGAGGGAGACACCTGTGCTGCCTCCAGTCGCTTCGATGATGGTTCCTCCAGGCTTGAGCAGGCCGCGCTCTTCCGCATCCAGGATAAGGGACTTGGCGACGCGGTCCTTGATGCTGCCGCTGGGGTTGGCGTACTCGGCCTTGGCGAGGAGTTTGCATCCCGTGAGCTTGGAGAGCGTCGTGAGCTCTAGCAACGGCGTGTTGCCAACAGATGAGAGCAGGTCCACGGAGCCGGGAGTGGAATAGGACGCGTCCTGCAGCTCTGCCGAGCTCGATGTCACGCTGAACGAAGTCGCGAGGAGCTTGGGAGAGGGCGAGCAACGGCGAAGCACGGAGAGCATGGTGGACTGGTGCTTGGGTGGCAAATGGCTCAATGGAGCGGTCTCGAGATGGGATGCCGCAGATGCTTACGATGTCTACAAAAAAGGCAACATTCGCCAATGACCTGGGTGGAGCACCGGACGTCACGCCCATAGGCTGCCCAAAATCTCGGCAGATGTGCAGGACCAGTCCTGTGCCAGATGTGCACTACTTGTCGCTATCTCTAGGATTTAGTAGGACTATCGGTCGCTAGGCGTCTTCGCGGAAGAGCTCGATGAACTCTTCCAGGTCGAGGGACGCGTTGGCGTTAACGTCGAAGGCCGAGATGATGCGGATCACATCGTCCTTGGTAAGTTGACTCGACCCTCGGCTGTCGCTGTCGTAGAACCGCTCGTTGTACCGCAGCGCCTCGAGTAGTTCTCCAGCGTCGATGTCTCCGTTATCATCCGCATCATAGAGCTAGAGGAAGGCACAAGTGGGCAGAGAATTAGGACCACACAAAATCTGTGACGTGTGAAAAAGGCAACTTCAACTTGACGTACCCTGAAGAGTTCCCGCAGCTCCTGGATCTGCTGCGCCGTCAGCGTCTTCTTCTGTACGCGTCGAGTCTTCTCCACAGTCTCCAGTAGTCTACACAAGCGTAGAATATCCTCCAGCACCTCGGGAGGGGCCTCTCCGAACACGACGCCACAGAGCTCTGCCAAATCGATGAGGCCGCTCTGGTCCTTGTCGATGCTGCTGAAGATACTGCCAATATTGTCCTGCATGTGCGTCCCCGAGAAGAGCCCACTACCGTCCAACAGCTCGCGTAGAGTAATAGACCCGCTCTGGTCCTGATCCAACTTGCGGAAAGTCCGGTACACGTTGATGACGTCGTCTCGAGCGTACGGACCGAAGCGCTCCTGCCGCATGAGCGCCGCGTCCGAGCGGATACGGACCTTCTTTGCTGACTTGAGCTCCTTCTTGGGTATACTGGCTCTAGGAACGGCACGGACAGCGCCCGCCGAGCTGGAGGACGGAGTGCCTTGGCGGAGTTTCGGCCCGCGTTCTTTCGCCGTGATGGCCGACCGAGGATGCCGGCGTCGCGCTGGCTTTGGACTTTCTTGCTTGCTGTCTGAATTGTTGCTGCTCTTTGTGGACGCTGGGCTCATTGAGAGTGGATCGCTGGAGCTAGAGCTAACGGCGTCGACTGGTGTTAAGCTGTCACCGTCGAGAATGCTCGGTGAATCAGCGGCTGAGCTTGGCGATGCGGACAGGTACGTGTTGCTAGGCAGCTCGGAGCTTGGGCTGTTGTTATCATCGTGATCTTCACCTAGGAGCTCGTCGTACTGCTGACACAGTGTGGACAGGAGACTTCGTCTGGGTAGAGCACTCGTGCTGACGCTGGATGCTAATGCTGGCTCGGACGGGTTAAGGTGGGCGGTTGGTGGGGACGGCAACGCAGTCAAGGAAAGAGCTCTTGTAAGCGCAGCGACTCGCTTCGGACGTGGTGGTTTCTTGGTTAGCTTCCGCCGTCCTGGTAGATCCTTGAGCTCGAAATTCTCACGGATAATACAGCTCACTCCAAGCTTCTCGAAAAGAAATGCTGACGGCGTCAAGTCCATGGACGCCAGTGAGTTCTCCAGTCGCCGCTGTCTCAGCAGCCCGCTGCTCCCTGCGATCTGCTTGTTACTACGCCGAACGTTCTCTCGATGAAAGTGCTCGTACATTTGCTTCTCGCGGTTCAAACTCCCCACCGCCCAGTTGTCTTTGTCTGCGAATGGTAGCTCCTGCACTGGGTTCTGAAGGATAGGCAGCAGCATTCCAGGGTCATCAGCGTCTCCAGCTCCGCCGAGCACCTCAAGTCTCCCCAGCGAGTCATTCACGTCACCATTAGGATGATGTTTTGCAGTATCCTCTTCGTGCTGGTTGCCCTCCGCTCCTGACTCGTCCTGCTTTTTCTTCTTCGCCTTCTGCCTCATGACCTTCTTCATGCGTTGTTGGAACTTCACGCGCTCTTTCTCCCATGCCGCCTGCCTCGCCAGCTGAAGATCGCTCTTCTTCCACGTCGTTTTCCCCTGTAGCTGGTCGAATAGACGCTTGGTATGGTCCGCAGCTGCATCATTCTCCTCAGGCTGCTCTTCACCTGGTGCAACCTCATCGCCGTTATTCTCAACAAGCTGCTTCAGCTCGATCACAGTCGTCGAAGCGCAGGCTGTCATTTCTTGGACACTCATGCGTTGAGCCTCCTTCTCCTTGTCTTGACCGAGAGCGGGGGCGCTAGCACTGGCGATAATCGTGCTTCGCTTTTGAGCGCGCATAGCCATCGCTATGGATTGCTGCCTCAACGCAGCAGACTTGAGCTTAGTTCCCTTCAACTCGTCCCAGAGTTGCTCCGCCTGCTTCCTCTTGAAGGCTGCAGCACCAGCGACATCGACCTCCCAACGCCATTCCACTCCACTTGTCACTGTTGCCACGGAAGAATTCTGCCCAGCAATTGGCGCTGGGGTGGGCGTCATACCCGTGGCTAGACTCCCCATTCTTCGTCCTTGGAAGTCCCAAACGTACACGCCTTTGTCGCTCCCGCACGTCAACACTCCTCGAGGCTCGGCGACAATCTGCAGACAGCGCACATTACCACGATGAGCCGTCCACCGGTGCGTACACATGACGTCCGACTCGTTCACATGGAGCTGTTTCGCTTCAGGGTGACTCCCGTTGTCCGCGTGCTTGTTACGAAGGCGCTTAGCGTTCTTCCCTTGCCTCAAGAACCTCCTGCGTGGGTTGTACGATCTGTCCTGACGCGACGGCAGGTTCTCCTCACGGAAGGCTCGAACGTGCGCTGCACTTATGACCTTGGAGATATCGCAGACCATCAACTCGCCATAGAAACTCGCGACAAAGAGCAGGAAGCGACCCCGATCAATACCCTCAGCTAACAATTCACCGCCAGTCTCATCGTAAAACGTGCGACAACAGGTGACAGCGCTGTTGAGCTTGGCAAGCGTCAAAGGTGAAGACGGAGGAGGCGGAGGTTCATCAGGAGACCCCATAGCTGCGTCTACAGCAGAAGACTCGGAGTCGCTCGGTTGAGCGTCCGGGTCAAATGACACGAAGTTAAACCCTTCGACACCAGCTTCTGGTGCTTCATCGGACGAGGGCACTGCTGGTATCTCAACTGGAGTTACGGGCCGAACTGGAGTCATGTGGAACGGGTAGAAGCACAGGAGAAGCGTCGTGGGCTTTGAAGGCGTGAGGCTCCACAGACACACTTGGCCGCTTTCGTGTCCCGATAGAAGCAGCGGATACGGCTCAATAAACTCGAGGACGTTTACTTCACTGGTAGCATGAGAGTTCGTCGCTGTATGTGACTGTGACGACGCGTTGAAGGACACTCCAGTAGCTGGAGGCGGTGCCGCTAGCGTGTCCTCAAGCAGGAAGTAAATGTAGTCCCAGATTTTGATAGACCCATCGATGCCTCCGCTTGCAACGAGGCTGAGCGCGTGACAGTACGCGAGACACTTGATATCGCTGTCGTGAGCGTCTGTGATGCAGCGTAGCAGCACGTTTCGAGCTGCGATTCCTCCTCCGCGCGGCGCGTCATCGTCATAAAGTCGCAGTGAGCGGTCCCACGAGGCAGTGAGAACCGTGTGGTCTTCCTTGCAGTACAACAACGCCGATACTTGCTGCGCGTGAGGCGTCCATCGTGCGAGTACAGCTCCATTCAAATAATTCACCACCGCCAGCTCCCCATTCTGCGCTCCCACGATCAACTTCCGCTGGCGCGAGTCGAGATCTACCTGCGTAATGTCCGCCCCGACCAAGTCTCGGTACGTGCGAAGCATGGCACCGGACGCAGCGTCCCAAACTCGAACTTCTCTGTCTGTAGCAGTCGCGATTGTATGCGAAGCCTCGTTGTACAGAACTGCGCTGGCTGCGAGCACGCGCGGCTTCACGCGCACTCGTCGAAGCAGCTTAACCTTGTGAACTCCAGCCACCAGCAGGCTCTGACCATTGTTTAGCACCGCTAGGGAGTGCGCTCGCCACGGATACCGACTCAAGTCACTGCCCAGGCGAAAGACCTGCAAGCAGCGTCGACTGCTGTTCAACTCAGCGTCCGTACTCTCGACAGATAACACGTTAGCCAGTGTCCACCATCGGAACCAGCCTTCGTCGTCCACCGTGATGCATTGATCCGCCAACATCCTAGTCCCCGATGCTACCGCTTTAGAATTCTTCATAAGGGCTGAAGCTGCAGCGTAAGTTGCGGATGGAATGAGCTGGATGCAACATACAGGAGAACCGTGACCCGAAAGACGAAACACTGGCGTCGTGGCTAGCGCGGAGATCTCCCACCCGAAGACTTCGCACTCGAAGCCAGCACTGATGAATACTTGGGAGGATAACTTTACCAGTAAGCGGACTCCTCGACGATGTCCCTGGCGAGACGCGCGCGTCTGCAGTGTGTGTGTGTCCCAGAGGTAGATCATGTTATCCATCCCACAGGACAACACTGTGTCGTCGTTCAGGATCAGCAAGTCCTGCAACAGGTCCGAGTGTTTCTTCAACGTCGTCACAAGCCGCACTTCGCACGTGCCGACGCTCGATTCTCCTCGAGACTTGGCGTTCCCCGCCTTCACGCTGATAGTTTGAGAGCGCGTGACCTGCCACACGGAGATCATCAAGTCCGCTGAGATGGAGAAGAGCTGCTGCGTCTTGGGGCTCCACTCCAGTACGCGTTGAGGACGCGGCGTGTGAACAATCGCTAGTGGTCGTGGCGTCTCCATCGCGCTCGTACTGCACGCAGTCAACAGCGTTGAAGACCAGAACGTGAGCTTTAAATCCCCAGCCGAGACTGCGAGTAGATCTAACCCAGCCAGGTACTTTATCGCTTGAACAGGTGAGCGTTCCGAGCTTACTTCGTCCTGGTCTCGACGGTATCCCGAGATGTAGCACAGCGGGTGGAACTTGTTCACTACGGGCAGAGTTGGCGTGAACGAGAAGGTCGAACCGATGGCTTCTTCAGTAGTATTCGACTCCGCGTTTGTATCTTTCTCTCCAGAAGCTGCTCCACTCCCGTCCTTGACGTTCTCATCGCTCTCAGGAGGGAATAAACCCGCAGGGTCTAGCAATTCCACCACCGGACGAGAGCTTTCAAGCAGCAAAACCCTCCGAAACTCGGGCAGATATTCAATCCGCTTTGGAGGACGATTCACTGCGGTATCCACGAAGCGCGGGTGCTCTTCGTACTGCAGATCTCGTAGCTGTGCCACAGTCCCCGCCACGTCGTCGTTGCCTCCGCCCGAAGAGCCCATGCCGCCCTCGATGATGGCGCTCGTGAACTCCTCCCACTCCATCGTTCCGTCTCCGTTGACATCCACCTGCGCGAACAGCTCGACCAGGTCTTCGATGAAGTTGACGACGCTCTCGGGCTCCCAGCTCACGCGGTCCAGCATGACGTTGACGAACTCACGCAGCGAGAGTCCGCGTCCTGCGCGGTCGAAGTCTTCCTTGAGTAAGGTCAGGTCCTCCACCTGGAGGCGGACCATGATGCCCAGACATGCTTGGTACTGCAGCAACGCCGCTGCCATCGTGCAATAATGTGCCCTGGTGTTTTGCACTCGAGCAAGTGAGGGAGCGGACTCGCACCGTTTCACTTCATTCGTCAACGCGAAGGCGTCGATGCTGGACGAGGTCCCGTAAATTTAGCGGAGACCATCGCACTAATTGTTTGTCGTGAAAGGATGGAGGCCACGACGAACGCGGCTGGGCGTCCTCCACGCCCGCGCGCCCACAAACCAAGCTCTCATGGAGCTTGGTCCAGTACCTACTCGCCGTACGCGGGTCCCGTGCGCGCGAGTCCGCGCACTGCCAAACTCGCCCATCAAGACCAACAAGACCACGTCCAACCACCTCCTGCTACGAGTCGACCGAAACGACCCCTTTCGGCGTCGCAAGTGGCCTCCACCCGGGTCGCTATGACGTCCCCGCGACCGAACTCAGCACGACCGGCTCGACCGAATAGCGCTACGAAGACGCGGTACATGCAGCTCGAGACGATCGCGTTCCCGATGCAAAGTCCAACGGCTGAAGAGTTTTCGGAAACGTGTGAAGCTTGCTTATCGCCGTCTCCTTCTAGTCCAGAGGCCGGAGTATTGCAGGAAACCGACTCGGCCGCGCTGCATATGAAGCTTCAGGCGCTTCTGGAGATGTGGGGCGAGGAACAACTCGGATTCCGATCATGTGTATTGTTTTGTGAGACCACATTTCGACAAGCCAAAGGTGTGTAAGTTTTTAGATTTTTTTGCGGCGGTGTTTGATTATTGTTTAATCTCTTGTCGATTTTTTGTTTTAGCTTTGGCGAGCAGGATGTCTCGCCCCAACGCGTTCATGTCAGCGGTGGCATACTCCTGCCTTTGTCAAATGGGGTCCGTTCTTGACGAGAAGTACCCATTTCTCAACAATATTATCGACGAGCTCGGTGCTGCGTTGTATTCCAACTTCACGGACCTAAAACGTCATATCGGACAAGAGGATCAAACGCAACACCAGTCCGCTATCTTCTTCGAGCACGGCAAGCCTTGGTTCCAGGCTTTTCTAATGCAGAAGATGCGGTGCAGGAGCATTCAGAGCTCAGCGGATGCGTCCAAGAATGAGGTTCAGCTGCTTACAGAAATGCTGCAAGAGGCTCGAGCTGCCAATTCGAGCGCTGTGGTGACTGCCGCGGCAGCGTTTCAAGTGCCTCAGCGACGCGGTAAACTGGAGGAATATTACACCCCGCCAGCTCTGGAGCTGGGCGATTTGGGCCTGGAATCGCTGAGTAGCAAAGTGCTGAAAGCTTTTACCGCTTTGTCGGACGCCGATGCTCGACATTTGCTGGCGCTGTTACTGGAGAATGCAGTGGAACGGGACATGCCCAAGCTGCCGAACATGATGGCGACCACTGTCGGACACATGAAGGGACAGGATCGACGCGAGTTTCTGCGAGAATGTTTTGACTACGTGACGCCAAGTGAACTCCAGGACGCACTACACGAAAGGGATGAAATCAACGACGATAAACGATATCAAGCGTTAGTGGGGGATCTACACGAGTTACTGCAGCTACAGCCACATGAAGATGGCTCGGAGATGAAGAATAGCCCGTCTAATAGCGTGGCATTATTCCACTCGGAGGAAGCTCGGATCGGCAAAAGAGTCCACGAATTGGTTGAACTGGTGGAGGACGTCGCTACGGAGGTCGCGTTCTTTGAGCCGAAGCACCAAGCGCTGTTCCCTCATTCAATTCTACAGAGACTGCGTATGTACGAGTGCCCCATGAAGCGCTTGAAGAAAGAGCATGAGCTTATGCAGCGGCAGCCGCGACAAACTGAAGACGAGGAGAAGCCCCAGTGCGAGTGCGTCTGCGGACGACATCGGCTCATAGACAGCGATGGAGAAGATGCGAAAGAGGAGGAGGTTATCCCCGCACAATCAGAAGAGAAGGAGCCACAGGAAGAGGAGGACGCGAAGAAACAAAAGTCGCGTCGTAAGTCCACACTGAAGCGGCCGCTGTCTGCGCCTTCAGGCCGTCGGAAGAACGCGATCAGCTTCAACACGCGCTACGGATCTCCACGCAAGTCCAGCGCATCCATCCACGTCTTCCCACTAGCAGAAGTGTGCCACCTCTTGTCTTCCATCCTGCACCTTCAGTTCTCGCGAGAGGCAGCCGAAGCTCCCTCGAATGCTGGGAGCGGAGCTGTCTCGACTCTCACTTTCGACGATCACTGGGCATTTCTGCGGTACGATTCAGCCTCGCGGACCTTCAAGACTCTCGCGAAGGACTACTTGATACGCAAGTACGGCATCAAATCCATCGCCGTCATGCACACGCTGCAGCTCGAGCGGTCGCTGTTGCACTATACTGCCAAGGACAACCACGTGCGCTGCGAGCTCTTCAGCTGGTTCTTCGGTGCCGACAAAACCCGCCATCAATCCAAAGACCACGCGTTCGCCTTCTTCCAGAGACTGGTTAAGAGCATCCTTAACCTGTACGCGATCAAGAAGACGGTGCGATCCAACTCGATCACAATAACGGCCTCAACTCAACAGCTTCAGCCTCTCGCGTACTCCGCGTTGATCACCATGTGGACCGAGTGCATTGGCGACGGCGAGCCGACGAACCCTCGGACGATACCGGCGAGTCTCGCTCTGGAGACCTGTAAGCAGACTTTCCCGCCCGCAATGCAGCGGAATAGCCACTTCACCTTGTTCAGGGAGAAGCTGCATCGGCGAAGTGTAGAGCAGAAGACGATGGACCTCGAGGAATTCTTCCAGGGAGCGATGACGGCGTGGCAGTTGGTGTTCGATGCGCAGACGGAGGAGGCCACGAAGACGCTTGAAGGAGCAGGGACGCTGGATCTGGAGGGCTTTGCAAAGTGTCTTATCACGAACGGCCTGGAGTTCACGACAGGCGAGAGGTACGAGCTGTTCGACCTGCTGACCCAGGACGGCGACGAGAGCGTCATCTCGAGCAAGAAAATGGTGCAGTTCCTCATGGAAGCCAAGTATCTGCGGCCGGCAGCGCAGCCGTCGACACTCACGCTACTTGCAGGCTAAGAAACACGGATCGTATCATTTGTGCTACAAAGCTACCCGCTCAAGCACTTCCCGCCGTACGCCGGCGGTCCGCACTATCTCGTGCGTCCGATTCATCGCCAAGAACCGCAGACGACTTGCAAGTGTCGGTGGGATCGAGGACATGCCAAAACCATTTTTCCAGGCACCTTTAGACATGACATTTTCAGAAGATTGCTACCTGTAGTACCGAATAACCTTAGTTATGGGATACAACTTGTTAAGGGATACAGGCCAATTTGGCCAATCAAAAGGCACAAAAGGCATCGTCTTTTTATAACATTTCCCGGTGTTACAGGGCACGTGTTGCTGCTCCAGACTGGGGAACATGTGACGAGGCTGAAGCTCCAGAACTCCTCCAGACTGAGCTCCAGACTCTCCAGAACTGAGCTCCAAGACTTGTCCAGACTAGTACAGCAGGTTAAGGGGTGAGGAGTTAGCTAGGGTATACACTCCGGTTAGTATTGCTGGGAGAGAAGACGACGAGCTGGCTTGAAAACCATGCTGGGAGATGGCTGGGAGTCAGCTCGACAAAACACGAGCCCACAGGCTCCACACAGCGTTGTACTTGTCGCGCTCGGCCCGGATTATGCTGCGATACATCCCCCATGCATCAAGAGAACTCGGCGCGGATAAGTAGATGAACCACGACCTGCAGACGCGTGCAACAACAACGTAGACAAGCAAGATGTATTCGTACTTCGTACGAGCATTATGAACCTACGGAATGCTTGGTCATCTGCTAGTCAGAGACACTACAAGTTCCTCTCGTGGCGTTGGCCACCAATGCTGTCGGCAACGTGCTGAAAAACCTCCAGCGACCTTTGGTGCCGGTCGATTGTCCTTGTCACTCTCAGCTTTACTCTCCACACCAGCGTGCGTTTAGGGGCAGTTCACCTTCGAGTCGTGTAGTTCGTCCGCGATGGCGTTCTCCTTTTCGTCTTAATTGCCACCATTCCTCCGCCTCATCGTCCGAGCCAAACAAAGCGTCCGAGCGAACGAAGTCGGGGCCGTTCTCCGTGAGCTGGGCAATCTTATCCTTTGTGTGACAAGCACCTAAAGCCTTCGCCACCATGCTCGTATTTGGGCCGGGTCGTAGCTATACTCTCCAGCCGTCTGGCACAAGACACAAACGTTTAGCCAGAACTTCCTCCATCTCCCAAATCGGCAAAGCGACCACACCGGCGTACCTTGACAGCCTCTTCCGGAGGCCACGTCGCGATCACACTCCGACGCAGTTCGATGCCCAGCCGCCCACAACAAGTCGCGGGCGGTAGAGCTGGAGCGTTCTCCGCTGCTATCGCAAACTTTCTCCGGAGCGACACATTCAATCCTCGCCGACGCGGCCCGTTGATGCATCCCGGTCTCCTGCAACCCGCCCCATTTGCTCCGCTGCGCTTCCTGCGCTCCTTGCGCTCCCCGCACTCCGTTTCGAAACTATTCTTATCGACTAGCCATTGCCAGCAGTATACGCTATACGCTGGTCGGATGCAATACGGCATTTAGGGCTAGCTAGATGAAGGTCTACAGATCGAAACCAGGTGTTTCTAGTCTGGAGCAGCAACAACTCTCGTATGAATCAATTTGCAAACTTCCGCAGCTTCGCAGGTCATAACTAAGGTTATTCGGTACAATCATATCCGGATACTCACCATCTCGGACTTGGTCTCTCCAAAACGTGGTATGAAGCTCAGCACCGTTGGAGGCCATGACTATAATCATGGAAACCTACATGATCGGAAAACATGATTTGTCCAGGATTGGTAAGAAACATTTCTTACCGAGTGAGGGAGAAACAGTGCGACCAATTTAGCACTTGCGACGCTCGCGGAGGAGGCGAATGCGATGTATTCTCGTTCTGAGGAGGCGGCGTTTCCAAATCGAAGGTTTCCCGTGAAGATGCCGAGCAACGCACGCGGAAGCGGCCAAGGCAGTGAGGCCTACTGCGAAGGCCAAGGTGAAGCGAAACAGGATACTGGACGGCGAGAGCAACGACGCTCATACCGCGGTCCGGGGCTCTGCATGACGCCAACTTCAGACGCGACCAAGAGCACGCTCGACGACGGCGAAGGGTGTGAGGACAAGAGAGAGCACGACAAAGAGCAAGCTGCGATCAAGGGAAACTCTGTGGGCAGTGATGGCGATGATGAGTACGATGCTGCGGGGGCTACTGGGGTCCTGCAAGTGGGGTGTACGTCTAGCCGCGATGGTGATGGCCACGAAGAACACGGCGGGGACGACAGTGCGGCAATCTCTGAAAGCGTGGAGCCTCCTTTGCTCTGGCACACAGACTGGGCTGCATGGAAGATCTATTTGTCTGAGTACTGCGAGCGCACCAAGCAAGTGTTGCCCGTGAAAGAGACCCTGTCTCGTGCAGAGCGTATCAAGCGCTTAAAGTGTACTAAGAAAGGAAAAGAAGTCTCTATGAAAGAAAACGATGACTCCCTGTTGCTCCCCGAGGCGTTTGACCCGTATCAGCGGACTTATATTTGCACCCACGGTTGGAAAAAGAGGAAGTCACGCAGTGAAGTTAGTCGTCCAAAGCAGCATATACGGTTGACGGATTGCCCGTTTAGATTCGTGGTACAGTGGAATTTGTCAAGGGGCGAGTTGCAAGTAAAGCTTGGATGCTTTAACCACAATCACCCGGTATCAGCTGCTGCCTACGCGACGTATCCGACTTCTCGTGGAGTTGACAATCCACTTGTAGAAGCACGTGTGGAAGGTATGTTGGCCGTAGGTGCAAAACGCGCTCGAATCTACGACTATCTTCTGGAACATGATCAGAATGTCATCCAAGTTGATGTGGATAACATGGTGCGTGAGCATAAATCGTCGGTGTCACGTGTTGACGATAACGAAGCTACCGCGAGAGAAGTCGCGACTTTCGCAGCAGCTGATCCAGAGAACGTTGCATCTATTGCAGATACTGATGCAGGTGAAACGGGTGTCATATCGCTGGCGAGTGCACACATGCGCCGTGTATATGGCCGATTTAGCGAAGTGCTGCTAGTTGATTGCAGCCACAAAACGAATCGGTACGTGGATTTGTCTCTCTACTGAGACTATGTAACAATGATTTATAACGAGCCTTACCTGTCATTGACGTCTTAGCTACAACTACCAGCTCCTTACTTTCATGGCCATGAACGAGTTCGGCGAAGGCGCTGTGGTGCAGCAGTCGCTGCTTGAGGCGAATGGAGATTGGCACATGGAGAAAGCTATCGCCCACTTTAAGAGAGCCCATCCGACACGGATTAATTTGGTGCGCATTATAGTTGTCGACAAAGATCTGAACGAAATTCGTGTCCTTGAAGCTCACTTCCCAGAGGCCCGCATCTTGATCTGTCACTTCCATGTTATCAAGTATCTGAAGGAAATGCGATCGAAATCTGATTTTGGGAAGATTTCTGCTGACGACGCGAGCCAAGTCGACGCAGCAATCCACAAAATGGTGTATGCTGCTTCGGAAGAAGACTACAAGGCTACGCACAAAACACTGAAGGGCTTGTGTGAAAGAATCGGTCTGACGGGGTTTTTCGAGTACTTCGAGAAAAATTGGGATTCATGCCAAGATCGTTGGGTGATGTATCGACGCGCAGATCTGCCACACTTTAACAACCATACCAATAATCGCCTTGAAAGCTTTTATGGAAAGTTCAAGGATGGAGTAGACAGCTCCCTGAGTATGTCTATGTGCGTGAAAGCTTTGGTCGCGTATGACCGTCGAATGCAGAACGAATATCGGTATCGGCTATCTCGAATTGGCCAGTTCGTGAACAGCAACTATGACGAAGAGATGTCCAATGTGCTTCGCTTTACTACCCACTATGTAGCCAAGCAGATTGAACAGCAGTACGCTCGTGCATTGGACAATGTTTCAAATTACACGTTTCGTAAAGATCACGGCGACCCGAGTCTAGTTGTCGTGTACGGCACCTCTTCTGAGTTTAGGCTTAGAACGGACGAGTGGAGATGTGATTGTGGGTTCTCGTTATCAATGCGCCTTCCGTGTCGCCACACTATTGCGTATCGCAAGAGCGAAAATTTAGCTGGCCCGCTAATTCCCTGGAGCCGTATCGACAAGAGGTACGATCAGACTGACATCACGATAATAGTATATCCTAAAAACTCATCAGCCAATTGCACTTGCAGGTGGATGAACTCAGACCGGAAGCTGGAGAAGGTCAGACAGTTCTCATATGAGAAGTTCAAAGATGCCAACTCGGGTCGCCGCGAGCAAAGAGTGAAGACGCACGCGGAGCGCTACAGAGAGGCTGTGAGGGCCACACATCTGATCGCAACTGAGATGGCAGATATTGATGATGAAAGCGAGTTTGAGGAGATGCTGCAGTTCGTGCTAAACCAATGGCGCAACGTACGCCAGCGTAAAATCGCCGGTTTTGAGCAATTGTGCGTTGATGCGGTTTCCAGTCATCACGTTCACCACCACCAAAACGCAATAGATGAGGATGCGGAAGCCAAACGCGAATTCGAAATTAGTTCAAGCGAAGAATCCGATCAGTGTCTAGAAGTGGAGAATAGGTCATCGAGTTGTGATGTGACTGGATTTAGCTCTGTGCACGTACGACTTAATCCCAAGGCCAGGAAGGTAGGGGCGCCACGAAAACTAAAATCCACAACGGCTGCTGGAGCGAAACGTGATCGAAAATGGTTCGAAGCCGCTGAAGCGGGGCGTAAGTGTGCAGGAGAAGTTACATTAGTGGGGTTGCTGTCTGCGCTGGATCGTGAGCGCCCAACTCTTGTAGAAACTCAGCGGCGTCTGTCCGGAATCATTGTCAAGTACAGCGAGGCGGGTACCAAGAAACCGAAATTCAAACGCATGAAAAATCCCGTACTCATCATGGACGCGTTCTACATTCTCCCCTCAATGCTGGTAGAATCCTGTTTAAAGGTGCTCCCCCTCTCTAACACTAAAGACACCGCCATAGCCGTGGACGTTAGCTTGGAAACTGACACCAAACCTCGTAGCAAGGAAAACGGAGACGGCTTTATTGATACGGTTCAGATCAAAGACGTCGGGAATTTTTCACGCATGCAGATCGAGACGTTCAAGAAAGTTCAAGATCTGAAGGAATCGGTGCAACTCGGAGTGGACATGCACAAGTGGCTCATCGGAAAGGGACTGCTCTCATTGCCTGCTAAATATCACGCCTTGGCGAACAAAGTTGCAGCTGACGTGTTATCTGCGTACCCGCGCAAGCAAATCGACGGCCTTCCCAATCTTCCTGACTTTGAATACGCTATGCTTTACAGAGCGACACCACCCATGTGGCTTAGTGATGAATCAATCGCGGCGTTATGCCATCGACTACAGGATGACTTTCCTACTTGCAGATTTGCTGGATTTCAGTCAGCTATTCCAAGCAAAACTCGCACGAGACGCAGTGACGCGGACCTCATCGATGTTTCGATCCACGAGCGTGTTCTACAGCAAGTCAATGCATTTGGGGTAGACGTCGTGCTGCTGCCGTTGAATTTTCCGAAGGCACACTGGTGCTGTGTGATTATCAAGGTGACGGAGAAGTGTATACTTTACTACGACCCGCTGAACCAAGTTTCTTTCATGAATACAGCGAAAGCTGTTGCCACGCAGCTGAAAATTCGAGGCCTGCAAGATTACACTGTCCTCGCTCAGTGTAGGCCAATCCAATTTGACACGTTTAGCTGTGGTGTATACGTCTGCTGGATGTTTATCCACCAGGTCGTCGGTGGGAGACAACTGGACATGAGCAACACCTCTCTGACAAGACGCCGATTCGAGTTGTTCTACTATTTGCTATCCGGTCAACTTCTACCTCTGCAGGATTTAATGATACCGGATCGCATGGAACACGACGACACCGAGGAAAAGCTACCCCCACCGTCCGAACATGCCTACATCGATGACGAGGAACTTCAGCCGTCAGAGCTCGCGCAAAAGTTAGTGCCATGACCACGTGCCCTAGAGGTTTCTCAAAGCTTAGCACTATCGCCACAATTAATACATGTCAGCTTTGCTTCAGCTTCCTTAGAGCTCTGCTCATTGAGACGTAACGATTGGGATGACGGCAGTCACTCTATTTTCCAAGTATCAAACCAGTATTTGCCCATGATTTCTCTTGCAGTGATTCTGCAAAGAAAGGAGAACCACACGAAGGGTATCTTCCGCGTCCTCAACGTATCTTCTCTAATCTTCCTCAGATGGTACTCACTTTAGTTAGGAATCGCTCGTCCAGGATTAATCCTGTACATCGTCATGGACGTGTCCATTACTATAATCCTGGCCTCCAACACCTGCCTTTGAAGCTTCATGAGTGTTTACCAACATGTACAGTTACACAAGACGAGAGATAATATAATAGGAGTTCCAAACGCGCATTAGTTTGCTGCCTAGATGAACTACCGACTTTGTGCAGTGTTACTATGTTCTTTGTAGTAAGAAATTGATCACTCAATTGACCAACAAGGATGCCTTGCTGCGTCCCTGTCTTGTTCCCCCGATGGGAAAGATCAGAATAGGGGGGGTCGAAACTGGCAAAAACAGTGCTTACAGTTTTGGAGTTGCTCTGTTTACTTTTTGGGAAATTTCCTGCTCATTTCCGAGGTAAGCCACCTCCGGAGGCGGCTTATTTATGAAATGAGCTGCTTATTTCGAAGTTCAAGTTCGACGTTGCGAAAGTGCTCGGCTCGGTGAAACATAGCTCTTGCCCGCGACGCCATAGCCGCAGGCGGCCGTGGCCATGAACATACAAGGACTGTCCGTACAGATGACCACGGAAAAATACGCCAGCACTGACCACTATCCTCCATAGTAAACAGGTAGCTACCAAAAAAATACACCAGTTGAGCTGATTAGTCAAAAGTGAGGTATTAATCCTAGAGAAAGGTCAATAATGTAGAAAAAGACGACAAGGAAGTTACGGTCGTGACAAAGAAAAGGTGGAGTGTATTGTTGTGGCTACAAGAATTCCAGAGCTTCAAAGTGCTTTTCAAAACTCTCAACTACAATGTCCTCATCAAGGCTGTTCCAGGCTATGATAGTGCGCTCGATAATATCAAGGCGTTTTTCTTTTGCCGTTTTGGGGTTTTTGCGGTAAGCCCATGTACTGCGCAGGGCCGACTTCAGCGGGCCCATCACGTTTACGTCGAGGGGCTGGCAAGTGGACGTGGTGCTCGCTGGCAACGGGTCCACCACAGCGAACACTTTCCATGCCATGCTTCGCGGTGCTCTCTGTGCCAGTAATTTTTTGTCACGCCATGCTTTTTGTCACGCCATGCTTCGCGGTGCTCTCCGTGCCAGTAATTTTTTGTAGTACAGTAATGGTTGGTAAGACATACGAGCTCGTGTTCGTCTGATTGGCTAAAATACAAACATTGTTTTGTATCGGATCAGAAGTCGGGACTTGTCGCATGGCGTATTTTTTGGTGGAGCGTATTTTTCCATCGTTATCTGTAGGTGTGTGTGCATTAGGTGTCGTCTCGTAGACAGTGGGGCGATCTCCAAGCTGTCTGCGAGGGCATGAAAGCTAGGTATACGAGACCCGCAGCATGAGTGTTGCGTATGTGCTGCTGTCGCGTGCTTACTTCGCTAGGCTCTCCCCTAGCGGCCGTCAACACCACCTCCGAGAATACTATCGAGGGCGCGCACGCTGGTTGCGCTGCGGATGCTGCTCAAGTGCGCCCGAGACGTAGCCCTCACTACTTCACCCTCTCTGCTTCGCCACCACGCCGGGAAGGGGCCATCGTCTCTCTCTAGTGCGATCTCACATTTATTGAGCAATTTCTGACTAACGTTACCCCCGTATCGCTCAGTTTTTACTTATCTTTTGGTCATTCTCTTGCTCAGATATTGGGAAGCCCTTGGCTTACTTTTTGGGAGGGATTTTCCAGGTTCGACTCCCCCTAATAGGGCAAGGACCAATCAACCTACACTCGGCGACAGGTTATATCGGCCACCCTCGTTTGTGTCCGCAACTTTGCCAATTTTTCGCTGGATAATGAAGTTTGTCGGCCTCTCCACTTCATCATCTCCACCCAGGGGCAACATGTGTTTTGTTACAATCATTCCAGTGCATTTTGTATGCCTCGGGGTGGCTGATTATACTTGGCGCAGTGCCAAAATCACATAGTTGTATGGCAGCCACCTGATAGGCTGGGAATTCTCGCGGGTTAACACATGTAGCGGTTTTCTACTAATCAAAGTTCAAACATATCTAAACAACGAGCGCCAACTCGAAAAATTGGCAAAGTTGCGGACACAAACGAGGGTGGCCGATATAACCTGTCGCCGAGTGTAGCACAGACCCAATCATTTGGCCAAGGTGGAGATGTGAAGGTACCGTCACGGTACTACCATGTACGCTCGTTTTGCAGATAGAAACGACGATCCCATCTCGCCCAGGGTTCCCGGAAACTATTCGGTGCAAAGTCCCTTTGGTTTGCCAAAGGGAAACATCTCCCGTGCACGCTACGCTTACTGTTGGCCAGTGAGTGCCCTCCGGATCGGTCAGTTTACAACCCGCTGCTAACCCCAAGACCCCCCTGCCAAGACTTACAAATCATGCGTCTGAGCTCCTTCCTGCTTGTGGCAATGGTCACCCTGGCCGCAACCTGCTCCACCACTGCGGTCGCCGAGGACGCGGCGATGACCAAGAGCCTGCCTGCCGATTCGAGTCGCATTTGAGCCGCGTGGACGACGAAGAGCGAGTGTTTTCTCTTTCCAGTCTGAAAAGCCTCAAGTCGGCGTTCGGCAAGAAGTGGACTAAGGTGACCGAGGCGCTCAAGAAGAAGATCACGACGCCGAGCGAGGCGTACAGGAAGAAGGTGGAGAAGAAGATGCTTCGCGACGAGAACAACTTCATCCGCCGCTAGAAATTCAATACAGTACCGCAATCGCAAAAATCTACTGCAGCTTCACAAAATGAGTCCCAACGTGCGTCTCATCTCTAAAACTTTTTATAAAAAGCACAATAAAATCATATTTTTTACAGATACCGGTTTTCGTGAGTGATGGTCATCCGTAACCTGGGGGGTTACGGTTACGCGCCAGCCGCATTGGTCCGCAAACTGCCTGCGGTTATGACGTCGGTGCCGGAGACCCGCGGCGACGACGGCGACGCCGCCATGCTGATCACGTTCGGAGACTTCTCGCTGGAGGAGACGCAGAAGGCGCTGGAGGACGGTGCGTAACGTGACCCTACGCACCTTCACTCACCCCGGTTATGCGTCCAGAGGACTGAGAAACTCACCACTTCACTCACTTCGCAGCTGCCGCAGACATGACGAGCGACTCGCAGCCAGAGGCGGCGAAGGCCGTGGAGGCGACGACCAAGTCGTGGGCGAAGGCGCTGGGCGCCCCCAAGGCCCAGCCAAAGCCCGCGTGGGGAGGCGCTGCCGCCCCTTGGGCCGCGGCGGCGGGCGTCAACGGAGCTGCCAGCGCTTCTAAAGCCGTCAGAGATCCGGCCAAGCCGCTGCCCTTTGAGGAAGCTATTCAGGAGACGCTCAAGGGGCTGGACGTGTCGGCGCCCGCCAAGGAGATGAAGAAGAGGTGGGAGGAGAGAGAGAAGAATGAGGAGAGAAGAGGAGAGGCTGATGATATTTTATTTTGTTGCAGAGGCCTGGTGAACCAGGGCAACACGTGCTTCCAGAATGTGATCATGCAGTCGGTGCTGGCCTGCCCGCCGTTCTTGAAGTGAGTTTTCTTTAGGGGGTCGGAGATGTCGAGGGGTTCGCTTGAGGAGATGCTTACTTATTATTTTGTTTGTGGTGTGTAGCTTGTTGGCGGAGATTTCCGCTGCTACGGCTCCGACGTCGGAGATGATGGCGAGTACGTCGACATTCAAAGCGTGGCGACACATGGTGGCCTTCGCGCGTGAATTCGAAGAGCCGACGCTGGCGCAGCGTACGTCTGTTAGGATGGATTGGGCGTGTCGTGTGTGCTTGTTTGTATATTGACGTTGTTTTTGATCTGAGCAGTGCACTTGCAGGCTGCTAGTGGCGAGCGGAACCCGAACGATATGCACGGCAAGGTGCCGCAGGCGATTCGGATCAGCGGCTACTTTATGGACGTGCTCAGCGCTTTTCAGAAGATGCGTGGCGAGCAGGAGGATGCTCTGGAGTTCCTCGAGTTCTTCTTGGAGTACCTGCACAGCGAGTACGAGAAGAGCGGATTGGAGCTGCCTGCGTCGTGCGAGGAGCAGACGAAGCGTAGCGCCGCCAAGAAGCAGAACGGAGCGGTCGTGGATGCTGATTTGGAAAATGCCCAAGCTTTTGATGACGGCTGGGCGGAAGTTGGCAAGAAGGGCAAGAGCAGCGTGCTCCGCCAGAACCCTGTCGACACGATTCGCTCACCGATCAACTGGCTGTTTAAGGGTGCACTGCGCTCGGAGCTCAAACAAAATGGTAAGAGGCAGAGCTCCATCACCGTCGAGCCGTTCCACTGCTTGCACTTGAACCTGGACTACGAGGCACAAGACCCATCGTTCGTCACGGGCGCCAACGGACTGGCTAAGCCACTCAGCACCCCGATTACGATCGAGGAGATGATCCGCAAATCGTTCGACGTCGAGGTGATCGAAGACGTGAACCAGGTCCCCACGATGAAGAAGTTCACGACGGTGGAGTCTCTTCCTGTTGTGCTGACGCTGAGCGTCAAGCGATTCACGTACCACCCGGAGCAGGGACCGGTAAAGCTGCAGCAGTTCGTGAAGTACCCGCCGTCCCTGGAGTTCCCGACGCAGTTCATGTCGACGACCTGCCGGGCGGAGAACGGGATGGATATCCCTGGTGTTGCGTCTATCAGTGGTGCCGGCTTCTCGACCCCTCCGATGTACGAGCTCTTCGCGGTTGTGTCGCACCTGGGCAAGTTCGTTGTGGGTGGCCACTACACGTGCGTGTGTCGTGACAACAAGGACCAGTGGTTCCGCTACGACGACGAGCACGTGACCTCCATCTCGGAGGCCACAGCGCTCAGCGAAACCGCCTACTTGTTGTTCTACATTCGGACAAACAAGCGGCCTACTCCTCGCGCCCCAGCATCTCCGTCTCCTGGATCAGCCTTTATCAAGGCGAAGAGCTCAAGCGGCTCAAAACAGAAGGCTGGCAACAGCAACGGCACGACCAAGGTTCCTCCCGATGGGAAGCCATGGAAACAGCCTGCCGCCGCACCAAGCCCACCTCCAGCACCTAAACCGATTCCAGGAATGTCGCCGAAGAAGCAGCCCGAGGCAACAAAACCCAAGTCGAAGAAGCAGAACAGGAAGAAACCAGCATGAAAGAAGAACGGAGGAAAAAAAAGAAGTGAAGAGAAGTAGATAGCATCCAGGTGACAAATAGCCCAGCAAAACGAAAAGTTAGATACATTCAACTCGTATAGGATGTACACTTCGACAGTCCCATGTAGATCCGATACGTATTTACGTGTTCGGATGCGCGACGCGGAACGCTGTGGTGGCTGCGACGCCGAGCCACACAGCCAAGGACATTGTGAAGTTCATCGCGGAGAAGCTGGTGCTGGTACACGGACCAACGCGGGAGATCGTGATGGACGGGCCCCCGGAGCTCAATGGTAAAGTACTCCTTTTCAACTTCAAAACTGCAAATTTGAAGTTCAATTTTGCAAAAGGTACCGTATAATACTTCTTCCATCCGACAAACATTAATAGCCAATCATTGAGGGACATATTTTTAAAAATATGGGGAAATTGGGTTTCGGGTCCGTTATTTTAAAATAATTCCGAATCGGGACCGTAATTTTCGACCCAAACGTTTTTATGAAATAATTTAGAATTTTGAAAAAAACGTACCCAAAGTGTACCCTGTTCCAAAAATGTTTCCTGTTATCAAACTCTTCCCTGTTCCAAAGTTGTACCACGAGATATGAAATAATAAATATTGTGCTTTGCAAGCGTTTTGTCGTTTTGACTTATAGTCATGCTCGAATTGCTTAAGTACGAGACTGATTTAAATCTGGAGCTCTTCATAAAAAATGCAACTCGATCAAGTTGTACCTTGGTTTGTATAGAGCACCACGCAGATTTATTTTATTGCCGCCCGATTTGCCGGTAGAAAAGCGCAATTCGGATCGTTTTATTGTAAATCGGTGAACAGTGATGTCCCATCCTAATAGCCCATATTACTCATTTTTTCAATGAGAAAGGGGCAAATTTTATCGGACACTACCTACTGGACAGGACCAATCGCCACAATTTCCGTCAGTCTCGAACATCTCCTCTCCTGCATAAGTGCGCAATGTACTCTCACGACTTCCGCTGGCGCGCTGTCTTTCTTGTTCATGTGTATGGCATCTCCCTCCAGTACGTAAGTGATATATTTGGACCTACTGTGAGAACTATACAGAGATGGTATTCTTTGTTCTTATCTAAGGGAGTGGTAGAAGATGACGACAGAACCACCCGCTCGTCACGGTGGCCGTGTGACGTAGTGGAGCGTGTGCGGAAGTATGTTGAGCACCATCCCACATTCTATTTAGAGGAGCTACAGGACTTTATGAAGCGCACCTTCCCTATGGTGAAAAATGTTTCACTGAGTACCATTTGTAGAGCTTTATATTTTGATATGAACTTGACTAGAAAGGTGCTAATCAAAGCGGCAAGAGAGTGTGTGCCGCACGAAGTGCATGCGTACAAGGTGAAGTTAGAGGCTATGTATTCTTACCCAGAGCAATTGCTCTTTATTGACGAAACCGCAAAAGATGGGCGTCACGCCTATCGGCGATACGCGTGGTCAAAAAAGAATACAAAGGCGGTGGTACAGTTACCTTTCAGTCGCGGTAAGCGGTTGTCTATTTTGGCAGCTTTGGACCATAGTGGATTTGTCGCTTGGGACTATCCTGAGGGTACTTACACCAGAAACTCCTTTCATAAAGCGTTTGTTGAAAAATCTTACCTCTTCTGAACCCCTGGCCGCTGCCACGTTCAATAGTTGTAATGGACAACGCAAAAAATCACATGTATCGAGAGCTAGAATCGGTAAGTCAGTTTGATAGCTTTAACATTTTTTTAAGCTGACAAATATATATTTTTTTTCAGGCCATCCACCAAGCTGGAGCGAGGCTGCTCTACCTTCCACCGTACTCACCTCAATTAAACCCAATCGAGGTTTGTTTTGGACTACTCAAGCGCTGGATCCAGAAGAAGGCAAATCTCATCTTTCCGCTGTACCCAGCTTTGGTGCTGGATGTGGCGATGCGGTCCTGCTGTCGAAGTCACCACCCAAGCAAACGGAAGGGCGTACTAAATCTATATGCGCACTGTGGCTACGATGACAAGAAACTCCGATCTTCCGAGTTTATTGTACAACCCCAGCACGCCAACTAATAGTGACGATGAACAATAGTTTAACGAACGTTGAAGCTTCTGTATTACCTAGCAAGAACTGCCTCTGTTTAGTTTTCAGACATTTGGTGGTCTTCATCCGGGACGTCTTCACCTTGTGGCATCATGGCTTCGGGGTGAAAACCGTGAAAAATCCCTCTGGTAAAGATGTCGTGTTGGGGGAGGCCCACTGTAACGGGGTTACACGCACAAGTGGCTACAGTCACTTGTTACTGTAACAGATGCGATGTCTGTTAGAGGTTCGAACACTTCCTCGACCTTGGTGTAAGGCACACCAATGGCTACATACATTTATGACCACCACGACGGGTGGTCCATACACATTTAGGATTCCTATTGACTGAAAGTAGCATCTTTTAGCCAATGAGTGACTTGCATGTTAGCAGAATCCTGCCAACCAGCCGTTGGCAGATTCCTAGTTTAGAATATTACATTTAGAGGAAGTCAGAAACATAAAACAAAAATAGCAGTTCTCATTTTAACCCAAAAGCATTATTTGGATCGTTTATTTATATTTATCTATACTCGGAGGCCCGAGTATAATTAACTCTAATTTAAACTAAGCTACGCTTCCTCACATACACTCGCACACGTGTAAGCTAAAGTAGTGAGCCAAAGTAGGCCACTACACCCACCGCTTCTCGTTGGGTCGAGCGCTTCACGCGCATCTTCACCCACGTGCCAAAGAGCTCGACTTCAATTTCCACGACATCTTCCTCCGGTTCGGCAGCAGTATCCTCCAACGCTGCTACCGCTGCATCTAGAGCTCTTGCTTGTTGCATCGTATTGTCCTCAGGAATCGCAAACGGAGTGCCTTCAGGTTGGCGGGCGCGGTGGATAGCAAAATGGTGAGTGGCAATTGGTCCGAACCGCTCTCTACCTTCTGCCTGTAAGGTCACGATCTCCGCTGCCGCGGCACGAACTCGATCCGCCGTGGCCCGACGAATCCCATCAGTAGGCCTTACCACCGGGACGAGATAGACGAAAAATTCAAACACAAACTGCGTATGAATTGGCTCCTCATTGGATGCCAGAGCCACGATGTCATCGTCGGTAATGCACGCCCATCGACGCTTCAACAGCTCCTTGAAATTGCTAACGGAAAGAATCTTGAAGTCCTGCTGCCGTGCATTTTTGGTAGCCTTGAAGAACACGTTCTCGCCTTCGATTGAACTAGGATTGGGCCCAAACTCCGGTCCAGTCAACAGTCGAAAGATTTTAGCCCGGGCGACATCGAACCCCTCTGCAACAACAAACGTAAGGCTCTTCCGAATGCCCTTACGGGGGCCTCTGGAGCGCTCGCCGGTTCGGAACATTACCACACCGCGGAGCTGAGAATCTGGTGGCAAGATACCAGCGCGAGGCACGCCCATTCTGGACCTTCTACAGAGACTCTAAATCGGCAAGTAGCTGCCTAATCGCACGCAGCAAACAGAGCAGTATTAGTGAAGCAGTAGGCGCCGACAACTTGCATTTTGATTAGGCATAGTAACTTACAGTCAAACGTACTTTGGGGTAGCAGGCAGGTCCACAAGGACGGTGCTGTCGCGCTGCAGGTGACCGGAGCTTCTTCTACTGGAAGAGACGAAGCTATTGAGCTACAGCACGCAGCAAACAGAGCAGTATTAGTGAAGCAGTAGGCGCCGACACACGCGTAGTTGTTGGTGTACCCGTTGCTGATCGGGTGGCAGATATGAGGCTAATAAATCGAGCAGGACATTGGCCCAGTAGGCGCCCGATTTAGTGCAGGATTTCTGATGACTCGCATTTTTATGACCTCACTTTGTTTGTGTTGCTAGATCGATCTAACCACTAAATCGGACCGGCAAAACTTCTGTAAAGCACAATATATTTCCACTGTAGAAAATGCTGGTATTATATAAAATAAGCACTAAAACAGCCGTTTAGGGAAATGAATACGTCAAAGCGTAGGGCGGATACTATAATGGCTTCTTCATTATAAACAATATTCTTGTACACTTTTTTTATCAGTCTACATATTCATGTATGAATGTCAAATGCAGTTTTATGGCATGCTTATACGTAATTCAACGCGTTTAAGGTAATTTACTTGTAGTATAGCGCAAAACAGCAATGCTGAAATTAGTTTCAGCGTTTATAATCAGAAGTAGAGTGTGTTGGTAATATTCTCTGAAATATAAAAGAATTTTTATTGTGCTTTGCAAATGTTTTGTCGTTTTGACTTGGACCTCTCCTCGATTTATCATTAAGTCGAGGTCGATTTAATAAAACGAAGCCAAAGAAAGGGACAGATCGATCTATTTAGGCCGGCTAATAACTCGAGCTACGACAATCCAAATCAGGGCTCGAGGTCGATCTCCTGGTGGATCTGGGCAGAACGAGGTCGATCTACGGTAAATCGATCCCTTTTGCGTTTTCAAAAGCGCAATTCGAGGTCGATCTAAGTAAATCGAGCTACCGCCTCTGTTTTGTACCCTGATTTGTGGACCGGCCTTCCTCGATCTAGGCCATAAAACGGGGCGCCATTTTATCTGCAAAGCACAATATCACTAGTTTGTAAGCAGTGAAACCTTATCTTGAGCCTAAACGATTACTAAGTATTGTTTTAGCATTGAACATGACTTTTTATGTCCATTAAGAAAAAAAAGGACCGTAAGATTTGCAATTGGGTACGGATGGCAATAGGGTGTGGAATAGTTTCAGGGTACACTTTGGGTACAGGGAACCTTGGCTTTTTAAAAAAAACGAAACGAACGTTTGATTAGAAAATTACGGACCCGATTCGGATTTTTTTAAAATAACGGACCCGAAACACAATTTCCCCTAAAAATATCTATATGGAGTGTTTGGATTGGCTATAAACAAGCGTAACCCTGTGTAACCACTGAAGATTGGTGTCGGATGTTAAAAGTATTATACGGTAAGATCAAAGCCGCACGAGCAGATCCTAGGCTAGTCTCGTACTTTTATACACTGATTGGTACTCTACTATCTAGCCAACAAGCAATTTACACTCTATAATCACATCTGGTGATACTTATCATGCAGTTTATAATATGTGTTTATAGAGTATTGTTGTTTTGAACTTACAATTGCAGTTTTGAAGTTGAAAAGGTGTATTGTCCCGGCCAGAATTGAAGGGCCCGATTTGAAGCCTCGATTTGAACATGATGGCTACGACTTTCCATATGCGATAGTTAGATATAGGGTAAATCACACGCGTTAGATTCCAAAAATGTGGTAAAAACGGTCCAATTCGCAGCCGTTTTTTCGTTATAGGCGCTCAAACATGAAGGTTTGAATCGGCCAAGAAGCATGAGCTCAAATGGGCTAGGTCACGATAGGGTTACGAGAAATAGCATTCTGTAATTGGTTGATCTTCAGAAAGCAAATGACTTTTGGAGTAGTCGACAGGACTAGGTTTCCTTGCCGGACACGATCATGTGCTTCTCACCGAGGCTCAAAACATGCCGCTCAATCGTCCTCTTAGGTGGGGCTTCCAGCGGCGGAGGCGGTGTCTGCATGCTTCCGCTCCCTTTGCTTTATGTGAGTATTTTGAGCCCCCACTTGCCTCAAACGGAGCAGGCGATCCCTCGCAATTGCCAAAAATATGAAGGTGTTACAATTTCCGGGCCCTTCCATTCTGGCCGGGACAATAGTGGAGGCGCTGGTGGACGCGCTGTAGGCCAAGCAGCTGACGCCGGTCCCCTATTGCCCCGCTCTGTTAGGCCTGGTGGAGAGGTTCCACCGCACCTGGAAGGACATGGTGGCGATCTACGTAGCAGAAGCGCAAGATGACTGGGATACGTGACTGCCGTGCGGTGCGTATGCGTCAGAGCTCGGAATCGGGTACCCGAACCGAGTAACGTACCCACCCGAACCGGGTACACCCGAGTTCGGGTAGGGTCCGGGTACCCGAAACGATCCCCGGGTGAAGTTTGGGTACCCGAACGTAAAGATAGAGTCATGTGAATGGTTTCGCAGCTCTATTCTTATGATCTTGAAATCCGATTTTGTACGGCTTGTGCCTTTGAATTTCGCAACGCCTGACCCAATGCTCAAGCATGGAAACCGAGGAGCCCCCTGATGCCCGACGTGGCGTCTCTACTATAGATGAAGATCATGCAAAACGCGACCCCCCCCCCCCAAATCCATCTATGCTGAATGGCCTTCTAACGGTGAGGTCAAACGCAGAACTGATTTAATGGATGCAATGTCAGCATTTGCAGAAAAGACAGTAGTTTTTTTTCAATATACATAATTATTGTTTTATATACTTCGGCTTTGACACCCGCGACTTTCAGTGTTGACGGGTGAGATGACTGTTTTTCATTGTAACATCCCGGCTCCCTCTCAGATGGGCCCTCTCCTGGGTCGAAGCTCGTATATCGACGACATCGCCCATGGTGCGCCTACTTGGGAGCAGCTGTGCCAGGATCTGAACGCGCCGCTCTTCCGACTACGTTACTGGAATATCTCTGTGAGTCTCCCCAAAGAGTGAATTCTGGAAGTTGTCCATTCCGTACCTCTCTCACGAGATTAGTGCTGAGGGTATCCGGGCGACCCCTAAAATTGCGAGGGGGGTCCAAGACTTGCCGTTCCCGACGACACTGAAAGTAAACGCAGCAGCGGAGCCGTCGGCTTGGCGCCAATCACCGACACAATCGCCTCCTCCACCTTCGGATTCTTGGTCGCCGGCTTCACGTGGGGACACGCAGATTGCCCCGTCTTCCTGCCGCGCGCTCACACTGACACCACCTCGGGCCGCAGGTACAGCGACACCCCCTTCTTCACTTAGCGCGTACGACGAAGGATCACGACGTGCTGCAGACACGTGCCGGCGACTGCGTGAGCGAGGCCTTTTAGCCAGCACAGAAGCGACGGGTCTAGCAGCGACAGCTGGGCGCCGGCCGCGTGACCGGGAGCCTTCGGCACGTCCACCAGCACCACCGGGTCCAGCAGCGACAACTGGGCGCCGGCCGCGGGAACCGGATTCTTCGGCAGGTCCAGTGGCACCTGGTTCAGCGACGACGGCTTGGTGTCGGCCACGTGGGCGGGGTCCTTCGGCGGGTCCAGCAGCAACCGCGTCGCGGTAGCTGCGCCCACGTCGAATGGGTTGGCTGGGTTCGCCCATGCAATTGTCATGCGGCTTGCTTGTCGCGGGGCGGTGACCTCGAGGAGCTGCATTTGCGGTCATCGTTAAGACGTTGCTGTGGTTCTTCTAAAGGAGAAGTGGGTGGAGGATACAAGACCTAGCTGATACCTAAATAACACCTTGAGACCTAACAGTGTGATCCGCCTGAAAAACCTCGTTTGACCTGTATGTGGCCTGACCTGTAATCGATCCTTCGGCACCTTAACACAGCCGCGCGGAAGAGGTTTTTGACGAGGCCGAGTTTGAGCCAGCTACGCTGCTTCGGTTGGGCCCATACTCACCAATGTTGAACCCAATTGAGAATGTGTTCTCCACATTCAAGACCTTGGTGAAGGCGTGCATGAGGGAGCGCCGCCTCGATATTTTGGCCGGCCTGAAGGAGTGACGATGAAGGACCATCGTCAGTCGTTCCTGCACGAAGCGGCTCACATGTCATGCCGCAGGCCGCGAGCACCGCCAATTGCCGAGCCTTTTACCGCCACACGCTTCGCTTCCACTTCATGGTAAGCAGCATGGACGACATGCCTGTGGGCACGTGAGATTACGCGCTGTATATCAGGTGCTTTATTTGATTTGCTTTTGTACGTAACCTGGCAGTTCATACTTTTAACGATTTCAATGAATACGAATTTGCCCTTCACGAATTTGTTTTTGCTCTTGCCGAACTGTATTTGCACACCGCGAATTACGCCTGGAAAATGTGTACAGTAGTACCTAGCAGGTCACTTTGCCAGAGTGTCAGAGCTATATATTCAAGTACGGGGACTGCTGGCAAATGAACAATGGTAGGGCTAACAAAATACAACTAGAGGCGAAGCTTTGGTCTGGGAGGACAGTGTAGACTTCCTTTGTGTGCCTAAATTTATAAACGTGGGGTAGGCAAGAATAATGCAACATGAAAGTTGGTGGCAAGTTTTCAAACCCTGGTGTAGCGCCTTTAAGAAAAATGGCGAAGTTACCGCGCAAAAGACACAAAAGAACTTAAAGGCGCGCTCGGCCGGGGGCTTTGCCCCCGGCCGAGCGAGTTGAGGTCATGCATTCCAGCTATACAAATTTACACAAGAAGGATTCATGGGGTTTAGTCAATTTACAGACGCAGGAAAGAGTGCAATCCGTTAGTTGTTATTTCAATGATTTTGAGTAAATGTTAGCTTATAACGAAAAAAATGCAGCTATTCTAGTTATGATTTTCGGAATAAATTTCATAAATTCACTACAGTGTGTGGTACACGCTACGGATACGGTCGACATTCTGGGAACAACCAGCCACGAAATGTACAAACTCCTTGATGTTACGGTAGCCATTATCTGTGGACTATGGACTCAGGCGACATTTGTCAATTAAAGTTGGGGGGGGGGGCTCCCGGCCGCTGAAATAAAATTGGTTCAGCCAGCTAAAGCTGCCCTCCCAGTATAAAATTTTGGTAGTTGACTACATTCTTCCTGCACCACCCGATACTTACGTACCTTATATCCATCGAAGGATTATTGTTTCGTTACCTTTGGATTGGATCATATACGGAACTGATCAGAGATTTGAACAGATCTTCTAAAAGGTGTTCTGGGGGTTGCACCTCCAGACCCCCGCATAAAGAAAACTAACTCCGAGTTGCGGCAACGGGTCCGTTCGCTGGAATGCTCACTGCCGTAGCATATGTTTTGTCCATACAAAAACCAAGATAAGACACCTGTTCCATTCACTGATCAGTTCCGTATATGATCAAAAAAAATCTAGCTATTGTTTCACCTGTTTAGTTAGCTGTTGGGCGCGGTCACAGCGTCATCACGAGGATCTGCGCACGGCACCAGTAATATTGGACGTAGCACCAAACGTTTACGGAAAACCACCAAATAATTCCGGACGAAACACCCACCAAGCGTTACCGGACTTCCACCAATGAACACCGTTTGCACCACCAATTATGTCGTACAGTACTCAGATCGCCACTACCGTCGCACTAACCCATTCGATGGCTTGCAGCCCGCCGGGCCTTCGTGCAGTGCCAATCCACGTACAACTGACTTACACAGGCCTTGGTATCTCTCCTGCGGTTCGATTCTGTAACAGAATTTCTGTTTCGGCTCAGTGTCGATTTTTTCATCCATTGAGCAGCTGAAGGCGTCATGTCCGACGCTGATGACGGGGAGTTCGAAGACTGGCGCTTGATTTGGCGGAAGGATCGCGCTCTTGAGGACCGCGACGAGTACTTACGTACTGTTCTTCCACGTTATGCTACCGACAAGCACAACAGGGTCCCGTGTACCATCGACCATCTCGCGAAGGTGAACCCGTCGGACGCTGACATTGCCTTGCAACTCACCACACACTACATGGGATCTAGCCTAACGCTGTGTCGCTCGGAGCGCTGCCGAACAACCGCCGACGGCGAAAAATGCTGGTGTCGATACAAGATCAACACATGCGAGGATGGCAACACGACAATCGTTTTTCAACAAGGCGCTCACGTCATGGACGGCCTCTCTGCTCTGTCACCTCTCCGGGCCCGCATCACTCCAGCGATGAAGGTGGTGCTTGAGGACCAGCTGGAACGGCATCGTAGTTAGACCCCTTTGCCGTTACTGTCAACACTGTCTTACAAGATTGCCAACATGGAGCTTCGTCGACCGGAGCCGAGCTACAACCAAGTGGAATACTTCTTGCGAGTGTGGCGTGACAACCATTCTGGAGCAGACACGCATCAGGTCTCGAGTGCGATCGACCCGTCATTGCATGATGAAGTTGGACTACATGGGGGATCCCCTCACGTTATTGCCTTGATGATGGTGGCTTGAATTTATGCACACGCCGGTTGGGTCCAGTTGGTACTTTGCATGAGGTGTTCGACCTGTAAGAAGGTGTTCAGACATGACCACACGCAATCAGTATTGTTACTTCATCAATGCGAGTAATTGTCTCCTTACATTGTCGAGAGGACAGCCGTATGCACATCTTCTCCATGAATGGAGCTCGTCGTACGAAGCGGGATTCACCAGACGAGCAGTCATGTCCACCACACACACGTCCGCCGTCGGTACACGGAACGACGTGCGCGTCAGCTTTCCGTTCAGGTCCGGGATCACCTTGCCTACAGCCTCGGCGGCGCCCGTTGAGGTGGGGATGATGTTGAAGTACGCGCCATGGCCGCCGCGCCAGTCCTTCTTCGACGGACCGTCCACCGTCATCTGCGGCGCCGTCGCAGTGTGCACCGTCGTCATCAGACCCTCCTTGATGCCGAACTTGCCGTGCGCCACCTTGGCCAGCGGCGCCAGACAGTGCGTCGTGCACGACCTGGAGCGCGAACGTCTCGCTCGCGGTCATGGGCTTGCCGTCCAGGTCATCCACCAACAGACGCGCAGCCGTCTTCTGCTGCTCGCCCAGCGTCGTGCCGTAATCGGACACGTAGTACTTATCGTACGTCTTCTGCAGCTTGCGTACGACTGGCATCCCTCTTCGGGCACGCCATTCTTCTGAATGTAGCGGTAGGCCTCCAGTTGGTCGCCGCCGTGGCACCCGTTGTTCTTCTTTGTTGAGGATGACCTACGGAGACAGCACCACCACTCAGCACCTCCATCGACGGCTTGTTGCCCAGGTTGCGCTCCTGAGCGATCATGATGGGTCCGCCACCGCCGAAGTCGCCACTGCAGAGCAATAAACAATAACAAAAGAATAATAACATATCTAGAGAGAAATGATACATTGGAGGATCGATCCGATCATCTTCAAGGTGTTTATGTGCTTACCGAAGGACCAGCATGAGCTGTAATAGTGCGGGATGTGCAGGTTACGCGAGATGGTCATGTTGTTGGTGTTGTCGACGTTGCGCCAGGCGAAGTTCTTGGGCAGCTTGGCCACGTCCAGCACGCCGTGCGGCCGCGGGTACGAGGCTCCGCGGAGCGGTCGGAGCTGCGCCAGTAGCCGTAGCCGCCGGTGTTCGTGCGCACCGGCAGCGTCTTGATGCCGAACCTCGATCTTAGTTTAGGCTTAGGTGGGTGATTTGACGGAATGAGTTGGTGTTCTTCCGGGATACGTTGGTTGGTGAACCGCACGCGTGTAGTTGGTGATTTTCCAGATTGGTTGGTGTTTTGCACGAAATTATTTGGTGCTTTTCAGGAAAACGTTGGTATCCAAGACGGGTACTCCGCCATCACCAGACGATACTGCGGCGCCGGCAGGATCCGATCCTGGTGCCAAACCAGGCACCGGTGCCGATGCCAATCTCGACGCTGAGCTCCTGGAGCAGAAGCCCAGCGAATGACCGAGCGCGGCGTGTGCATTGGAGGCAGCAGAGCAGCACTCAACGACGGCAGTGGACAAGCGGCACGCGGCAGCAGCGAGGACTGGGCAAGCGGCACGCAGCAGCAACGAGGAGTGGCTGCCGGCAAGCAGCAGCGGCAGCCATTGGAGAACCGGTGGCGCAGGAGTTGCTGCCCCAAGGAGGAACGATGTCTGTCAGGATGAACTCTAACTACTTCGCAACTTACCTTACGAGCTCAACTTGCGATATTAGCTAACAAGAAAGTGGTCGGTTAAGTACGAAGAAGAGCGAGTGGGTTTTCGAACCGAGCCAGAACAGCGAGAACCGCCCATTCGCCGTTTGGCCGCCAGCAAGCAGACCACCGACCCAAGACGAGCTCACAGCCCAAAGCAACTAGGTTGCCACCGAGAGAAACATGCTTTCCGTCGTCTCGCACAGACCCGAGCCCCCCTCCAAGAATCTTCCCAAGCGTGTGTCGCAGGACCCTGCGCTCGGGGGACGGACTGTTCGCCTTGAGGCGCCAGACGAGCTGGCAGGCGACTGGTATGACCCGGTCTATGCGACGCTGTCGAAGGAGACCAAGCTGCTTCAACCGACTGACCGCTGACCGTTTGTTGCTGAGGATGGCGGTCTCCGCCGGCCCGCCTGGCGAGTGACGCTCACATTTTTGAGGCATGGACAGCGCCGTGACGAGCTTCCACGCGCGCTGCAGGAGCACGTGAACGTCCAGTTCTGGATCCCTCGCTGGGGGCTGACACTCCCAAGCCGCGACCTCTCGGGCGAGCTCCTGGAACGACCCCTGCTGTCCCTTTTCGCTTCGTGGGGGTGTCGGAGTTCTTTGTGGCATCCCCCATCTGCGACACCAAGTTTGTGCGTCAAGTCGCCGCAGGCTCCCTGTGTGGGCAGGTGGTGGCGTACTCGCCTGCCTCTTCTCTCGCGCTGGTGGATGACATTGACGTTTTCCGGGAGCCTGGCTCCAGGTTCATCTGCTACGTGGCCATTCGGCACTTCGTGAGTGAAGCCAGGCAGATCGTGGTGGTCCCTTTGGACGACGTGCGCGTCAACCACATCAGCCGCGCTGAATACGTGCTCGGATTCCGTCACCGGCAACCTCAACCTACCTCGCCTGGCGAGTTTACGAACCTGTGGAATAGTATTCCTGCGCTCAGTAATAATGATGCATCGACGGTTATGCATCATATTGCCGCAGCATTTTCCTCTACTGTGTTGGACCTTTGCGCCGGCCGGGTCGCGTTCATTACTCCACGGGGGGAGAAAACTTCGACTACGGTGACAAACTTCGTTCTGGACGCCAAGCGCCTTCCTGAGATGGACGTCGACCAGGAGAGCCTCCCGCCGCCAGTCCTCCCTCTGTTGACTTCGGACGAGACGCGGCTGACCCCGATTGACGAGCTCTCCCTCTTGGCCAGGCCGAGTGAGTCGGTTTCGTCAGGTGCGGGTCCGCGTCCTGATGCTTCGACCGCTGGCCCAGGACCCGGTCCCAATACAAACTCGACGTTTCAGCACCCGGACAATTCGCTTGTTCGTGTCTTACTCGAACAGCAGAGGGCATCTATGGAAGCCACGCAAGCTATGATCCGACAGTTGCCCGATCTCACGTCGGCCGTGCTCCAGCGTCCTGCACAGCCACAGCCTGCGCTCGCTGCTACTGAGGTTACTACGGCTGGCGCTGAGGCACCCACTTCGATGATCCCACGGCACCACGGGGACAGCGTCTCAACCCGTCGTCCCGCGAGGGCCTTTGCGCTCAGCATGCTGGTGACCACCGCCCGCGTGGCTACAATCGTTTACGATCCCGATCCTGTCGGCGGCTGTCTCGCCGTCGAACCTCGAACCTCGCGATCGCACTCACGCTCGCCGTGCCGAGCGCCTAACCGGCGCTTCCGTAGTCGAACTCGATCTCGGGGCCGCCACCGCCGTATGCATCGTCGCTCCCGGTCTCGGTCTCCCAACCGGCGCTCAGAGCAACGCCGATCGGGATCACGCGGTCGCTCTCCGACAGGTTACCGCCCTACTGGGGCCAGTGCTTTTCGGCCAACGGAGTACGAGGCCCGAGTCCATGATGTAGCCCACGTGGGGCCCTCGGGTACGGAATCCTTTGATCGTTTTCATGCTATGACACCCCAGGACAGAGTCTGCTCCATGCTTCAACGAGAGCGTTTTCGAAACCGATACATAGTCACCAAGGTGACCATCAAGATGCTGTACGCGATCAACTTTGAGGGGCGACCCATTGACCACTTTTTATTCTCTGAGGATCCCTTTAACTTTGCCCAGGGCAGATTTGTCATCCATGACGACACCCAATGGAGTGGGCCTGACCCAGCTCCTCTTGCCCAGATTCGCCGAGCGGATCAGCTCCACCACGTGCTATACGTCATCCAGGATGCCGCAGCGGAATGGTATACGACCGATGTGGCTAGGGTGTTCCGAACTGTTCACAGCGACGCTGTCAACAACGTCCCACACCTGGCGCCTCCGCAAGTGATCAACGCCATGTGCAACTTGTACCAGGCAGTATTCGGCGAGCTCTTTGATGATATTCTTCGCCGTGTACCGAGCCGGGATCTGGAGCCCCGTGCGCGACGCGTTCTCAGCCGCGATTTCCAAGCCTATCAGCAGTACGTGACACGGGTGCTCAACGACGCAGTCGTCCATACCGTCCTCAGCGGACCCCAAACTGGATCACGTGATTCCCAGCGTCCGGCGCAGCCTCGTTCCAAGAATCGTCGACAGTCCCAGCCGGCTAACCGGCCTGGCCAGCCTTCGGTCATTCCGACGGCCATTTGTAGCCAAATCCCAGTGATCAACGAGTCCCCGCTCTGTATCCACTACCAGGTAGCCAAGGACTGTTCGTTCCCCAGGTGTTCCCACACCCATTCGCTCCACAGACTCCCGCCAGACGTTTTGCAGTGGGTGGTTCAACGCCATGGTGCGCTCAAGAGTGAGCACCCACAGCATGCGTGAGGATGCGGGGACGGTGGTGTTCGCATAGCAACATTATCCATTGACAATTCGACTTTGCCGCTTACCTTTCCGTCCGTGAACGATGTTGCGTCTGACGTGCCACTAGCGCCAGTACATGGCTCGATGTCTACTCCGGCGATATCAGATATCCGTCCACCAAGTAACCCAGCGATGGCTTCAGAGCACGTCGTCCTTGTCCCTGGGGCGCCATCATCGGCGGCTACAGCATCTGATGCCACGGTGCCAGTCACCCCGCCAGCGACGTCTAATGTGTCCGACACTTTTGCGCCGGACCCCCGCCCATCGACGATAGCGACGTCAGATGTTCTCGTGCCGTGCACAAGTCCAGCGGCGACCACGGCGTCGACCGGTCCGGCACCTGACGCGCCGCCATCCGTGACATCGCCTACAATGGCGCAGGACGCCTGTCCGGGTACTTTTAGTGTGTCTGACTCGCCCACAGCTTTGGTACTTGGGGTTGCCGACCCCGTCAGGCTGGATACCCGATTACCCGTGTCTTTGGTGTCTGACACCTCACCCACCCACGCATCCAACCTCTTCGCGTCGTTCGACGGTGGGTGTCGGCCTACAGAGCGTCGAAGTGCCTACGCCTGGTGCGTTTGGAGTTCCGAGTATCAGCTACTCCGCTAGGAGGCGCGACCATTTGCCATTGCGGAGTCAAACAATTCGATGGAGGCCCAGGGCTTCTTGGCGTGTCTACGTTGGGTTCGGGACAACCTCCCCGGCCGACGTATCCATGTGTTTGGCGACTCAAAGTTGATCATCTAACAAGCCTTGATGCAGGCGGCCTGCAAGGCGGCCGATCTCCGTCCGCTCATAGCCGCAATCAGATCCATGGGGGCGGGCTTGCCCCTCCTTTATTTGCGGCATGTGCGACGCGGGTACAACATTGCGGTGGACGCTTTGTGTAACTGAGTCATGGACACGGCCCCATCGGATGTCAATTGTACGCATTGCGATTCCTGCTGGCCGACGACAGCTCCTTCGAATATGGCTCTGAGCCCGGCTGTGCTTCTTCCATTCCAGGCTTCCCTTGATGAGGGCGTGGACCATGCTGCGGTTAACTGGTCTCTCGTGCTTCGGGAGCTTGCATTGGTGACCCACCTCATCCGTTCTCGCTTCGTGTCGAACCGTGCAGATCGTCTTCACTACCCGGCCACGGTCAATCCTGCCGCCCCTGACCAGGTTGGCACGGTCGCGCGATTATTGGATTCAGAATTCGACACGAACGTCAAACGTTCTTGTATCATCGAGGGTAGACCCAGATGCGTTCCAGCGGCAGCATTTCGAGGCCTCCAGGAGGCGGCGCACCTCGTTGGTACCTCCTTCCCGATGCAAACAGCGTTCCTGGATCCTGGCCCTGGGCCCTTAACCGTTCCATCCGTGGATCTCGGCATCCTGGATGCCCTCATTGCCGACGATCGATTTGGGATTGCAGGCACACTCAAGCTCTTCCGGGGTCAGACCTCATTGGACCCTCGGCCTAACAAGGTTCTACGGCCCTGGCTCTATCGGGACCACCTTTCGACGTACCCTCTGTTACAACTGCTGTGTGCCATCGCTGAGGAAGGTATCGTGTCACCATGGATTAGTACACAACATCGCCGCGGGCTCGGCCGGTCCCGGACAACTACGCGGGTGCCGAAGATGGTGCGCGGATTGTGACGGACAAGCTTCTCGTGGACTACTACAAGGTCATCGCTACTATCGCCACGCTGATTCAGGACCCGGAGTTTCACTCGAGCGCCTTCGCGCTCGTTCCGAAAAAGGATAAACCTCTCCACCTCGACGTACGCATCATTCATAACCTCTCGGCGCCGCCTGGTGTATCTGTCAACGATCAGACCAACTCCTCGGTCTCGCCAGACGCGACTTGGGACCCCTTCGAGGCTATTGCTCTCCGTGTGCGCGACCTGCGTCGTCGGTTCCCGGGCTTTGCCATCTACGCCATGGTCGCTGACATCGCCGACGCCTTTCACCACGTCCCAGTACACGCAGATCACGCGTCGACGTTTGGGGGGAAACTACCACGGTCATCGGATGGCATAGTGCCGTGTTCTGCTGGACATCGTCTCCCGGATTCTTTGCGGTTTTTGGTAACGCTGTCAGACACTACCAACGCACAGGGGCATCACGAATCTTGGGGTTCCTGAAACCATTCTGGGTCTTCCAATGGGTCGACGACATCATCCTCATTGAAGTGAACATCGGTGACCGCCTTCTGAAGGCAGAGAAACGTATCAGAGACGGTATCAAACTTGTGTTCGGCTCCGCCGGCTGGCACGAAGGCAAGTTCACGACCTGGTCGCGACGTTTCCACGCAGTCATCATTGACTGGGATATCCCAGCTGAACGCATCACTGTTCCTCAGAGGAAAATCGGCAAGGTGCACTCAACCCTTGCGGGCGCCCTCCAGAAGAAGCAGTTTTCCCTCAAGCAGTTGGACAGTATCGTGGGGTACTCAGACACGTGATCAGCTTCATTCCCATTACCAAGCCGTTCATTCAACGTTTGGTAGCCGTGCAGACGGATTGTCGCCTACGACACAAGATGGGAGTGCCGATGACAGAATCCTGCGGAAGGATATTGTCTGGTGGAACGGCCTGGTCTTCCAGAACGAGTGTTCCCATGGAACTATTCGAAAGGGAGGTTAAATCCGGTGACATTTGGCTACTGGAGAGCGAACCCAAGGCACTGGTACTCACGAACATGCGTCTCAGGGAAAGGGTCGTGTTCATTCATGCCGACTGTGCAGTTGACGTCTCCAGTGTCGCCCTAGCGATGTCGAGAGCGGTACAAACTTGGGGTCCAAGACTTCAACGACAGGACGCCTGGCGCCACATCACGGTTCACAGCCCCAGTCGGTGGATAACCCGAACCGTGGAGAGAATGAGCTGTGACTCCGAGGCAGGTCAGGATCTGCTGCGCCAGTGCGCCCTCACCGCCTTCACCTTGGAACTCACACGTTCCGGAGAAGCATTGAGCAGACCACAAGGTGTGATGTACACGCCCGAACTAACAGTTATTCTTCCTCACAGAGAGACACAGAAGCATCGAGCAGAAGCCAAAGCAACTCAAGGAAGCGTCCGTATCCGGGGGAACACTCGGGCGATACAGCAAGAAATTCAAACACTGGGAGACGTTCTACAATGGATTCGGCTTCCCAGTGTGGATCGACGACCTGTCCAGGGCTCAGCAAGCCAGGATGGTTGGATTATACGCCGGGCTGTGTGTGTCAGAAGGTCACAACAAGTCCAGGACAGGGAATAAGTACCAAACCTTTGACGGAAAGATGGCAGCGGTGGCATTCGCACACAAGGCAGTTCGGAACGCTAAGCTCGACTACCATGATACGGAATTTGAGCTCGTCGCTCAAGGATACAAGCGAACCAACAGTCATGTGGACCGGAAGCAGCCAGTTACTACACCGATGTTTCTCAAGATGCGGGAGCTCGTAGCTCATGAGGGTCCGCAAGCCAGGCTGTTGTGGAGCTCCGTCGTACTTGGGTTCTTCTTCCTCGACAGAAGCTCAGAGCTATGGGGCCCGGTCAAACCCGACATGTCGACAGGATTTGAAAGAGTCCACTGTGTCAAGGCCCAGAATATGATACTCAGGAACAAGCAAGGTCAACAGGTAGGCTCAGAGTCTACCCAAGTGCACTCCGTCGAAATCATATTCGAATCGCACAAGGGCGATCGAATCGGCCAAGGCAGTACCATACGGCACTATCTATCAAACAACCCGACACTTTGCCCGGTGGAAGCCACGCAAGAATGCATGCGGATACGAGCTCAGTGGATAACGGAGAACAAGATCCTGGGTCCATTTCTTACCTCCGTATCAAGGAAGGCAACGATCAAGAGGTCAAAGGTGGCCAACCTCATCTAGGCGGCGGCAAGAAGCCTGGGGCTATCCCCAAAGGATTATTCGGCCCATTCACTTCGGATCAGAGGGGCCTGTGCTCTACTAGCCGCTGGTAAAAGTGACCTGGTCATTCGGCTAATGGGCAGGTGGTCCGGCTGGTGTTTCACAGTCTACACGCGATTACAACCAGGTATGATTCGCGACGCAGCACGTAGCATGATCAAGGCCTCGACATGGGAGCACCACGAGCCAAGGTACGCAGTACTCGAGGGGGATCCAACGAGCCTAATTCATCGAGCTAATCAAGTCTACTTGCCCCACTCAAGGTGATGGTCGAAGGAGGAAAGTGGTCGGTTAAGTACGAAGAAGAGCGAGTCGCTGAACCGTGGGTTTTCGAACCGAGCCAGAACAGCGAGAACCGCCCATTCGCCGTTTGGCCACCAGCAAGCAGACCACCGACGCCAAGACGAGCTCAGAGCCCAAAGCAACCATGTTGCCACCGAGAGAAACATTTTTTTTCTCTCTCAAGACTTGATTAGCGGCTCAAGTAGCAAGTCCTTCTAGGACGGGTTTTCCCCCTTTCATAAGATTTTGTCCCGTGGTAGGACTTAGAAGTAGGATCCAACGAGCCTAACTCATCGAGCTAATCAAGTCTAATCAAGATGATGGTCGAAGGAGGAAAGACGCAAAAACAAAAAAAGCGTTCTCAGGAATTCGTTGGGTCTATTAATACAGCTACGGTATCTAATCTTGGTTTGCAAGTGGAGATATGAAAATTTCATTGAGACGGTTTCAAACGAAAAGAATGCTTGCGAACCTAAGTACGAATCGCGATTTAACCGCATCAATCGAAATAGGCGTGTCTTGTGCTTCGTTTAAGCTATCGAATGCTGTGAAATGTTAAGAACTCGCGGAGTGACATCGATCTAGAAAAATTATCTCCATTTTCGGACCCCCAAAATTCACGATTTTATTTGGGGCGTGTGGCCTCAATATTTTTTCAATTTTAACGTATTGTATATTATCGGAAATCTCGCGCTAAAAGCAAGCGAATCAGAGTTATTTTACGCTTTTTACGTGTGCTTTTCACTTTCGAAATTTTGATGTCCGATTATTTCCGAAAGGTGATTGGTCAACTTCAAACGCGATTATCTCGATAACTCCAAATGGCGCCTAAGCATCGTCTCAAATATAGATCGGCTGTGGTTTGATTAATACTGCAAGTAAAACCTCATGCACGCAGCAGGTTCTCGTCATTATTATTGCGTGTCTTGATGGAGGTCTTGCCAAGACCGTCTTGTAGCGACTTGTCTCCCTAACGAGTCTAGTTTTTGAGAGCTTTGTAGGGCCTGTAAAACAACAAACAAAGTAGCGCGCTTACACCATGTTCAACACCATTCTCTCTCCTCAACATGACAACAACCCCCTACCTGCACGGCTGTTCCGTCCAACAGCAAGCAACACAGCGCTGACAAAATAGATTTCACACAACATGTGCACTTCGACAGTCCCATATATAGATCCGATACGTATTTACGTGTCGAGATGAGCGAAAAGTTCGAAAGATCGGTTGTCGACCGGTCATGGAAGTTCCGACGTTGCTGCTGCTGATCTCGAGCGCCCTCTGCATCGCAAGCTTCGCAATATCTGCAGACTCTACGCTATCACTGGATGCAATCAGTTGCCTCACTGAGGGCCCGTCATGTGGAGCGCAACACCAACGGCAAGATGTCGATCCATTGACAGGATATCGGATAATGGACCCGAAGGAAGGCGCAGTGGAGACGGCGCCACTGGAGGTCAGACTCTTTGTCGATACAAGCAGCTCCAAGGAGTTCGACGCCTATTATGCGGACGCTCGCATCTGTGTGGAGCTGAATGGACTCTGGAAGAAGTGCAAGTCGACGGGGGGACCTCCAATCATCTTCCGGTTGCTGCCCGAGGGGAACTACACTGCCATTGCCTACATCACGGACAAGACGGAGCAGGCTCGATACCACGAAACTACACCGGTTGGGTTCACTGTGGTGGGGTTAAGTGAGTTTAACCTCCGTAACGCGTTACTGGCGGAGAGGAGTCGGATAGAGCAGCAGTTCCCCGAGGATATCGATCTGCTACGTTGGGCGGAGCTGGAAAATGGAGCGGGTATTGATGGCAAGACTGATGATGGTAATTTAGTCTTACCACGCGCTAGTGTGACGTCGACAAAGAGTCCGATGCTTGTGATTGGGGTGAAGACTGCAGTGGTGACGAGCTTGCCGCGTCGACAAGCGATTCGAGATACGTGGGGGAATCCAGCCACACTTCCCCACGACGTCAAGGTTCTTTTCCTTGGTTGCGAGCCGAATATGACAGTGTTCCGATACGAACATGAACGACGACGAGTATTAAAGGCATTGGCGAAGGAGAGAGCGGTGTATAAGGATCTTCTCACTGAAGAACTGGAGTGCACGGACTCGTACAGGAATTTATCCAAGAAAGTTAAGTCGTTCATGCACTTAGCAGCGGCAGAGTTCCCCGACGCCAAGTTTGTCATGCTTGTGGACGACGATGTTTACGTTAAAGTGGATCAACTTGTCCAACACCTGCGCTTGGCTAACGTTCCGCGACTGTATTTTGGAGAAGTTTGGGCAGACAAGTTTGCGAATAAACAAGAGCCTATCCGCGATCCAGACAGCCCGTATCATTTACCAAAGGACCAGTATCCGATGAGTGGCTTACTGCCTTATGGATCTGGACCGCACTATGCTGTATCAATGGACGGAGTACGGTTCATCGCCAAGAACTGCTGGAAACTGCGCAGCATGAACGGTCTGGAGGACGTGAGCTCAGGATTTTGGCTTCGTCTTATGCAGATTCCAGCACAGCATACAGCAGAATTCTCGAGTATCCGCTCTTCGATGAGCTGTGAAGACGATCTGGTGTCATTTGCTGACCTCTCGCCGCTGGGCATCCGATCAATTCATGCGAACGTTGTCAACAAGAGGCGATTCTGCCACGGCTTCCACTCCGTCACGTGGCATCGACACCTGAATTCCATCCCCAACCTCAAGCAAATTCTTCAGCGGTCAACTCAACACGCTGTACACTCGACACCACTGCAAGTGGAGACATACGTCGACTCTTCTGATCCGCTGCGATTCGTAGTGATCGTCTCCACCCCGTCCAAGGCTGGGATGAAGTTTGGATTCACTCCATCAACAGAATCGACCGACGACTTCATACAAAGAATCTGTCCCCAACTCTCTCACGACTCCGCACCCTGTGAAGCTGTCAGCCTTACTTTCGTCAAACAACTTGAAAAAGCTCTTCAGTAAATGTTATGAGGTCATCTATCGTACATGAGTTCAACACGTCCACTGTCCCGTATCGTGAATCACGATTCGTGATCCAGGTCATCAAAAAGATCGTCAAAGATCTAGATCTCGCTCCGCATGGAAGTCCCAAGGTTGTTGCTGTTGGTGCTGCTGGCCACAAGCACTCTGCGCGTATCGAGCGCATCGTTGACGACAGACTCTCCATTGCCACGACCGTCACTCGAAGCCTCGACAAGCATACGCCACAGCAATGCAGTGGATCGAGACGAAAGCGATCCGTTGATAAGCTTTTGGATCGTGAATCCTGAAAATGACGCCGTGACCGAGCTCCCAATTGAGATTCGATTCGGAATCAAGGCAACTGGGGCCGAGGAGTTTCAAGAGTTTTACAGGGATGTACTTTTATGTGTAGAGCTCAACGGACTGCACAAGAAGTGCAAGAGGCTAGAAGATCCACCGATTGTTTACACATCGCTGCCCGAAGGCAACTACACGGCGACGGCGTACATCACTGACGCAACAGAATGGGCCTATCACCATGAGACCGAAAGCGTTGAGATCACATTATTGAGCTCAGCTGAGTACAAGTTGCACAACGCACGACTTGCTGACAACAGTCGAATGGAGCAACATTTTTCGAAGGACATCGACTCTTGCAGTGGGCAGATCAGGAGAAGCAAGTGGCCGTCAAGGACAACGAAGACGGTGGAGATGTGGTGCTGCAACGTGGTCACGTGTCGTTTGCTACCAGTCCCATGCTTGTCATTGGCGTCTCTCCGCTCGTGATCATTCTGAAAATCTGCAGCATTCGGATCGCAGCCCAGAAACAAAACCTTGACGTCGTGAGGAAGCTTGTCTGGATCCGCCCACGAGTCGCGTATCGCTTGTCGACGATGGAAGTTCCTTACCACTGCCGTCTTCGCGTTCTGGCGGCTGTGGCGAAGGAGAGAACGATATACAGAAATCTTCTCACGGAGGAGTTGGGATGCACGGACGGATACAAAAATCTAACCGACAAGGCGGTGTCCTTCATGGATCTAGCAGTCACCGAATTCCCCAGCGCCAAGTTTGTGATGGTCATTGATGATGACGTGTACGTGAAAGTTGACCAGTTAGCCGAGAATCTACGAGTGGCGAACAGCACGGGGCTATACTTTGGCGAAGTTTGGGCTGTGGTGTTCGGAAACAAGCAGAAGCCCATTCGGGACCAAAGCAGCCAGTACTATCTCCCAGAAGACCAGTATCCCATGCGTGGCTTGCTGCCTTACGTAGCTGGACCCCACAGTGTTATCTCGATGGACGGCGTCCGGTTCATCGCCAAAAACTACTGGCGTCTGCGGAGTTTGAACGGCTTGGACGACGTGAGTGTGGGGCTTCGGCTGTGGAGTATGCAGCTGCGACAACAGCACACGCGGCAGTTCTCCAGTGTTCGCGCCTCCACGAACTGCAGTGACGACCTCGTGTCGTTCGTAGATCTTCCGTCGCTGGGGATCCGCTCCATTCACGCCAACCTGATCAACAACCGGAGCTTTTGTCCTGGCTTCCACTCCGTCACGTGGCACCAGAACCTGAATTCGGCTCCAACCATGGCAGAAATGCTGCGACGCCCAACTCAAGAGGAAACACAGTCAACGCCTCTGCAACTCGAGACGCACCTTGATAGTCCTGAGAAGGTGATAGTCATTGTCTCCAGCACGTCCAACGCGGGACTAAAGATGCAGTTCACTCCATCAGCAGAATTCGTCAACGCCTTCACCCACCGACTCTGCTCCAAGCTTCCCCAGTGTTTCCCCACCTCTCCGCCATGCCAAGCTCTCACTCCAGCTCTTGCCAAAATCTTCGAGGTATAGTTAATGGGTCTAGCGGAGGAAAGTGTATGTATTTATTCCCGTTGATTTTATTGCTCCACCACGAAGTAGGAAGTCGGATGCCTTTGCTCTATGAGAAGGGAGGGAGAGATACACCTTCGCCGCAATATATCTAGCCGAAGTTGACAAACGGCTGGCTCAGTCCTCCTACTTGTGGCTGCTGCTGTTGCAGCGGCGGCGGTCGCTGTTGTTGCTGTTGCTGCTGCTGGAAGCCTCCCTGGTTCATGTGCATGCCCATGGGGTTCATCCCCATCGGCTGTCCCTGGAATCCCATCGGCGCAGCGCCACCTACAGCAAACCAGTAGACCAACAACGTTAGCATTCCTATCACCACCTTAACCTGTCACGTCACGGCACGTACCCATCATCATGCCGTTCTGCTGCGCGCCGAACATTTGGTTCTGCATGGGGTACCCCATCATCATGTTGGGCTGCTGGGCCATCATGTTGGGCTGCTGAGCCATCATGGGGTTCATGAATCCCTGTCCTCCGGCCATGGGCATGCCCATCGGCATCCCCATGCCCATGGGGCGCGGGGCCATCATGCCCATGCCGGGGTTCATCCCGTTCATCTGCATGTTCATCATGGGCGCGGGCGCCATTCCTGTCTGAGGCGGGAACGCGTTCTGCTGCTGCTGAGGCTGCTGGGGCGTCTGCTGCGCGGCAGATCCGAAGCTCGCCATGATGTTGGCCATCTTGTTCATGTGCTGGTCCGCCGGGTTGGGCGGCTGCGGGGCGAACGCGTCCTTAAAGCCGGACTGCGCGTTGGTCGAGCCCCCAAACGACGCCCACTCGTCCTGCTTGGGCGCCGCAGCAGGCGCCGCCGCCGCCGCCACCGGGGCATCCACTAAGCTGGCAGTGACAGGTTTAGCCGCCGGCACGGGCGCGCTAAACACGTCGAAAGACAGGATATCGTTCGTCACCGCGGGCTGCTGCGCCGTGGGCGTGGCCTCCCTCGAGGCCGTGCGAGACCCGTGCCTGGATCCGTGACGCGATCCGGAGCTGCGCTCCTTGTCCTTGCGGCGCTCGCGACGGCGCTCGCGCTCGTCCTGTTCATCATCCTCGTCCTCGTCGCTGCTGTGCTTCTTGCGGCGTGACGCGCGCTCGTCGTTCTCGCCGCGCGGGGCCTCGCCCACGAAGCGCTTGCGCTCGTACTTCTCGCGGATCCACATCTCCTTCTCGCGCACCGACGAGTGCTCGGTCGGGATGCGGTAGTCGCGCGGCACGTTGGCCTCGTAGTAGGCCTTGGCGCGCGCGTTGCCCCAGCGCTGCATCTGCTGCACCTGCTCCGAGGTCCACGAGTCCAGGTTGACGCTGCGCACGAAGGTCAGGTGCACGCCCAGGCTGCGGTGGATGCCCGAGCACGCGATGCAGATGAAGACGCCGAGGTTGATGGAGGCCCAGCGCGGCCCGCGGCAGCCGCAGTCGGCGCAGAACTTGTTCTCCTCGAGCTTCATGAGCTCGTTCAGCTGCTTCTTGAGCTTCGTCTGGTCGTCGGGCGCGCGCGCGCCTCCGGAGCGGCTCATGGCGGCAGTCGCGCGTGTGGAGGGGAGGGGGGAGGCGGAGAGATGGAGACTGCTTGGGGCGAGCTGGCCTGGTGCCACGAAGAGGCAAAATTAGAGCTGAAACTCCCGACAGGTGACTTGAAGGAAGTATGCCGGGGGGATCAAGATATAGAGGTAGATACACTTTGAAAACTGATAATTGTATCCATCTGACGGACGTTGAAGCTGTATGAGTACGCCTCACTCGGGTCTCGAATTGGTGCTAGCGGCGTTGGATGCAGTGTGTCTGAGAGTTCGCCAACGTACAGACCTCTGTGTTGCCCAGCCTGGCTGATGTCTGCAATTATGTGGCCGACTCTTACGTACACGTCGTCGTCCGTGACCATCTCGACTTCCAGCCACTCGAAGAACGCGCTCACTTTCTCCGTCAGTAGCGTGTACTTGTCCTGACACTCAAGCTCAACGTCAGCAAGTCTCCTGCATTCACGATTCGCTGGCGCTCAAGGTCGTCGGAGATACTGTCCACTACAGGAATGCATCCGAGGAAAAACACCTTCGCATTAGAAGGTAAGTCACTCTTCCTCGCCCAGGTTTCGCGTATGGCTTGGCGCTGAGCAAAGTTGGTCAATACGGCGGTCTTGATGCCAATGACCAGCTTTAACTCGTCCGAGTGTGCCTCGTTGGCAAATCGTAGCGAATCTTCGGACGTGTTGTACGGGTAGCTCTTATCGGACTGCTGCTGCTCTGCCCACTGCAAGACGCCCAGGTCCCGTGGAAACTTGTTGTCGGCCCGAATTTGTTCACGTTGTTGTTGAATATGCGCGTCAAAGTTCTCGGCACTCGGCAGCGAGAACGAAATAGGATTCGTCTCGTGGTATCTCGTCACTCCATCGAAAATAAAGGCGTGAGCAACGTGTCTGCCTTCCGGTAGCTCTTGGAATATGATTCTCAGCTGCAGTATCGGTGAGCATTTCGTTTTGACTCCATCCAGCTCCACACAGACAAACATGGCTCCGTATTGAGATTTGAGGGCGTCAAAACTCACAGCGTCGATGCTGAACTTGAATCGGAGAGGCAGCGCCGAGACCCCGCCATCTCGAGGATACTCCACCTTGAATTCCCACACAGGGTCGTCCTCCACGATTGATACACCTCGTGCAAGTGCAAATGCGGCACAACACGCGAGCAATACGAGGAGAAACAGCACAAGCCTTGACATGGCTACACCGTATCTTCGAAAAAGTGGAAACGAATCTGATTCCATACCTGAGAACGGTATCTTTTGGTCAAAGGGGCGATGAACCGATGCCGTCAAGCGTGTCAAGTCCTCATCACTTGCTGGCTGCTATGGAGTTTGCGTGCTGCGGCGGTCTCGCCAAAGTCTCGTGGTATCGGTGATCAGCCCCGTCAAGTTGACTTGGATTCCAATGGAGTTGTCGAAATTCAGGAACCGGAGCCTATAATTGCCAAGTTTCGCGTCATTTATCCGTCGAATGGCGATGTGGAACCGCTTCCGCTCAGTTTTCGCCTTGGCATCGAGGTGACGAGCGCCAGTAAATTTCACGCACAATATGGAGACAAGCTCCTGTGTGTGGAGCTGAACGCCAAGTGGAAAAAGTGCAGTCTATTGGCTGATCCTGTGGCTGTGTTTGATGATCTGCCTGAAGGGAAATACGGAGCTCGAGCTTTCATTACGGATAGAGAAGGCAGCTTTCGGTACCATGAGACGCCAGAGCTGACACTGACGATTGTAAGCGACGAAACATTCGAGGAGTACAGCGTTGCGATGCTGAAACAGACGGATCAAAGTCAAGACCTGCCCCAGTGGAATGATCTCGCGCAATGGGCTCGATGGCAGAAGATTTTTGACTCGGATCTCGATGAGATGCCTTCGAGCTCTCTGCTATCTGCTGAAGGTGGCGACTTTCTTCTTGTTATTGGAGTCAAAACGGCAGTGCTGGAGGGCTTCGACCGTCGCCAAGCTATTCGCGAGACGTGGTCGAGTAAACCTGAACTTCCACGTGATGTAAAAGTGTATTTTGTCGGGTGTGCGTCGAACTTTGATGCCATTTCAAGTGATGAGAAGCGAAATCAGGTCCAGAGTGCGATCAACTATGAAAAGCAAGTGTATCGAGATCTACTTACGGATGAGCTTCTGTGCGAAGACTGGAACGGAAACCAAGTGAACAAAGTGAAGGCCTTTCTGGACTTCGCCGCGCAGACATACCGGCATACACCGTTCGTAGTGATAGCAGATGACACTATTTACCTACGAGCTGACCGACTAGCCAACGACTTGCGAATGGAAAATCGGACGCAGCGACTGTACCTAGGACAAGTGCTGGATAATCGCAGTCAACCTGGCGTGTTTCCGTCGGAACATCGCTACATTCCCTCGAAGCGCTACTCGCTCCACAACTATCCGTCATTCGCGTCCAGCTCACACTACGTACTGTCGATGGGATGCGCGCGCTTTATTGCAAAGAATAGTGCGCGGTTGCAAGGCTTGGATGGACAGGATGGCGTCAGCGTCGCACTTTGGCTTCTCACTATTCAGGTTCACGTGGAGCACACGAAGGCGTTTTCAGACCTCCAAGATGAAGATTGCGACAATGGGTTTCTGTCGCTTGCTGGCTTATCTTCATCGGGCATTCAGAAGATTCACGCGAATGTTGTTGAGCGACGTCCATTCTGCTACGGTCTCAACCGAGATTTATTTCTGAATATTGGCGCCAATGCTGACCGATCGAGTCAACTAGCGGTGAATTTGCTGGAAATTGAGTCATTTGTTCACGACCTCAATGCGTCCGAGTACCTGTTCGTCACAAGCCTCATCTCGACGCGTGATAACGCTGGCGTCAAGGTTTCGTATTACCCCTCGGCGGAGACGTTTGCCTCGTACTCCCGGCGAGCATGTGATGAGACGCGTCGATTCTTACTCGATACAGAAATCAAAGCGTGGATGTGCCCTGCCATCGCCCAGAAACTCCGGGCCCGAGTCCAGCAAGAGTTCGAGATTGCCAAGACCTCACTGACGATCAACCCCGCGTTTCTCGAGTTGTGGCGGCACAATTTGTTCGTTGCAAGTGCGGACAACCCCTTCATTATCGGGTACACGCCAGAATCCTCGTACGCGTCGATTGTTTTCGAGTGCATATTCAAGACCATACTCGAGCATCACGGCCGGCCAATTCTAGTAGTCTCCGAGAAGGCTCTGCACGTGAACTATCAGAACCATCCGGACGTATTTATCTTCTCCATATTCGATGCAGACTGTGACCCAATGTCGAACCCTGGATGCCCAGAAATGATCGCGCACTATATGGATCAGTACTTGCTCCCGGTGGATTCTTCCTCGAAGTTGATGATGATATCTGGTGAAGCCATCGACACCCAAGCTTTGGATGATCGAGTCCCTTTGCTATCCTCAGTCTCCAGTGTTACACGAACGCAGCACGTGTACTTACCCGTGGTTAGTATTTCGTTCGCAGAGAGACTGCAGCATATTCCCCTGGATCTACTGACCCCAGCACCACCCGATCCCATCAGCCGCCGGTTCTGTGCGTACTTGTACGCGCGCTGTGAGAGGCCGCACCGGGAGCGCATGTTTGATCTATTGAACGCTTTGGAACCGGTCGATGCGCTGGGGATATGCGCAGGGTCATCAAGACCGCCGGATAAAGCGTATAAAGCATCTCGCTACTTCAAATGGTTCAACGATGAGGCCATCGCCTCGTACCAGCGCTACAAGTTCGTGGTCGCGTTCGAGAACTCGGCTGAGCCCGGGTACGTGACGGAAAAGCTCGCGAATCCTTTGCTGGCGGGTAGTATCCCCATTTACCTGGGCAACTCGACTACTGCTTCGGAGCTATTTAATCCTGACAGCTACATCGACTGTGGGCGCTTTGGCAAACTGGAAGAATGCGCCGAGTTTGTCGTTCGCGTCCACAACTCCCCAGAGCTGTATGCGAAAATGCGGAATGCACCTCCGATACGAAATATGACGGCGTTCACTGAAGCCTTCTCGTGGCACCCTTCAGTTCCAAGCCGGGGTTTAGCGGATAAAGTGGCTAAAATGCTTTTCCTAAATACTTCTAAGTAGAATTTGTAGGGGCAGGAGGAAATACCATCATGGTTCTATTGGTATTTCTTTGTTTACTGTTGACATAATTAAAGTATCGAGAAACGCGATTCCGCTAGGTAATTGAGAAACGAGGTGTCGTTAGTTAAATCAATAAAAAAGAAGCTGCGAGCCGGGTATTTGACTAGGTTGTTTTTTGGGAATTGGAGTCTCTGTGTAACGCTAACGCCCTAGCACCCTGACAACACTACAGTACTAACTTAGAACTATGTACTCCTCAATGTCGAAGGTACCACTTTGGACTGGTCACAGGAGGTGGACAAGACCAACCAGGTGGTATAAGGCCAAGATCACAACTCAAAGAGCCAACAAAGGGCGACGTATTATCCAGAGAGCAAGAAATAAGTGGATCGATGAACATTGCCGAATGGGCAAGGCGTTGAATGAGTTGAAATGGGAGTCGATACGTCATATTGTGGGGACTACAACACACGACCATCAGCTCCTCCATCGGCTCAAACTGCAGAGATGTAGTGTAGTGTGGAGCCATAAGCACAGCTTCCCACATTTTCTGGGCGTGTCCGGTGGCTCGAACAGCATGGGCTTGTTTTCGAGAAGGCTGGCTGCAGCTAAATGGAGGCCCAGACATTGGGTCGCTATCTGAAATCTTTACTTTGGAGCTTAAACTACCCCCGGAACAACTGCGAGCCCATGTTGAGCGCAATGCTAAGAAGGGAGGTCAGCTGCTGCAAGGTTCACTAGGGCTGGTGGCAGAAATTGCAAATAAATACTGGAGAGCAGGTGTGACGGCTACAATTGGAGCTATCTGGCGTTGTCGGCTGGATGCATTATACCCGAACGGTGAAACAGCAGCCGAGGGCGAGGCGGTAACGAGGGCCAAGCTTCGGCGCACCTACACGCAGGTCGCGTTAGATACGCCCCTCACACAAGAATCCTACGTGGAATGGCTAATCACAAAGTTGATATACGCCAGGCTGCTGAAAGAGGCAATGACGCCTACAATGGGCGGACCAGCAGTATCTTGCCAGGTAGTCGGCATGTTTCATGGTTGCACGGGCGGAATCCCAAGACGAAACGGAGCAGGCGGTGTCTTAATTCGCCAAGGCGGTCAAGATCAACACGGAGAAGTATTCTGGGGCACGAGCATTGCGATCCCATCTCCCAAATGCACGTTGAACACCGCGGCTTTCGGGGCGCTTTTTCATGTTCTCAGCGAGACAAACAGACAGAAGCAGAAACGGATTCACATTGCTGGAGACAATGCCCTGCTGATAAGGGCGCTGGCCGCCAGAACGCCCCCGAAGTCCACGCGGCTACGAATATGGTTTAACAAGTGCCGGCAGCTAGCAGACAAAGTCAGGGTAGCGTCATGGACCCTGCTGCCCAGAACCGCCAACGCAAGCTCCCGCAGCTTAGCACAGTTGGCGACCGAAACAGAACAAACGAGCATCTTACACAGTGAGGCTTTCAGTGCAAACTTCCATCGAATAGCGCAGCTGGTACGACGGGACTACGCGGAGTGGGCTATGGAAGTTTACAGCACCGAAGAGTAAGCTGTCGACTAGAGAGAGGGACAGCCGAAGGTAAAACATCGGCTATAGGGTTGTTAGGATTCAGACTAAGGTCAGTTATCCAATATACCTCATCATCATCATCATTATCAATGTATCATTAGCGAAGTTAATCGTATTTAATACATGTATGATGAATTTCAGCGTCCCCAATAACTGCATGTACTACCGGTAGTTCAATGCGTTCACACTTTATTATTTTGGTAAAAAAAAAAACGTTTAGGTCTTACATCATGCCGCAAACCATTCCTTTACCATGAAGCTTACAACTGGGCATTGTGATAGCTGTTGAATACCTAGCGGCGGATGAAGTTGTTCTCATCGCGAAGCCGCTTATTCTTCACCTTCTTCTTGTACCCGTCGCTTGGCGGGTTAATCTTCTTCTTGAGCGCCTCGGTCAACTTCGTCCACTTCTTGCCGAACGCCGACTTGAGGGTTTTCAATCCAGGAAGATAATACGCTTGTTCTTCGTTGTCGATGCTGCTCAGAACGCGGTTCGAATCAGCAGCTGCGTTCTTAATAATTACGGAGTCTTCGGCAGTCGCAAGGCTGGTGGAGGTTGCCACCAGGGTGACCACTGCCACAAGTAGGAAGGAACTCAGGTGCATGCTTGGTGAGTCTTGGCAGGGGTTCTTGAGTCTAGCCAGCCAAATCTGAAGTGACGGATTTGTAGCAAAGTGCTGGTTGTAGACTGCGACTCGTTGCACCGGATACACTGTAGTTGTCAGGAGTCCTGGGCGAGATGGGATCGCCATTTCTATCTGCGAGTGAACCCATCTTCACATCCCACTTGGTCTACACAAGAGGAACAAGACGGGGACACGGCTCCCCAACAATACGATATTTGCTTGCACTTTGACATAGAATGATGGGGTAGGAGGCTTTAAGGTATTTACGTGTTATTAATACTGTACCTTTCGAAAAGTGCATCGGCATGCCATCATATACAATAGTTCAGCATACCAAACAAGCGTTACATGTACAGGCTCTCCCATTGCGCGTTTGCGTTCGTTGTAACTTACAACTTGTAAGAAAGCAAATCACATTCTCCAGATTTTGCAGGACATCGATCTGGCTCACGAGCATAAGCGCAGGACGGAATGTCCTGTATTTTCCAAATCGAAACATCCCGGCGTCAAATCCTACACAAAATCTAGTACTTAAGTATTATTGGCACAAGCTTGGCAAAGTCAATCTTTAGTGCTTTTGCAGGACAACATGTCCTGCAAGATTTGCTGCATTGCGGATGCCGCACCCGCAATGCAGCAAACTTCCGAGCTAATGCGCCAAGCAGAATATAACACACACGTGGTGTCCGTTAGCGTAGCGTGCCCACCAGGAAGATACAGTATTCATGGCTCGCTCTGTAGACCAAGGAGCATTTTAGTCGTACCAGTTAAAGAAATCTAAGCTCAGCCATGCATTTCATACATTCTCAACACTTTTTTTTTAACTAAGTCAGCAGTAACGCCGAGTCGGACCAGTACGTATATGAACGCTGAAAGATGTACAAGCAATAGCTCTCCATTACCCATTGCTAATCGCAACATTTAATTGCGGGGGCACACGCTGTGTCGACGCTTGCCATGACTGTTGTATGTGTAGTGTCCCTGGATAGCGAAGAGCAATTGCAGCACCTTCCCTTAGGGTCTGACCCGCTGAAGCCGCCCACGTTTGAGCCTCCGCCGAACGCCCATACCAGAGCTGCTGTACCAGCTAGTTGTCGTGATCGTGATCGTCCTCAACGAAGTCGCCTACGACGCTACCGTAGCGAGCCCTCAGTCTTGATGGTTGCTGGTCTGCGCGCGTCATCTCCTGCCCGTCGAGATCCAGGCCGGCATGCCACCCGAGACCGAATCACCTGTACTCAAAGCCCTCGGCCACTTTGTTTCCTGATACGAGTAGGACGGAGTCATCGGCGTGGGTGGTGAGAATAGAATTAGACTTTTGTTGAGCGCCATATCGCTGACGATGTCCTTGTCGAAGAAGAACTGGTCGTATTAGCGTGCTTCAACGCCGACTCGGCAATAAATTACAACCACCTACGCCGGCCCAGTCTCGGCCAGCTTTTCTTGATGATGACGAGGTAAATTTATACTATTGTGCAGGTGGGGCAGCCTATGGCATGTTTGCTGTTGCGGTGAGGCCAAACACAGGCAAAACTGCGATGCTATGTTAATTTAATTCTGATTGGACAAAATACTACAATTTTGTGTGTCCTGGTAATGTCCTGTAAAATCCGTTCAAGAATCATTTTGGCTACGGGGCGTGTGACAAATTGCCAGATGGCACTTGACAGGTTCGCTGTCAAGGGGTTATCAAGATTTGCATTTATACTTGTAATTCCACGTTTTCAGGGGATAAAAGCTCCCATTTTAAGAGCCGCCGCTCATGTATTACATGTACTGCGTTTGTGCTGGTTTATTTCAGTCAGCTCTCTGCCTTGCCAAAATGTTTCATTATCACCAACGCGTAGCTCATTCGAGTTGATTCAACTTATAACTTGTATTTCAACTTTCCGATTAGTTTTTAAACTCATTCCAAAATTAATGAATGAGTAGAATTTGAGAGTGGAAAGTACGGCTGTCGAGATTATTAGCTACAACAAAAATCAAGAAGAAGAAGAACAATTTTTTACATTTTCACTTTACAATTTATATCACTACAATTTTACTTTTCCAGATGGAGCATGTTAGCCACTTTATCCGCTAAACCCCGGCTTGGAACTGAAGGGTGCCACGAGAAGGCTTCAGTGAACGCCGTCATATTTCGTATCGGAGGTGCATTCCGCATTTTCGCATACAGCTCTGGGGAGTTGTGGACGCGAACGACAAACTCGGCGCATTCTTCCAGTTTGCCAAAGCGCCCACAGTCGATGTAGCTGTCAGGATTAAATAGCTCCGAAGCAGTAGTCGAGTTGCCCAGGTAAATGGGGATACTACCCGCCAGCAAAGGATTCGCGAGCTTTTCCGTCACGTACCCGGGCTCAGCCACTACGATGCTGAAACAGACGGATCAAAGTCAAGACCTGCCCCAGTGGAATGATCTCGCGCAATGGGCTCGATGGCAGAAGATTTTTGACTCGGATCTCGATGAGATGCCTTCGAGCTCTCTGCTATCTGCTGAAGGTGGCGGCTTTCTTCTTGTTATTGGAGTCAAAACGGCAGTGCTGGAGGGCTTCGACCGTCGCCAAGCTATTCGCGAGACGTGGTCGAGTAAACCTGAACTTCCACGTGATGTAAAAGTGTATTTTGTCGGGTGTGCGTCGAACTTTGATGCCATTTCAAGTGATGAGAAGCGAAATCAGGTCCAGAGTGCGATCAACTATGAAAAGCAAGTGTATCGAGATCTACTTACGGATGAGCTTCTGTGCGAAGACTGGAACGGAAACCAAGTGAACAAAGTGAAGGCCTTTCTGGACTTCGCCGCGCAGACATACCGGCATACACCGTTCGTAGTGATAGCAGATGACACTATTTACCTACGAGCTGACCGACTAGCCAACGACTTGCGAATGGAAAATCGGACGCAGCGACTGTACCTAGGACAAGTGCTGGATAATCGCAGTCAACCTGGCGTGTTTCCGTCGGAACATCGCTACATTCCCTCGAAGCGCTACTCGCTCCACAACTATCCGTCATTCGCGTCCAGCTCACACTACGTACTGTCGATGGGATGCGCGCGCTTTATTGCAAAGAATAGTGCGCGGTTGCAAGGCTTGGATGGACAGGATGGCGTCAGCGTCGCACTTTGGCTTCTCACTATTCAGGTTCACGTGGAGCACACGAAGGCGTTTTCAGACCTCCAAGATGAAGATTGCGACAATGGGTTTCTGTCGCTTGCTGGCTTATCTTCATCGGGCATTCAGAAGATTCACGCGAATGTTGTTGAGCGACGTCCATTCTGCTACGGTCTCAACCGAGATTTATTTCTGAATATTGGCGCCAATGCTGACCGATCGAGTCAACTAGCGGTGAATTTGCTGGAAATTGAGTCATTTGTTCACGACCTCAATGCGTCCGAGTACCTGTTCGTCACAAGCCTCATCTCGACGCGTGATAACGCTGGCGTCAAGGTTTCGTATTACCCCTCGGCGGAGACGTTTGCCTCGTACTCCCGGCGAGCATGTGATGAGACGCGTCGATTCTTACTCGATACAGAAATCAAAGCGTGGATGTGCCCTGCCATCGCCCAGAAACTCCGGGCCCGAGTCCAGCAAGAGTTCGAGATTGCCAAGACCTCACTGACGATCAACCCCGCGTTTCTCGAGTTGTGGCGGCACAATTTGTTCGTTGCAAGTGCGGACAACCCCTTCATTATCGGGTACACGCCAGAATCCTCGTACGCGTCGATTGTTTTCGAGTGCATATTCAAGACCATACTCGAGCATCACGGCCGGCCAATTCTAGTAGTCTCCGAGAAGGCTCTGCACGTGAACTATAAGAACCATCCGGACGTATTTATCTTCTCCATATTCGATGCAGACTGTGACCCAATGTCGAACCCTGGATGCCCAGAAATGATCGCGCACTATATGGATCAGTACTTGCTCCCGGTGGATTCTTCCTCGAAGTTGATGATGATATCTGGTGAAGCCATCGACACCCAAGCTTTGGATGATCGAGTCCCTTTGCTATCCTCAGTCTCCAGTGTTACACGAACGCAGCACGTGTACTTACCCGTGGTTAGTATTTCGTTCGCAGAGAGACTGCAGCATATTCCCCTGGATCTACTGACCCCAGCACCACCCGATCCCATCAGCCGCCGGTTCTGTGCGTACTTGTACGCGCGCTGTGAGAGGCCGCACCGGGAGCGCATGTTTGATCTATTGAACGCTTTGGAACCGGTCGATGCGCTGGGGATATGCGCAGGGTCGTCAAGACCGCCGGATAAAGCGTATAAAGCATCTCGCTACTTCAAATGGTTCAACGATGAGGCCATCGCCTCGTACCAGCGCTACAAGTTCCTCCTTGAATGTTTGTCGCTTACAATCGTCAGTGTCAGCTCTGGCGTTTCAAGGTACCGAAAAGTGCCTTCTCCATCCGTAATGTAAGCTCGCGCTCGGTATTTCCCTTCCCTGGCAGATCATCAAACACAGCAACAAGGTCAGTCAATGGACTGCACTCCTTCCACTTGGCGTTGAGCTCCAGACACAGGAACTTGTCTCCATACTGCTAGTGAAAGTTACTGACGCTTGTCACGTCGATTTCAACGCGAAAACTGAGCGGAAGCCTTTCCTCCGTTTCCTGAATTTCGACAACTCCATCGGGATTGAGGTCGACTTCCCGTTTCTGATCACCGATAGCACCTAGGTGGTGAGACTGCAGTAGCACGCCAACTCCATTGCAGCCAGCACGCGATGAGGACTCGACACGTTTTATAGCACGCGGCGAGCGGTTCGGGAAGATGCCCAACCCGAGGTTGGAGTCCACCGACGCGTAGGACATTTGGTCCAGCACCATCCCGGCGCTCTGTAAGGTGATGAATTTGTCCGCAAATGACTTTAATGTGGAATCTTCTTCCTTCAATTGTTGCAAAATTCCTTCGGACAAACCCCACGCCGTGATGCGGATCTCAGTGGGGAGACTGAGGTACCGACGAGCAAACTCGAAGCTCAAGACGCCCACAGCTGACGTCCAGGAAGTGGAACGCGGTCTTGGGACTCTTGGCTTCGTTCTGCCGGAGCTTGTGAAGGGTCTCGCCGTGCGCAACCTCCAGCGAGTCCGCGGCCCAACGGGCGGTCAATGACGCGAAGCTGGAGCTTACGACTTGGCGAGCGCAGACCACTTGGCGTTCGTGAGGGTTTTCTCAATGGAGAACGGAAGGGGTCGGTGATGTCGGTGCTAAGCTTGGTTGGGTTTAAGTTGCAAAGCGAGCTGGAGACGAAGATGCGCTGAGAATTTGTGGTGTAAGGTTGATGAGCTTGCTTAAAAGCTTCTAGGGGTGGTAATCGAACTCCCGTCGCGACGAAAGAGCGCTTGGGTGAAATCCTGGCGCTACGGAGCGTAACGGATATCTATTCTGCACCAAGAGGACATAGTGAAGGCGCTGGGCAAAGTCACCATAATTTCGGACGAGTATTTTCAGCTGTGCTTGAATCCTCATGGCCCCAGATAATCGTGAGAACATTGTCAAGTTGCTTTACACCAATAAACCAACAAACTACCTGGTTTCGTGACGTGCCTGTCCAGCTCAATGTTCCAAGAGCCAGCTCCAACATCGAAATTCACAGCCGCCGTATTGGTGCCGGATTATTATCGCAACTGACCGCAAATACATCAACATTTTCCAAACTGACCCTAAAGGCTGGCGACTGCCTCTGGTTTTTGAGCTCGGGAGATCCCCTTCCTCTCTGTCGGTGTAAGTACGAGATTGGCAACACCCATCCATGACACTACATGAATGCACTGCACCAAGCAACACCACAAAATCGGGAGCACAATATTTTTTTTCTATTCCTTCCCACTCGAGGTTTATCCACATAGATTCTACTCGACCTTTGTGCTTTTCGCATGCAGAAAGTGACACCGATTCGCACCACTGCCGCGCGTGCGGCGAGATCATCTGCCGCGGCTGCTCCGTCTACAAGAGCGTGGATTGGCAGTCCGTGGGGCTCACTACGCTGCGCGTGTGCAAGGCCTGCATGGACAGCACGTCGGCCTCTGTGGCGGACAAGGAGAAGGAGGAGGCCAACCTCAAGGCCGCGGCGGCGGTGGCTGCTGCGGCCAACGGAGTCAAACCGGACGGCGTGGCGCTGCCTGAGGGCGTGGACAACAGCGTCCTCAGAGATGCAGTGGAGGAGTACGCGCTGGCGCTGCCCGGCGCCCAAGTGTCGACTGTGCCCGACCTCGTGGGCATCGCCTGGTTGCAGCAGCTCGCAGCGAGAGATCAGGAGAGCAAGGATATGGTCAACGCTCTAATGGAGCGGCTACACATCGACGCCCAGTAGAAGGACACGAGCACGATGGAGGAGCAGGTGGACATCTACGACACACTGTGCGACCTGGCCGCGCAGACGCTGACCTGCAAGTACGCCGTTGTAAGTCTGGTGGACGAGAACCGCCAGTGGTTCAAGAGCGCCGTCAATGTCAAGGAGTCGGAGGTGCCGCGCGACTTCAGCTTCTGCGAGTACCCGGTGCGCGACCAGCGGCCGCTCGTGGTCATGGACACGCTGCGCGATCCGCGCTTCAGGACAAACCCGTTCGTCACCGGCCCGCTCGGTGTGCGCTTCTTGGCCGGCGCGCCGCTCTTCACGGTGGACAACGAGTGCGTCGGAGCCGTGTGCGTGCTGGACACGGCGCCACGCGAGTCGCTGCAGGAGTCGTGGAGGTGCACGTGCCAGTGGCCATATCCCAGAGGTGCCGTCGCAAGGCAACTAGTTAATGCCGTGTTTGAGCTTCAGTGCCTGCAATCTGAGCCAATTATCGTGGTCGCCTGCATCCTTCAGAGCTTTTTCGATTTTTGCGATATGCTTCTTAGCCTTGGCTGGATTGAACTTCGCGAACAACTCCTTCATGGAAAACCCTCTCTCTTCGTCGATGTCGTCTTCGTCCTTCTCGACACGACGAAGCATCCGTCCGCCATTCGCGTCGATTAAGTCGGTGGCAGCAGGCGACTCTTGGTAACAGCGCTGCGATCCATGGGCGAAGAGAGCGAGGCAGCACTGGCATGAAACGTGGCCGCAATGATCAGCGCGTAAATGAGAGTGGGGCGCATTGTAGGTCCTTGGGCACTAGTTTATAGGCGAGTGCGCTTGTAGCTTGTGGGATGCCGAGAAAATGACGGAATGAAGTGCAGAGTGAACTGCGCCTCCACAGAGCGCTCGCTGTTGCAACGATGAGCAGCACTAGAACTACAGACAACGACTTACAAAGCCGGCATGCTTAATGCCGATAAATTCCCTCCCGTCAAATCTGTAAAACTGTCATAAAACACACGGCGTGTTGCATAAAGTACACAAGAAAGCATATAAAGTACACAAAACCGGATGGTATACAAAGATGAAGTCATTTGATTGAATCTGATTGGCTGGTTTGCTTATGTTAAGCTTTGCTTGACTTCGTCTGCCGGCTTTTTGTGTCTGCCGGCTTTGTAAGTCGTTGTCTGTACAACAAGAGAACGAGACGCCTGATGTAAACGGGTATAAGAGGTATTTTTTTTTGAAGATGCAACTGAATGTGTTTGGCATTAATTTTAATAATGTATAGAGCATTGGGTACTAGAGTGATATAATTTACTTTACCACTTTATCCTTTTGCAATCCACAGCGGTTTGATGCCAAAGTTACCACTTCTGTGTCAACGTCACAATAGCCCCTACCCCTTACTAAAGTAAATTTAATGAGAGAGCCGTTACTGAGCTGTTTGCTGCTTGTCATTTTCAAGGGGTAGGCTCAAAACGGAATATTCCAGCGTGGAGCTACTACAACAACTCATGGCTAGTACTAAGTAGTTTTTTTTAATTAGGGCCTAGGTGCAATCCTTGGTAGGGTAGCAATGTGATTTCCACACCATCCACTTCTTGTTAGCCTCTCAAGTTCTATAAAAACATTATAAAAATACCAAGAATGTGATCAAAAATTATGTCGCGATGGAGTATGCGTGTAACTGTAACTTGATACTACTGTACATGTACGTCAATTTAAAAAAAATCACGAAGGAGCCGCGTATTAGTGATCGTCGAGCGTAGATTCTGTTAGTGACGGTGTCACGTTGATTACGCAGTACCGTGGTATCATCGAGATAGGCACCTTTGCTGTCGCACAGGAACCACCGACGTCGACGAGCGCCACTGTACCAACAGTGTCAGATATTTTCGTACGTAGTGGTCGCCGACGCCGGTTTTAGATTCTGTTGGTTACAGTGCCACGTTGATTACGCACAAAGCACATGCAATAACTATTATAGAGGATGCTGTGGTCTGGCGCGATCCAGACCACTCCATCCGTAGTCTTTCGCATCGCATCATTGCATTATTCTTCGATAGTGTAGCGCCTAGGCAATTGTAAATTACAATGCCGCCCGATAAAGCGGCATGACAGCTCTGTGATATACAGACGTTTCATACCGCATGGTACAGATCTCCGCGGTGGAGAAGCTGCTAAGATGCATTAGCGTGTAGCGAGGCATAGCTATATTTATTATGGTTTGAAGAAACCTATAAATCGCTTGCTATTGTTCCAGTTCCGTAGCATCGGGAGCAACTAAGATCGGCATGAAACAGAGAAGAACCACTAGCCAGTAAAGTGGAGATAACATGCAATTGTGAAGAGACTTTGATCCGTTTGTTTCAGCATCGCGGCGTTGTATTCCTCGAATTTTTCGTCGCTTACTTAAGTACAATCGTTTCATGGTACCCTCTCCATCCGTGATAACAGCCCGGGCTCCGTATATACATTTCTCTACAGGCAGATCCTCAAACACAGCAGCAGGACGAGGCAAGGGACTGCAACTCTTCCACTTGGCGTTCAGCTCCACACAAGCTAAACCTGGTTGTTGGGGTAAAGACCGCTGTATTGACCAACTTTGCGCAGCGCCAAGCCATACGCGATACATGGGCTAGCAAGACCGATTTACCTTCTAATGGGAAGGTGTTTTTCCTCGGGTGTACTCCGGTGTATGTCGGCTAATGGCATTCACCGGCACTTGCCAGTCTGCGCGTTCGATCCTGCCAAAACGATTTTCTGTCCTATCATAGGACAGAAAAAAATGCGGCGATAAATCTGCATAGGACTCCTATGCAGATTTATCGCCGCTCGATATTCGCTCCGCCTACGAGAATCTACAGGAGACCATTGATGTAGCCAAGTCTATGAACGTAGCCAACTCTTTGAATGTAGCCAAGTCTACCCCATCTGATTCCATCTGATAAAAGTATCTTTATTATCGAATTGGCGGAGGGTCATGCGTGTCATAGCAAGCTTGCCGTGCTACCTGTGCGCTCTTCATGCTGTCGCTAGGGCCGGTTCCGGTTCGATTGCGAGCCATGCCGCTGCGCCTCTATCGCCAGGCGACAGTACCGAGCTTCGGGACGATCCGATCACCAGTTTTCGACTCATGTATCCAGCGGTTGGAGCAGTGGAGACGAACCCCGTTGAGTTCCGAGCAGAGATCGGCATCAAGTCCATCGAGGAGTACAAAACCCACTATGGAGACCGAGTGATGTGTGTCGAGCTCAGTGGGCAGTCCAAGAGCAAGAAGTGCACTCCGATGTTGAACCCCAGTATCATCTTTGACGGGCTGGACGTTGGGAACTACACGGCGCGAGCATTCATCGCGGAAGACGAGGATGGCGTTCATTGGTACCATCAGACGCCAGAGACAGGATTTTCGGTTGTGAGCAAGGATGAACTAGCAGCACACAAGGCCGCGACGCAGGAAGTACTGGGGAGGGATGCGAAGTTGCCGAGTTTATTGGAGTGGGCGAGACAGCAGCGACAACGTTGGGAGGAACGTGCAGTTGGAGGGAATGGCGAGACTGCAGGGCGTCATATTGTGGATACTTCGGTGAGCAATGGTAGCGATGTTTTCTTGTTGATTGGAGTGAAGACGGCTGTGGTGGAGAACTTTGCGTTCCGACAAGCGATTCGAGAGACTTGGGCGAGTGAAAATGCGCTGCCAGGCGACGCCAAAGTGTTGTTTATCGGGTGCAACCCAAAATTTGACGAAGTTCCAAGTGAAGTTGAGCGAGAAGAGATTAAAACTGCGATAAATCTGGAGAAGCGAACGTACGGCGACCTGCTTACGGAGGAGTTGACCTGCGAAGACTCGTACGACGATCTCGCGGACAAGGTGAAGCAGTTCCTACGCTTCAGTGCTCTAGATTTTCCGCTGACGCCGTTCGTGATGATTGCGGACGATGATATTTACCTCCGAGTGGACCGACTTGCCGGTGATTTACGCAAGGAAGACCACTCTCAGCACCTATACATCGGGCAAGTGTGGGATAAACTTCTCGGCCGCAGTCAAGAGCCTGTGCGCGGTTCAACCGAGCGATATTTCATCCCTGAAGATATCTACCCGTTGCACTCTTATCCTCCATTTGCATTCGGTCCACACTACGTGCTTTCCATGGCCTGCGTGCGCTTTATCGCCAAGAACCACGAGAGATTGCGCGGCTTGGACCCCATTGACGATGTTAGTGTGGCGTTATGGTTGCTCACGCTGCAAGTTCATGCTGAGCACACGCCGGCATTTTCAAGTCTTGGGATCGGAGTGTGTATGGGCGGCCTCATTTCCCTTGCGAACCTGTCACCGTACGGAATCCGATCAATCCACGCGAACATAATTGCAAGGCGTGATCTGTGTGACGGGTTTGATCGCATAACATGGCAGAAAGGTGGAGGGAGCCTTCACGAAACTATGGAGACCTCCACTTGGGACATCCAGATCGAAGTGAACGATCTTTATACGTCCAAGTTTCTTGAAGTCACGAGCACCATCTCATTGCCTGGTAAAACGAGTATCAGCGTCGGTTATTTTCCATCAGCTGAATCTCTCGCCATGTATACACGAAGTGTATGCTCGCGGATCCGCGCACATACACCGGAGACGGACTCGCAACCATTGATATGCCCTTCTCTCGATGACTTACAAGCACAACTTCAGCAAAAGTTCCGACGTCTTGAGGCATCGCGGGCGATTAATCGCGCGTTTATGGAGTTGTGGAGGTACAGTCTCTTCGATTCCGACCCAGAGCTGCCACCATTCATTATCGCCTACTCCGACAATGCTGTGTTCTCATCTATTGTGCTCGAGTGTCTATTCGTCATTATTCACGAGCCCCAGAAGCGCCCCATTTTAGTCATGCCCGAGTCGACTTTGCACGAATATTACGGAGGTACGCCGGACGTCTACGTTTTCTCCATCCTCGATGGCGACTGTGACCCTGTGGCTAGACCAGCGTGCCAGGAGGGGATCGCACAGCATTTTCGTAACTACGGACAAGGACCAAAGCCTGCGACGATTATGATGGTTGCAGGAGAGCCCATCAGCACCCAAGGCCTCGATGAACGCGTGATTTTACTGTCTACAGTATCAGTGGTGGACCATGAGCGCCATGTCTACTTCAGTGTTGCAAGCAACTCGTTTGCCGAGCGTTTGGATCACTCACCCACAGCGTTACTCTCGCCTTCACCAGCCTACATGGAGCAGGAAGCGGTGGATAGTCGACGGTTTTGTGCTTATCTGTACGCGCGCTGCGATCGTCCCCAGCGGGAATACATGTTCGACGTCTTGAACGCGATGGAGCCTGTGGATGCTCTGGGGATCTGCGCTGGGTCTTCGCGATTGCCTGATGCCTCGTACGGTGCGTCTCGCTACTCAGACTGGTACAACGATGACGCTGTCACCACGTTTCAGCGCTACAAATTCGTTATTGCGTTCGAGAATTCGGGCGTTCCTGGATATGTGACGGAGAAACTCGTCAACCCGTTTCTTGCGGGCAGTATCCCGATCTATCTAGGCAACTCGACGACTGTCTCGGAGCTATTTAACCCCAACAGCTTTATCGACTGTGGCCGCTTTGAGAGGCTTCGTGACTGCGCTGATTACGTCGTGAAAGTTCACAGATCGCCGGAGCTGTACGATCAAATGCAACGTGAACCTCCGATTCGAGATGTAGAGGCATTCAATGAGGCGTTTTCGTGGCATCCGTCGGTTCCAAGTCGCGATTTGGCCGACAAAGTAGCGAAGTTGATGCAAATAACGTAATGATGATACGAATTCTCTTCGAAGTAAAAGGTGTTGGAATTATCTTAAACGAGTTTGAACCAGTTTGAAGTTCAAACTTTGAACCCTCCGCAGCCCCTCTGTAGTTACAACTTCGAGCGCATAATGGGGGAGGCAATGCCGCACCTCGGCCACTTGACCTCTTGGCGCTTGCAGCAGCGCTTAAGGGTGATAGGAGAGCAATGAAGGCGACGAGCTGCTTCAGATATCTTGAGATGATAAAATTGCTGCATGTCTTCCGGGCGAAAGTCGTATTTCAAGCCTCCCAAACGGTCCTCCGGGCGAACTTTGAAGTTCTCGGCAACGTTGAGTGTCGTAGCCGCGCATCTTGGTAGAGTGAACGGAGGGCTTGACCTGGATAGGGCGAATCGGAGAATGAAGTCCTTTACTCGCAGCAAACAGATCGATCCTTGTTGTATGTAGTACCTTGAAACTCATAGAAGATGGGGATGTTTAAGCAAATTGATGATACTGTGGACTCACAAATTATCACGCACGACCACTTATCCTACAGTGCAAGAGTCTACAGTATCTATCAGGCAGCCTTGATACCGTCGTTCCCAGTGACGATGGCTTTCAGAGCAGTAGCGAGCTGATCCGATGCGGTGGCCGCGTTGTCGCAGTCTCCAATACGGTGCAGCCCAACAACCACATTGTCTCCACGAGAAATCACGGGCGATCCGGAGCTTCCTTCCTCCGTGTCGGCGGAGTACGCGAGGAGATGCTCATAGGTGACACCTTCCACTGCAACTGAGTAGTCGAGGTTGAGGATGGTCGCGGCTTTCGTATCGGCGTCGTTGTCGGTCTTCGCGATCTTCTTGGCGCCGCCCTTGGGGTGTTGCGGGATGTAAATGTGTTCGTCTTTGGTAGGAGCAGTGCTGCGAACCTGTAGAAACCCGTAAGTACTCACATAGGACGCAGCGTCGCTCGTGATCTGCAACACGGAGTAGTCGAGCGTCTTGTCCGACTTGATGAACTTGATGTTGGCCTTACCAACCAGAGTCTTGCCGACGGGGCAGGTCGCAAAGGTGCCGTCGTCACTACATCCAGCAGTCTGCACGTCGAACTCGAACTTGGCCGCGTCCACCATCTCCTGACTCGAGAAGCAGTGGTTGTTCGAGATGATGTGGCCTTGGTTGCCCCAGAGCCACGCAGTGCACGTGACGATGGCCTTATCTTCCCGAGTGCGCTGAGTCCGCATCACCGCCCTCGATTTGACGACCATGGCCTTGTCCTCGGCACTGCCCGACGAAAAACACACCACGTTCTTCATCGTATCCACCGCCCCGCAGATTTCCCGCTCTTCATTCTCCGCCTGCGTGTCATCGGGGTACGAGTACCCGACTGAGTCCAACTTCATCGTCGAAGTGCTGCTGGTTGGGCATCCTTTTGAGGGAGGTACGTACTGTATCACCACACCCGTGCCGGAAATGGGTGTAGTGGTAACATCCGATGAGAGCGACCTGACCGTAATGGCCTTCGACCCGTTCACTGAAGCGACGACCAGGTGAGCACCGGTAGTCAGATTGACTGAGGAGAAGTGGAGCCACACCGCGCTTGCCGTGTCCTGCGTGATGGTCCACTGCTGGTGCTCGCACGGAGATCTGATTGTGTAGCTCGAGGTGTTGACTTGTTTCCAGGCCCCAGTTGCGAAGCCACCGTCTGATGATGAACTAGCCGCCTCTACACAGTACGTGTATTGTGAAGCAGCGAACGCAGCAGCAGCGAGGAAAGCGACTCGTGTGAGCATTGTGTGCCCGACAAAGTTGGTTTTGCGGCAGCCGATGGAACGTGAAATGAACCAAATTGGAGCCCGACTCGCCTCGCCCATTTGTAAGAGCCACCTGCCCATACAGCCGTCGACGAATTCCACGCTCAGGCGAAGTGTTCGCTGCGCCGACAGCGATAAACTCCTGTTTTGCTGGTCGCCACTTCAAAAACCTCTATAATTGGAAGATTAGTCATGTTGTTCGAATGTATCCCCTTTATTCTCATACTTAGACCATCTTATAAATATATATGTTGTCCTGTTGTGCTGGAATGACTGCTACAAAACAGCCTGACAAGTTGTTTTTCGCGAAAGACCACTTGCAGCTGGTGGGCAGCTCTATGGCTGACAGACTTGGCTTCTACTGCTTCCACTTGGGTGCCTTTGCATGAATCCAGCTGCAGGTTTGCACACCAAAATATAATCGCGAGGGGAAACAAGTTGTGGCTCGAGTTGAACGCGTCGTTGATTTGATTGATGATAGCAGAGCTGCCTTCACGCTCCATGAGCTGGACGTGTCAGTTAATGCGCCGCTGCATGAACTGTAGCTCATTAAGCTCGACCTTGAGCCAAGAGGCCTGTTTTCTCAAAGTCAACCTCGGAACCAGCTCACAGCGTCAGCACCAGCAGCGAATGGCAGAAGAAGAACACGATACAGCAAACACCGAGAAGAATCGCGATCTTGTAATCTGCAGGGCATTTGATCAATACGATGTGTGAGAACAACAGCCTTTTCAGCACCCGCTTCATTGCATTTGTGAACGCACCCAGCAACTCGTCGACGCCGGCGTTGCCAGTCTGCCAGCTAACCTGAAGCTCCGCCGAGATGGCGACCAAAAAGGCGACAATGCCCGACAGAAGGCACAGCAAGCCGTTCCAGAAGAAGCGGTTCGTCACGGAGCTGTGTGCTGCAAATAGCCACGTGACCACAGTGCTCGCCACCAACGCAGCAATTGTCGCCAGACCATCAGACGAGTCGAAGCTGAGAGACGCGAGATCCTGTTAAAAGGCAACAACAGCGTTAAGTGAGCACCCTTGCAGCACCAGTCGCGTACAGATGCGTTCATTGCAGGGAGAAAACTTACGCTGAAGCCTGTCAACGGGCCGTCCAGGAGCATCGCGGTCTTTGCATGAATAAATAGCAAAAGAATAAATAGCAGCGTTGTAGCCATCCAGAGGTTCAGCCCGAGGCCGACCGTAGCGCCGACCACACTCTTCACGCCGCCCACGACAATCTCAAATCCTGACTTGACGATGCCACCTTCCAGAGGGACTTCATGACGTAGCAGGCTCTTGTCGGCGCCACCGCTCACCAGGTGAAAGACGGGGGCCTGCTTATCCGCCGGCGGCGCAAAGCTCATGCCCGTGATAGCAAACGTGTGCTGCTCCGTCGACGTCTTCTTGTACTGCTGCAGCGTGGACGTCAGGAACACCTTGATCTCTCCCGTCACAGCAGCCGTGCAGACGAAGCGGTCGTCCTGGCTCACACAGAGACTCGCCACGGGTTTGTCCCCAGCAATGGTTGTTTCCTCCACCACCCAGTTCCACTGATCCTCGTTCTCCTGTGCGATGGTCTCAGGCTTCCACTTAATCAGAATCGAGTCGCCGCGCGCCGGGGTCAGCACCGTGTACAGTCTCCTGCCACTGTTGGAGAAGCGCACGCAGCGGAACAGGTGCTTCCTGGGGCCCACGACGGGCTTCGTGGGCAGTCGCTGGATGGCGATGTCCAGCGCGTCGTCCTTGGAGAACTTGCAGATAGGCGTCACCTCCGTGAGTCTCCACAGATGACACGACTGGTCTTCGGAGCTGGAGGCCACCAAGTTGCGGTGCGACAGGTCCACGTCAATGTCCCGGATCCTCTTGGTGTGGCCCCTGTACTCCCTCGTGAGCGTGACCATGTTGACCCCATTGATGACGCAGTCCCCGAGCTTGGGCTGCTCCTCCGTCACCACCTTCTGATGCGGGTCCCTCTCGTCGGGCACCTTCAGCGCCTTGGCCGTGCCCGCCTTCTTCTCGGGCTTGGACGGGTCGCGGCTCAGGCGCCAGACGCGCACCACGCCGTCCTCGCCGCCCGTGAGGATCGTCGAGTTGCCCACGAAGCGCGCGCACGTCTGCGAGCTCTCGTCCTCGTGGAAGTCCGTGCGGAACTTGACCAGCAGCGCCATGCTCTTGGCCTTGAGGTCCAGCGCGTAGACCCAGCAGCCGGCGCTCACGGACACGGCGATGAGCTGGCCGTCGTGCGAGAAGGCCACGCCCGAGGCCAGCTCCAGGCCCGTATCGGCCGTGATCTCCTTCCTGAAGCCCGTCGGGTCCGCGTCCGAGAGTTGGTAGATGTCCTGGAGAGGTACATAGGTAGAATAAAACAAATATTATAACTTAGAGAGAGATTATCACTGACTGGAGGATTGAAGGGGGACTGAGACACGTACGACGGTGTTCTTGATGCCGGACTTGAGCGAGCCGCCGCCACCGCAGATCGCGAAGAACCCGCGGGCGTACGAGAGCCCCATGATCGGGTACTTGACCTTCATCTTCGCTGCTAGTGTGACGGGAAGGGTGCTCTGCTTTAAGCTCGGGTGTCCTCGGTGAGCTTTTTTTTTGGCTTCTGCCACGCGGCATCTTTTTTCGTCACTGAAGAGAGGTAAAGTAGTGACAAGGCCTACTGATTTAGAGATAATCGGCTTGTAGATGCTGAGCTTTGACCCCTATTGGGGTAGTCAACGCTGCATACCTTAGTAGAAACACTCTCAGCGTTACAGTACACGTAGCAACAACTCTTCAACACAATCGGATAATGATCTTGTATTCGTTTCGTGCAAGTAAAGTATAGCGCAGTATTTAGTTAACGGTGTGCCTTCCGAAAGAACTTCGTCACAGCCGCCACAGTTGACCAGCGGGACTTGGCCTTCTTGAGCGCCTTCAACCTCACCGCGCGATCCGCCAACCTCTTCGCCTCGTCCTCAGCCTTTCGTTTGGCAATTAAGTGGTATCGATAGGTCATGTATTTCTTGTGTTCGTCGGTCATCGTTAACTTGAGCACAGCCTTCTGTCCTTCGTTGATGGCTTTCTCCATTGGTTCTGTAATCCCCAGACGTTTAGCGTAGTCGACTTCGTTCACTCCTTCCAGCATCAATTTCTGCATTTCGGCTATAGTCAGGGCCGGTTCAAAGGCCCTTTCTTCGGAGACGCCTGCAGTGGCGCGGTGGGATCTCAGAAGCCGCGGGGTTGGACCGTTTGCCACAGCCACTTTCGAGAGCGTTGCTTGGTGGTCCGCTGTGGTCGTGAGCGCCTCACTGGTAAGCAGGCAGGTAGCCACGACCACCACCAAGAGCTGGGAGACGCGCATTGACGTTCGATGGGGCGGTGGGCTTTAGAGGCTGGTGAGTGAAAATCCTGAAGTGCGTCTTACATTCGTTGAGGAGAACCATTCGATGCAGGAAGCTACGAGGGCGTCATCAAGTCGCATCCCATGCATTTCCTTGTGCCATTGTGGAGGTGCGACGCACTCGTACACAAGATACAGTAAGAGAGCGTCACAGGATTGCTGGGTATACATTTCACAATATGAAAACAAACATGCAGCACATTCGGAAAACATGTTGTTTCAAGGAAGCTTGAAAACGGAAAATGTAACTTTTATAGGCTCCTCGAACGCTTTTGAAGTATACATTTCACCTCAAGATTTGTGAAAAACCACATGGTCGAGGTAGATTACGCCATTGTGTATGCCCCAGCAGGATGGCGAACACAGTGGATTTGTCCAGCAAATTGCTGGCAGCAACACCATGTTGACAACAAGGTCTGCACCAGATATTAATTAACGGGGACCAACTTGCTGGTTTATACCAGGAGAAAACCTCATATCTAAAACAACCAACCGCAATTATAAACCAAACACATGAGATTTGAACTGTAGCGATTGGGTTGCAATAGGGTGCCTGCTGTTTGCCCATAGCATACGTAACGCTGCAGCGCCTTACAGTGCGCGCCAAAATGATAGGACCGCCTTGAAAAGTTCTCATAACTCGGTCAATATTGATTATTTTAAGGTGCGGTTTCGAGGCTAGTTATAAAACACGCTGGGAAAGATCAGGTATGCGCTAACACTCGCGTTTTTGCACTCTATGCGATAGCTCACATACAAAAAACTGTTTCTGCCAAGTCGACACAAATTAGGACCACCCCCATCCCAATACAAAAGCCTATATAGAGGAAAAGCCTGTACAAAGCGATATGACTGGGGATTTGTATCGCGACAACTTCCACCGGCCTCTGGAACGCACCCCTTCATGCAAAAGCCAACACCAAGGGGATATCCGATAAGCTGTTTAATAAATACGTCTTAGTTCAAGCGAAAGCGCGGGGCTTAGACGTAGTTTTAAATGGACGAGCCGCTATCTAGAGAGTCACTCACACACCGGTCCTTATATAGCAAATCATAGGGATTCTGCAGACGTACTGCAGAGACTGACATCCATGCTTAGTTCTCGCTCGATATGGCTAAAGCAGCGGAGCCATGGCCACACATTGTAGCTAACACTGCATACTACGTAAGGATAGTCATAGGATTGGCTCGCGCCATCTCTGTGTGAACGCACTGGCCGGTGGAAGTTGTCGCGATACAAATCCCCAGTCATATCGCTTTGTACAGGCTTTTCTTTATATAGGCTTTTGTATTGGGATGGGGGTGGTCCTAATTTGTGTCGACTTGGCAGAAACAGTTTTTTGTATGTGAGCTATCGCATAGAGTGCAAAAACGCGAGTGTTAGCGCATACCTGATCTTTCCCAGCGTGATTTGTAACTAGCCTCGAAACCGCACCTTAAAATAATCAATATTGACCGAGTTATGAGAACTTTTCAAGGCGGTCCTATCATTTTGGCGCGCACTGTAGCCATTCCACACATGCATATGGCAAGCATCGTATGAACATCAGCACATGTTTTGCTCGGTAGCAATGCAATACTGTACAGGCCAATTTACCTCGCGCACTCTGCGGCGCACGTTGGCTCGCTGCTCTCGCTGGACGCGTTCGGCGTCAACGCGTGCTCCGTGTCGCCCGTTGGCTCGAACATTTTGCTGAACGCGTTCGGGGGGGGGGTCTAAGGAGGGCCATTCCCAAGCAAGGCCATTTTCAAAAAAAATGGGCATGTTTTCATGTTGAAGGGGGGGGGGAAGGACACTCGCGCGCTGGCTCTCATCTTCGGACTTCGACACGGGGGGGGCGCCCGTCTCTCGCTTCGCTCGGGGGGCACCGCTACGCGGGAAAACGTCAAAAGGTGTATGAATTTGAAACGTTTTGTCAAAAAGCGATTAACATGTGTCAATAGGTGTATGTTGGGGTTATCAGTATCGACAGTAAGTGTATGAAAGGTAACACGTGTCACAACGTGTATGAAAGCTCACACGCCAAAGTCACAACATGTATGCCAAAGCAAATGAATCGCTAGGACTCCGATGAAAACGGGTTCAGGCTCAAACCCGGCAAAACCCGGAGTTCTGTGGGCTTCTGCATGTCTTACTGAGTCCGATTCACGGCTTTTAAGCCGTCATTAGCGGATATTCCGACTGAGGGACAGCAATGAGTGTCGACGCAGATGACATCAGCGACGACGGCGAATCAAGTGATGTCGAGACTCTAAGCATCGGGATGACATTCGAATCGGGCACAGATGCGCTACATGCCGTTCAAGACTATGCGCTTGCTCACGGGAAGGCGGTCAAGGTCAAGCAACGCAGCGGAATGCATCGGTTGATTGGCTGTACTGCGGAAGGCTGTACGTTTTGGGTTAAAGTCTACCGGAAGCGGCGGGCTGATAAGACGTACGGGCCGTGGTACATATCGTCCATGAACACGAAGCATGTAAACTGTGTGTCCAGCGCCAACCCAACCAGGCGCCAGATTGCCGAGCTCCCAACTTTCGAAAGCGCGGTTAGAGCTGACTACACCATCTCAGCACCAGCGTTGGCAGAGCAGGTTCAGCACAGAGACGGCATTTCTCTTCAGAAAAAACGAAGAACTCTCTACCGAGCCCCCGAAGCTGTTCATGAACTTAAGTCGAAGGATCTTGCTCGATCGTACGAGAAAATACCCAGCTACCTGGGGCAATTTGCTGCACTGAATCCCGGAAGCGTCGCCGTGGCCGAACGAGACCAGCAAGGCCATTTCAAGCGAGCAATCATTGTTGTGAAGGTATTCGCCGACGCTGTTTTCGCACGCCAAACCGTTCTTGGCGTCGACTGTAGCCACTCCAAGTGCCCAGCATACGGCGGTATGCAAATGCACCTGGTTGGACGTGATGGGAACCTTCGGAACTTGACGATTGCGTTTGGACTGGTGGAGGCAGAAGATGTGGAGAACTATACGTGGCTTTTCTCGATGTTGAAGCAGAATGGGTACGACTTCACGGGGGTTCCTATGTTCTGTGATCACAGTAGAGCTCTAATATCTGTTGCTCTCAAGATGGGACTCAATCTCAAGTACTGCACCCTTCACATCATCCGGAATCTACTCGCTCGTTTTCTTAAGTTCACGCACGGGCACAAGAAGCTGATATGAGCCTTGCAAAGCGCGGAGACGGAATACCTCTACTCAAGTCGCCTGGCGTGGATTGGCCTGGAGTTGGGCCCAGACGTCGAAACGTACCTGTCTGATATTCCAACCGTTCGTTGGTGCGTCCACGCAAACGTTGGAGTTGTGTCATTGTACGGATGGCGAACGTCGAACTTCGTGGAGGGTGTGTTTGGCTCTCAATTGGTCAAAGGAATGCGTCGTTTGCACCCTTACGGATTTCTGCAAGCAATGTGTGGTAGCTTCGCCGACGAATGTTTCAACCGCTCCCAAAACGCTGATTCCTGGGGCGAGAAGAAGCTTGTGCTGACCCCTTCCGCCGAGAAGCTGCACTGTAAAGAAAGCTCGAAGATTGGGCAATACGCTGTTCAACAAGCCTCACCTGAAGTGTACTACGTGCACGCTACGGATGCTGCAGTACGTATCCGGCGCCGGGTGAACCTGCAGGATCGAACGTGCACGTGCGCTCGCATGGATCAGATGGGAATGCCTTGTCGACACCTCATCGCTGTGCTTGAAAGTTCTGGTAAGTTGTCGGAAGTTTTTTCTTATTTCCAGCCATGCTACAAGGTTTCAACATACCAGGATACATTTAAGGAGCGCGCGGTCTTTATTCCCATTGAGACGGAAGTTACTTGTGACGCGGGGTGGCTGCCAGCTCGACACATTAAAAAACCAGGTCGCCCTAGAACCAAATGCATCCGGAGCAGTGGCGAAGAAGGCGGCGGAACCTCTCAGCGCTGCTCGCAGTGCCACCAAAGAGGCCATAACAAGCGCTCGTGCACCGAGCAACTCGACGATTAGAAAATTCAAAGTAACGTCCCTCAGTCGCTATTGAACCTTAATGACGTCAGGTTTGCTCCTTACATGATCGCTGCATACATTGCCACATTCCTCCACTCCGCAATTTTGAATGAAGTCCCTCAGTCGCTATTAAACCTTTATGGAACCATTCTTGCTTCCTACACGATCTATATGCAATTTGCTACATTTATAAACTCCGCAAATTTTGAATGGAGTCCCTCAGCCGCTATTAAGCCTTAATCAAGTGAAGCTTGCTTGCTTCATAATCTATAAGCAATTTGCTACAACCTATCACTCCGCAAATTTTAAAAGAAGGCTTTCTCGTTAATTAGATCGGACCTTCATTCATCCAAGAAATTTGAACTTATGCATTCGTTGACTGTGTATCCTGTCCAACTAGTCCGAAGTCATACCGCTAGCAACCGTGCCATTTCCGTCTTCGCTGAGCTCCTCGTCAGACCCACCACGACAATCTTCGGAACCACACAAACATGTAAACCAGAGCTCATCCCCGTAGTCAACAGTAACTTCGGACCCCGCACCAATGTATTCCATCGCCACCACCACGACCGTAACGAAGCGTCGATTCTGGACTTCATAGAATTTGCAGTTTGCTTCGCACGAATGGTTCATGAGCCGTGCGATGTTCCCTTTGTCGCGGGCCTCGATCCACAATTTTTGTCTGCGAGTCGAACGTGTCTCGAGCCCAATTGTATAGTCGCTGATTCGCTTTTTGTCCTTGCTGTAGTCGTGTGTGGTGAGAACGCCTGCATACTCTGCCACTATAGCACCCTCAAAGATTTTCTCGGTCGTAAAAACAGAATATCCAACATCCCCGCTGGCCAATCGCAGCCCGTCCAGAGTCCGCAGACGATTGCCGCAGTATTTGCCGTTCAGACAATTGTTTCGGGCGCAGAAAATGCTAGTTACAGCATTGGGGCATGTGTCGGGCCGACAAATGAACTCGCAACCGCACCAATCCATCGATCCCAAATCTGCAACAGCAATCTTGCATGGATTTTGTGTGTGCGTGATCTCCTCAACTTGCTCTGGCCAGGGAACAGCATCAGCTTCTGTATACAGGCGCGGTGTAACCGTATCAGGACTTGGCTCGGTACTTAGCGGTGATTCTGAATTTTCCTCTGGCTCTGATTCCATATCTCCCTCGTAGGCATCGTTGTCACCAAAATGATCCTGCACCTCGCCATCATCCGTTTTCTTCTTTCCCACCACCGCGCTGAGCGGTCCGTCCAAGGACAACCGTATGTCTGCATCTTCTATTTTGTCCACTAGACTGTCGTCCTCGTTGGGGCTATTGTCGCTGTCATTACTCGATAAATCGATGCAAATAACTTCTGGGCTGATAGGCGAGCGTGGAGCTTCATCCGCGACGACTCTGGTATTTTCGACGAGCGCAGCATTCGATAGATGCCTCTCTTCAGCTCCAAACAATTCACCGCTGCATGTCTCCGAGTCGCTAGAACTCAACAAGCAAATAACCTCTGGTGGTAAAAGTGGTGAACCACTCTGGTCAACATGACCCACACCAACGCTGTTTGTAAGCTCGTTTCGTGTATTCGTACCGATGGTACTAGCACTAAGCTCCATTTCTTGCTTGTCATCATCACTGGTCCCGTCCAAAACGATGACATGCAGAACCGGAGATCTAGCACATGAGGTAGCAGGATCTGGACCATTACACCTATCTGCTCCGCGCGCTTCACTGTCCTCTTCTTCATTGGTCAGGTCGACCAAATCTGCCATGTCGCGAAGTGCCTCATCCTTATGGCGAGACTCCGCCACTGTCTTGCCCACCCGCGATATAAATGGCCCTGAGTAGCATGCACCCTTGGAGAAGGTCTTGTACTTGCTCAAAGGCGCGACTTTTATCACGCCACAACGGTACGCTCGAGCCGAGTCACGCACAGGAGCTCGCTGTCGCATGTGGTGCCTTTTGCGCGACTTCGCCTTGAAGTAGCCTGTCTTAGTAGTGCGCGCGGCGTGCGAACGACGCTCGTGCTGCGCGTACGTCGGTGGGGCTCGCTTCCCAGACACCCGAGTCATTGCCGCTCGTATCTCAGTCGGATGATGTGGGAATGAGATGTGCTGTTAGTCCGAATGGTTCCTAACGGGTCGGGTCTCAGTGGTATTACCCCGGGTTTTGACCCGGTTGCACTGGCTATCAGCTAAGCAAGTGTCAGTACGTGTCTGTCGTTCAAACGTGACCAGGCAAGCGTTGCTGGCACTGTGAGGCACCGCTTCTGACAAACGTTTCCCCAACGCATACACCTTTTGACGTTTTCCCCCGCTACGCGGTGTCTAGAAAAAAATATCGGGTTGCAGCGCTCGCTACGCCCGCGCGCGCAGACCAGCCCCGCCTAGGGCTGTTTCGTGCAGTGCTCGAAAGTGCACGAAAGTACTTTCGTGCAGATTCATCAGACCTTTATTACGGAGATAGCCCATTCAGACATCAATTGCGTTTCTCTACTAAGTACGATTAAAGCTCTTGAAATTACAGGCATAACCCTACCGAAACTGGTGCACGAAACAGCCCTAGCCCCGCCTAACCCTTCTAGCCCCAGACCTTATTCTGTATCTTACAGAATAAGCATTAGACTTGATTAAAGTATACTTCAAAACCTGTCAAAGATTTGCTGTTGGAAGTCCTTTCGCATCTTGCAGGTCAAGCGCTGGGTACATTGTGCACAGAACAGCTACGAAAGTGAACAAAACATGCTCAATGTATCCACCATATGCCGAAATGGCGAGCTTCTATTGGTCGTGGCGAGTGTAGAGCACGCTCAAAACCTGCTACCTGGTAATACCTTGCAAGGCTGCTAAGGCAGCATACTTCGGCTCCAGCCACCCATCTCCGGCACGTCGCGATAAACGCGGAGGAAGAAATCGCCCTGTTCCTAACTGACGTAGTGAGGAGGAACTGGGCGAATTCTTCCTCGTGCTTGACATTAGCGCATCATTAGATTTCTTTAGCCCACCTAACAAGCTTGTTACGTTTGTCTCTCTAACAACACCAGGGAGCTTGCATGCTCAATAGCCCGTAATGACACGCACTACACACGGTTCCTCTTGTTCGAAACAGGACAATATATGATATTCATGCCAACGTCTACTTCTTCCTTTACATGCGCACGCTCTTCAATGTTCGCGCCAGCCGTGGGTCATCTTCGCCATTTTGGCAGCCTCCGCTTTGCTCTGTAGCCTCCGGCACTGCCGCTTCATTCCTGCCGCTTTCATCGGTAGCCTCCCTCGTAGCCTCTGTCCCTTCTTCTGTAATCTCCGGTGTAACCTCATCACGCGGAGACCTTCTTCTGTAGCATCCGTCGTAGCATTTACCGCTTCTTCTGTAGTCTCCGGTGTAGCCACACCATGAGGAGCGCTTCTTCTGTAGCCTCTTGAGTAGCCACTGCATCAGCTACAATATAGCGGTAGACCCGGCTGTAGCCGGCTTCGTAGGAACCGATGAGGTTGTGCGCTGACTCCACAATCGATCTGCCAATCGGGCCACACGCGAGAGCTCATAGCGTCGTCTGGGTCGGATCACCAGGTCTGGTAATCAACATCGCAACGTAGATTTAATATACCACTAGTACAATGTTACAGAGCAAAGTACACGCTCTCGCTTACCTGTAGATCACAATGGCGCTCATCATGATCGTCTTCGGCCATGGTCCTTGGCCACTTGGGCGCGCTCGACGAGCCCCAACAAAGCTTGCATTGCGACGTCTTGAACAGCGCAGTTTCGGAATGAAGGAAAGTACGAGTGGCTGACACGCGGCGGCTTTAGGCTTCCACCCGAACTTTCAAACATGTTGGTGGTTTATACTCGTCCGTCTATTACCGGGGAATAAACCCCGTTTATCTTCCCATCGCTAATCAAACAGGAAGATGTGCACAATACCGGCTATACAAACATCCATATGCGAAGTTCGAAAGAGAGGACAAGTTTGCTGGATATTATGTCCTGTGACAATGCTTATTCTGTAGGATACAGAATACGGGGTTAGAGGGGCTAATCGGCGGGCGTTGGAACGAGTGAATGCACTGAGTGAGGCTTGTGCTTGCATCCGCTCACCCTCGCCCACTCCTCAACAGATCATGATCAAATGCATTGCCTATGAAAATGGCCTTGCTTGGAAATGACCCTCCTTAGACTCTCCCTGCGTTGGGTTTCACGGTGCGCTCTGCGGCGCTCGTTGGCGCGAAAGTATTCCTGAGCGCATTGGGGCGATCTGCGTGGCTAAGATGGCTCGCAGGCTCAATACTATTCGCCCATTGCACCTCGGCGTCGATTTCTCTGTCTACGTTGTAGATCCAATTTACCACACGAATATATGGGTGCCGTTGGATGGTCTCTCGTGGCCCCCGCACGTTCTTCTACAGGGATATCGGAGGGTCCGGTTGTGCTTCGGGTGCAGCTCGCTCACCGCGCGGATGCTCTTGCGCTGGATCGTCTCAATGCATGCTTTACGGAATGCCTTAATAGACAGCATCTTCACACCTGACGGCGCAAAGCTGCACTACTAGAGTGTAAAATGCAAAATCCGTCCCGTAAAAAAAGGCTGTCTGTACTGGAGGTGCTACGTCTGTACACCGACTCGGGTGCTATGTTTGTTCGCCCACATGAGTGCAGCGTTTGCTCACTATGCGAAGTGCGGCGTCTATCCACGCATGCCTTACACAGGCCGCATCAGCCCACGTTTTGGAAGCACTGAAAGAACTGCCGTGAAATATCGGTGAAACCACGTCTACTATATATGTCCAGTGATACTTACGCTACGCGGCGTAAGTGCACCTGAATGCACTGCGGTGAGATATCGGTGGAGCCAAAGCTACAATATATAATAACACCAGTGATACTTACGCTGCCTGCGTAAGTGCACATGCAAATCCTAGGTTATTAGATCCACTCAATGATCACAACGTAAATATGTCGTGCAGAGTAAATACCGAGGAACTTAAACAAACAATGAAGCTATTTTCGCTCATTGGCGTAACTACGCAAATAAATACGTAACTACGCTTCTACAAATAGCACTGAGACTTCGGCATCTGATGGACTTGTATGATAGCGTGCCCACGGCATTCGATAAGACCGCCATTGCTGAGCCAAGGGTTGACTTGTAGAAGCTCGGCATACTATCATGCGTGTCCACCAAGCTGTGTGTTTTTTTGCAGAGAGGTTCGGCAACGATTACGCGCGGGCTTATGCATCGAAACGATAAAAGTGCCAACACGTGCGAGCTTTGAGACACATCAGATAGGGCTAGGAACGTTTCCTCATCCCCTCAGTTCAATGTTAATAACATGGTTTCATTTTTTAGGGCATCGTGTTAGGAGTAAGCACTTTGGATCAAGTTTGCAGCTGGTAGTTTAAAGTTAGTATTCTTGGTTTAGATCTCATGTCCTCTCGTTTACCAGCCTCACAAACTTTTATTCGTCACGCAATGTACTGGTTCGCGGGCGTTAGAAGCCCGCTTGATATCGCAGTTCGGTGTTTTTTGTAGTTGCTGTTGCAGTAAAAAGATATCGCTAAACATGTAAATTCATTGGTTGCCATCAATGCGAAGGCTTTAATAAGAAGGCTTTTGGTCCAATACATTTTTTTATTTTACTAACAAAGGGCATCTCCTGCGGCTGCTTCGCAGCCGCAGTATCCGCCTGGTGTATTGCGTTAACAGTACCGACGTAGAATGCGGAGTTGGCAACAAATTGTAGAAGATGAATCTTGCTTGAGATGTTTTTGCAGCTTGGAACTCACAGTGAAAAAATACCTTTGTAGTTATTGTAGTAAAAAAAACTTCAAACACTCTCTCGCAGCACTAACAAGTATCCTATCCAGGTATACTATACTTATTAAAGTACAAATGTATGGCCTTGCTTGCTTGCCTCGCTTTGCTTTGTTCTGCTCTGCTTTGCTTTGTTTGGCTCCGTTTTACTGCTTAGCTGAATTTACTTCCAGTAACGTTGCACAATGACAAAACCTGGCTGGGTTGTGCAACCTGGTATACACAACTTGCACAACCCAGCTTCCTAGCCTTGCCTTGCCTTGTTTTGCTTTGCTTGCGTGGTGCAAATAAGCTGCAGCTTAATCCCAACGCGCAGATCCATAGGCAGCTCGCCAACTACTGTACCGGCCAGCAAGGAATATACTACGGATTCTATACAAACGTCAATAACAGGTACACGAGTCTACTTTACTTAGGGTTAATTCTTCATTCACCGACGTCGGAGGGTCCGACAAGCCAAAATGAGAGTATGTCAGAGCCGTGAACATGTTTTACTTAGGGTTAATTAAAAGAGTTTAGGACGGCATCGCAGAGGGCTGCATCTGGACATCGTTTTTTTTTCTAAACTACTGTCCGAAAATAAACAATGTACATGTAAAACTTGCACTTCCAGAATAAAAAAATACCAAGTCGAAATCGGTCTCCCAGCCAAAGCGCAGCAACCTTGTGAAGTCCGGTACTGTATTGCAGTTAACTCCATTTATTTATCCAGCACAAGTTTACAGTATTGGTTACGTTTGAAAGCCCCGCGAACTGAGGTTTGCTCCTGTTCCGCAAAAACTTGTTCATCACGAGCAAATATATTCAAGAAATTCATGCAGCAACGGCGATGAACGGGTTCCGACGGACGTAGTAGAGGAGGTATCTGCGCAGCACAACACGAGATAGGTTGTCAGAGCTGTTACATGTAGCAAACTCGGCGAGAGGGAACGTACGCTTGGGAGCGCTCGACTTTCTCGACCGGCACAGTTTTCACGTCGATGTCGTCAAAAAGAATCCACTGCTGCTGCTTGGAGTTGGGATCTCGAGCGTTGGGAACTTCGTCTCGCACATAGGACGTGTAATGACCGCCGTTCACCGACTCCCCGTGGTGATTCACAACGGCGACGAGGTCATAGACGTTTTCGCTTCGGTCACCTTCTGTCTTTCCAGGTACGGCGCCTTTGCTGCCTCCTTTCTTGCGCTCGCTGACTTCGTCGATGCCCACGGACGTAAATGGTCTCATGTTAAGGCCTACCAGGGGAAACTGAACGATCTGCGTGAGCTTCTGCTGACGGTAGAAGTCGAGACGACGAATGTGGAACACCAGCACATTGGGCAGTGTGTGCAAATTCAGGCTCTTGTAGTTGGTCTGGTACTTCGAACACCGCGGGCAGTACACTTGATTCACCCCGCTTAGTTCCTCCTCGGCAGCGAATTGACGCAAAAGTGACTCGAGAGTTATTGCGGACGAACCCGAGACCTCCTTCTTGACACCTCCTTCTTGCTTTCCATCCTTGCCACTCTCGGTCTTCCCGCTGTCTAGCGATAGTGACACGTCCAGGAACGGATCGAACTTGTGTGAAGCTGAGCCACAGCCCCCACACGCCAGTTCAGAGCGTAATGCACCAGAGAAATGCTGGTGCACAGCACAGTCGCACTCACTGTGTCCACGTGGGGTGAATCTTGGTGAGGCACCGCCGTGAACGAACACGCGAGGGTGCGTATGCGAGTGCAGTCCACCCAGCAGCGCAATCAACAGCTCATGTGCATCATGCTGAGCCGTACCGATGAAAGACGGGAACGCACTCCACATCGCCTCCAGTATCCCTTGTGGTGCAATGGGAGACGCGGTCAGCGTGTTACCTGGTAATCGAGTAGACGGAGGTAGAAGCAGAGCCATGAACGCAGCGAGCTCGCATCCAAGACACACCGTGATCGCAGGATCTGGGCCGCGCTTGGTGTCGTTCTGTCTGTCGCCATCTTCGTCACCCTCGTCGTTTTCACCCTGCTCTTTCTGCTTCTCCGCTTTGAGTTGCTCGTGCTTCTTTTGCAACATTCGCTGTCTCTGCTGCTGGCAGATGGTCGTGTCATGACTCCTCGCCACGAAAAAGTAGTGCTGCAGCATGGGGTTGTGCGCCAACGCCTGCAGCACCGAGCTCATGAAGCACGTGTTCCCCATGTTCACCAGTCCTCGTCGCAGCAGCTTGTGAGGAGTAGCAACACCCCGCAGCTGGCGCTTGCGTCGTCGACTGCCGCCTTCTACGGCTGCATCAGGGTAGATAAAGTCCCGACAGCACGCGCAGTAGAGCTGCCGCTTTCGCTCCATCACAGCTGCAGCAACAAGAAGAAGTTTAGTATTACCTCTCAATAGTAATATCAGCACCTCCGACGCACCAATGTTGTGGTTGTGGAGGATGGCATGTGCCATGAAGCTGCCGTCGTCTTCCCCGTCCTCAATCTCCTGCATCTGCTGCACACACACTTCTCTTGATCCCCGGAATTTACATGTCAGACAGCGATACAGCTCCCTCGACAGCTCGGCCTCTGTCTCCTACAAGGAATAATTGGAATTAATAAATAACAATAAATTGTATTTCACCACGGGATCCAGACCTGATCCACCAGGTAATGCTGCAACTGCGCGACGTCCGCGGCGTCCTGCGCCGCTTTCCCCGCCTGCAACTTCTTCCACGTCGACGCGTGCTCCTGTCCGAAGTGCACACACACGGCCCCGCTGCACAGAAGCCGCCCGCGCTTCTCCCCCGGCCTCGAGTCGCCCTGCTTCATCGTCTGCTGTGGGATCGTCATGAGCCCGTGAGCGTGCGCTCGGATTGGCTACAATGACGTAGTATTTTCACCCAATAGATGAGCTTAAGTATGAAAACTTCAACTTGACTGCGTCGCAGTCTGCGACTCGCAAGAGATCGATTCCAGCAAAATCGGCTAGGGGGTCAGGTGGCTATGCGCGATGAAAATTACAATCGAAGTCTTCGCCCGAAGATGAGTTTAGCCGTTTATGCATTACTGTACTGCATCATGCAAGAAGATCACTGATTCATTGCAATGTCGAATTCTGGTTCAGCAAGTGAGATTTCGCAGCTTTATCCACTCGAAGGTCGGTCCATGTGAGGAATACCGGCATCCCTTTGTCATTACATACAAATTTCGACCTTCTCTGCAGCCTGTGACGATGTCACCGAGTACCTTAATGCTTCCTCCTCTTTCCGCCTGGCAGGCGAGGCCGCCCGATTCAGTCCGCAACTGAGCGTAATTGGTAGTAGGCGAGGAGCGCCTGTATGCCATAACAAGTGCTCAGGTGAAAATGCCATTGATTGGCTAATATTAGCCTGTATGTCATAACAAGCAGTATGTGATGACAAAGGGATGTCGGTACATGAACAGCTCGAAAATGAACGAGAGTAACTCTGCAGGCGTACTGTAATAGAGCAACTAAGGAACAGTACCGGCAGACTGTAAATGTACTGTAATGCCGGTTGTCATCGGTGCTCGCGTTATCCGCTGCTGCCGTAATCTAGCAGGTATGGCCCTGCTTTTGTTTTTCACAAATTTTCATGTCTACTTCATCTGCCCTGAGGACTTCAGCGATAAAAAGCTATTCCAGCGGCAATGTCCGCTTTCAGTTTTCCTAGGAGAAGCACGTTTCTCTTGATGATACGATGCGCGAGCATAACAATATTATGTGTGACGACGGCAAACAAAAAAATACTTACGAACCTAAGTACGAATCGCTATTTAGTGGCTGTCTTGCGCACATTTTGAGCCCTTCTTTGCATCGAAATGTTGAAAATTCGAGGAGTTGTCGGCACTTGAAAAAAACTATCCCCGTTTTGAACGATAGTGACTTCAATTCTTTCTCAAAATTTGCTTAGCGTACATTATCAGAAAGCTCTCGTTAAAAGCAATCGCATTAAAGGCTTTTACGCTTTCTACGAGTAATTTTCACTTTCAAATTTTCGATGTCCGGATAGGTACGAATTATGATTGGTCAACTATAAAGTCGATTATCTCGATAACTCTCAATGGCGCGTTAGTAACATTTTGTTCGCCGTAGTCTCAACTGCACAGTATAATATACTGTGCAGTGCAGTACCGGGTACACGCAATGCCTACCGTAGGTTTTCCAATCCAAGATAGAACTCGGGATGCTCTGTTCGTATCTTGAACGAATGCATCGCAGTGCGAATTGCCTCATGGGATGTGCATTCACGGCGGCTTTCTGGCTGTGCTCGATCGAATGGTTCTCGCCCGGCAACGCCAATGGAAGAGCACTTCAGAATTTACTCTCCATGCGTCTATATCAACTCTTGGTTGTGATCGCGGCAACTTGCCTACTTTCCAGTGAGGCGCTCGCAACAACTACGGACTCCGACCAGACTTGAGCTCTCGAAAGAGGGCCCAACTCAGCGATTTCTGAGGTCCCACCGCACCACTGTCGAAGATGAAGATGATTCGGAAGAAAGAGCCCTGAGTTTGGAGGAAATGAAGAGGATGATGAAGGCGGGAATGAACGAAGAAGCATTCGCCGAAGAGCTCGGCGTTAGCGAAAAGATGAAGTTGGTGTCGAGCCAACCTAACACCGGCTTGGCCACGTTCTTGACGTCCCCCGAATACGCGAAGATTGCAGCGTACCAAAACTTTTTGATCGGAGCTCGGAGGGATTATGCGAACGGGGTGGCGGAGTCGTCCAAGAAGGCGAAGTCCAAGAAGTGGTGGAAGTAGGCAGAAAGCTAACAGGTACTAGGTAGCATGCGTGCTACCTTATCTAAGTCCCTTTCAATTGACAACGGAGAACGTACGGAGGTCATTTCTGCTACGGCTTTGTCTCCGTGACTGAAGATAAAACTTCGACAGCAACAAAAGTTGGATTACCGGAGCCTCCATTATAAAACAACAAAAGCAACGATAAAGGTCCCACGTACATGTATTCCCTATTCAATTATTAATAATACTTTACAACTACTACGTAGTACTGACGTTACTTTTACATTTGATAGTATTCGACACACCAGAAGTGAGCTGAAGTTGGTTTGATCTTCGGAGTTTGGATTCTTATTACGGAGCTGAATATGCTGTAAATTGTTGATATCGCTGTTTCAAGGGGCTCAGGCTCTCCACATCTCTGCCCATTGGCGATGAAGGGCTGCGCATCTCACAAGAGCACGATGGTGCCATGTAAAGGTTCAAGTAAGTGGCAGCCAGCCGTATTCAAAAATTTGATGGACCCGATTGGACAAGACGCGGCCACTATAAAAACAAGGTTCTGAAATGAGATTTCATCGAACAAATGACAGTGTACCAACTTCGCAAGCCCGCAACAATATGTCATACCCGGGGTTTCCTCCCTTCAACAGGGAATACACGCAGGTTGGACTAATAGCGTTGATTCAGGCTGACCAAGTCTCCATTCGAACGACAAGATGGCACACCACTATTTTAAACTCTATACAATCAGCTTTTGAATTAATGCGAAGGCAATTATAAGCTGAACTCGTCAAGATTGAAACCAGGGACGCTACGAAGAGCTCGAACGGCATCTCGTGAACTGGGTCGGGAGCTTGGGTCACGATCAAGACACCATTCGGCCAAGTCGACGATTTCATCGGGGCACGTTGATGAAAGTGACGGCATCAAATGGCCGGAAATCACGTGCTGAAGTACCTGCAACGGTGGCATGCGCTCCCCACGGGCTGTCACTGCATCGGCATACGGAGAGCTGTGCGTGTCAAGCTCAGTTATTAGGACGCCAAGGGAGTAGATGTCGGCCTTCTCTGAGTGCGATTCCCCGGCCAAAACTTCTGGAGCCGTCCAAAATGGCGATGTCCCTCCATTTCTCTGGGATGAATTCGCTGTGTCTGCGCTGTACCGATCTGGTGTTGCCAACTTCGCGTCCACTGTAGCCGAAAGCAGTACATTCTTGGCTTTGATATCGCCGTGAATGATACTATGGTGGTGAAGGTAGACCAGACCTCGAGCGACGTCCAATAAAATCTGCATCTTCTCGCGTTTCCACGAAAGAGAGAAGCACATGAAGTCTTCATATGCTTCCGCTTGATCCCTATTCGGATTCGACTGACGCAAATATTCACGCAGGTCGCCCAGCTCCAGATACTCCGTCAAGAGACACAAATTCTGCAGCGAGCTCCAGGCAACGCCCACGAAACTCAGGATACTTGGGTGTTGCAGCGCCGCACTGAGTCGAATTGATCGCACGAATGCCTTGACCTCGTTCCAACTCTTCCGTTGCTCCTTGGACAAGCGCTTAGCTGCAACGCAGCGATCGTGCAATACACACAGCCACACTTCACTGTGTCCACCCCTGGTGATTAAGTGGTGGAATTGCAGACTGTCAAATGGAATTTGTGCGTGCTTCAACTGCGGATCATTGGCCAGAGCTGTGAGCACACTCCTGTCCGTAAGTTTGTCGTTGCTGGGGCTCCCAGACGCGAGGCTTTCAGCAGTCAAGGCTAACGACAACGACAGAGGAGACGATTCCCAGGCCGTTGGAGAGGACGACAACATCTCGAGAAAGTCGTGCATCGATTGAGGGTTCCCAAACACGTCCTCTCGGTCGATTACCGGTTCATTGCGTGGTTTGGCGGAGCTGTTCATAATGTTGTAGCTCCTGGTGCTACTCAAGCTGAGCTGGTGCGCCGCTGAATTCTGCAGATCGATTTTCTTCTGTTCTGAGCGGCGCCGGAGATAAATGACGACAGCAATCGCCGTCACGAGCAGAGCAGCGGCTCCAACAATCAGCACGGGGACGGTTTGATGCCAGTCGCCAGGTGTAGCATCATCGTGCTGCAATCTGGTCACGTTGGTATCATCCGTTGCACTGTTATCACTGTCGTACTGGATGATCGCATTCTTGTCGGAGCTGGAGCCGTCGGATGCAGTCTCTTCAGTTGCGTATTGTTGCCTAGAAAGCCTATCCACATACTCGTCCAACCACTTCGTCATCAACGAAGAGTTCTTCGGTCGACACCACCGATCATCAGACTCACGATACTCGATACACGGAATTATCAGCGACGGCATCGCGGTTTCAGCTGAACACGTACGTGCTGAGTACGCCTCGTCTAGATAGTTGATGCCCGAGTGGATTGCAAATAAAATCGCCGAACGACCTGCCGAGATGTCGCTCCATGTATGACGACGCACCAGTGGCTCGGGTACCTCCACGCTGCTTGCATTAGCCAATTGAAGCCCAGCAGCCCACACAGGAGCCGCATTTGCCTTCGACTTCACCGATGAGCACGCACATTGCACGATATCATCAAGCTGACTTGGCCCACAATCGGCTGAGAAGCTCCAAGCTATCGTTGTACTGTCATTTGTCGAGCAGCTTCCAACGTCGCAGCCTGCTGCTTGGACCTGCTGGGTCTCCAGTGTAAGACCATCCATGGCAGCTCCGAAGCCGCCGGTCTCACAACGCGTGTAAACTTCTGCGAGAGCTCCGCCGTCGCCAAACGCATATCCTGCATCCCATAGCAGTGCACGCTGGAGAAGACCCGGAACAGAACCAAAGCTCAATCCAAAACGCTGAAGATTCGCAATTATCTTGTCTGGTACATCGTGTTCGAGCTGAATCTGTGGTGTGTTTGCGTCATTCTGCGCACTGTTATCGCTGTAAATCTGGTAATACGCACGCACAAAGTCGGTTGAGGTGTTGACCAGCACGATACTCGACGAGTGAGCAAAGCAGAGCGCGAAGAACGTGGCAACGTGTTCAAGGAGCGGTGGTAGTGACCTTGCCATCGCTGATGATACCTGGCTGCCAGGTGTTTGAATAGTGCGCGATTCTTGAGTCAGCGCCGACGAGATACGACGGCATATAGTCGTCAAAGGACGCACCGCGCTCTGCCTTCATCGGGATACAATTAGTTCGTCAAACAATAAGCATGGCTGGGGAGCAGTCAAGACAACTGTCTTGTTCTTTGTCAAGACATTACAAATACTGGCGACTGCCGACCGGATACTCCCGCATCAGTAGCAGCGCTGAACTTGTCTTCGGTGAATCAGCGAAAGACGCGCAGAACTGAACTGCACCGCGTGTCATTATCATTTGTAAGATTCCTTAATCGAAACAACTCACAACCAGCTGCGAAACCAGAAGTATGTCTGGAAGTTGCTACTCACCCGGTCCACACTATTGAGCTGCTTCACTTCCGCGCCAGAAACGTGAATCCTTGGAACGGTATCAGCCGCGGGTGTCCGTCAGCGAACGGGTCGGCGCTCTCACTCGTAGCCTCTCCTCCCTCCTGGTAGAAATTCTCCTGCGCGTCCTTCTCCAGCAGCTTGGTCAGCGTCGTCTGGAACTCCTCCTGCGTCATCCTCTCGAGGAACTTGGCCGCGAACGGGTTGCTCATCATCCCCTGCAGCATCGTCTTGGGGTCCTCAAACACAATCGTGTGCGTGGTGCGATACACCTGGACGTCTTTAAATCCGGCCTCCTGCAGCTCCTTCGACATCCTCACTCGGTCGGTCGCTGCAGTCAGCGTCGGGTATGCCAACGGCCCCCCTTCTCCCTCTCTGCCATTGAAAATGTCCGTCACGGCGTCGAACCATACCATCTGCGAGCTCTTCTCGTCCCACGCCGTGACGACCAGCAGCCCGTCGTCTTTCAGCACGCGGTGGGCGGTGACCCACCCGCGACTGCGGTTCGGGAAGATGCCCAGCCCGAAGTTGGAGCCCAGGATGTCCACTGACGCGTCGGACACTTGGTCCAGCACCATCCCGTCGCTCTGCAAGGTGGTGAACCTGTCCGCGAATGGCTTCAACGCGGAATCTTCTTGCAGTTTCTCCTTCAACTGCTGCAACATTCCCTCGGACAGATCCGACACCGTGATGCGAATTTCCGCGGGGAGAGCGAGGTACCGACGAGCGAACTCGAAGCTGAAGACGCCGGGCCCACAGCCGACGTCCAGGAAGTGGAACGCGGTCTTGGATCCATTGGCTTCGTGCTGCTGGAGCTTGTGGAGGATCTCGCGGTGCGCGACCTGCAGCGAGTCAGCGGCCCAGCGAGCGGTCAATGAGGCGAAGCCGGAGCTGTACGACTTGGCGTGCGCAGACCACTTGGCGTTCGTGAAGGTTCTTTCCATGGAGGCCGGATGGGGTGTCTTTGACAGTGAAGTCAAGTGCCTGAAGAGGCGCAGAGGACTCGTGGCGGTATGGTGTAAAACTGTGGACTATATGGTTTTGTAAAAGACAAGTTGATGTGCTGGATAAATGAAAATGCTCCTGTGCAAGGTATTTGCAATTCGGACTTGCTTGCTGCAACTTCGCCAGCGGCAAGTGAACCCGCAATAATGGTAGCCTAGATACTTGTAGTCCGACCGAGTTGTGATAGCGGCAACATAAGGCTGTGTTCGCTGAGAAAAAATAAAAGTAAGACGTGATAAAATATTTATAGGGCTCGTATTTGTTAGTCCGGCGGCGTTGGTCCGGTCAACGCCTTGCCAGCGCTCCAAAACCCAGCACCTACATCAAATCCACAGCCGAGAGCCTGGAGGAACCGCCATCCTACGAAGGGTATGCGCCGCTATTTCGAGCTCGGGAGACCCTCCCTCCCACCATCTTTGGTGCTCAGGATGAAACTGGAAGCACCCAATCACGGCACTACATGTACATGAATGCACTGTACCAAACAACACTACAATACTCGGGAGTGAAATGAACGTTATTATTCTGTTTCAACTCGATTTTATCATCCGCACCGAACTCGAACTAGGGTGTGTTTGATTCTAGCATTTAGTGGAGACACCGATTCGCGGAAATGCACGTGCCGACATGTGCCGTTGCAAAACAACTACTTAATGCCGTGGTTGATCTTCAGTGCCTGCAATCTGAGCCAATCCTCGTGGTCGCCTGCTTCCTTCAGAGCTTTTTCGATTTTTGCGATACTTAAGTATGTTTCTTAGCCTTGGCTGGATCAGGGCTTCGCATTATGTGGTAATACTCAATACGGTATTAATACAGCACCCCATGCCTACTGTATTGCTACTGGGTGCACCACTATCTGGCTTATGTATTAGCTGCATTACTATAGTTGTAGTTTGTATTATTACGGTCGTAATACAGACGGGGCCATGTCTACCAGTACGTAGAGTGCCCGCAACTGGCATTGAATCCCAACACTTTAGCTTGCAATGGGCTTGAATAGCCTGCTGTCGATCTGGGCTCCCGTGGCATGGATGACCGAGATATCGAACCACCGAAACGCGCTCCATCCTATACTTTCATTCCTTCACGGAAAACCCTCTCTCTTCGCCGATGTCTTCGTACTTCTCGACACGACGAAGCATTCGTCCGCCATCCGCGTCGAATAAATCGGTTGCAGCAGGCGACGCATCGTTCTTGACCCCAGCGTTGAGCTTGTTGGCCGAAGGAAGTGAGGCACCACTGACGTGAAGAGTGGCCGCAATGACCAGCGCGAAGATGAAAGCGAGGCGCATACCGATTATCGGCCCTTGGGTAGCGGGAGCGTGTTGCGCGCTTCAAAGTAAGTTGTGAAGTGAGTTCATTTAGAGTTGGATAAAGCTCCGTAGCGCCACTGGGGCGTGCCGGGTGGCAGTCACTAGTCTACAGCTCCGCAGTACCAATTACTGGACTGTACTGGGTGCTGATTATGTTTTGAGTTGATTGCGATTTACAAAGCCGGCAGCCGACGGGTATACATACATACATACATACATACATACATACATACATACATACATACATACATACATACATACATACATACATACATACATACATACATACATACATACATACATACATACATACATACATACATACATACATACATACATACATACATACATACATACATACATACATACATACATACATACATACATACATACATACATACATACATACATACATACATACATACATACATACATACATACATACATACATACATACATACATACATACATACATACATACATACATACATACATACATACATACATACATACATACATACATACATACATACATACATACATACATACATACATACAGTGACACCTCCCTAAATGAACCCCTCTAACTGACTATGTGTTCCCTATCTGGTTAGGATTCCTCGAGTGCAAACGGGATTATATGGATTTCACTAGGTGTTCTATAACTGATCAAAAACCTCTTTATTCTCTAAATGGTCGCCATTGTTGGCGCCTCAAAAAAATGGACGCCGTAGTAATAGATCCAAACTCATATATTTCTCAATCACTTGCCTGCCTACTCCCACGTATGCCATTGCTACCACTACTCCCGCCACAACAAATCGAGCGAAGAGAGAATTTATATTTGGGATGCTAAGTTGGAACAAAGAGTTTGCGGTAACTGCAAGCTTGTAAATGCTGATAAATAAGCTAGCCACAGTATTTTACAATCAGCGCAGCGTACATATATATTTTACGAAAAACTAAAATATTATGATGTCGAGACAACTAGGGGCTATGCAGTAGATACCAAGCAAAAAATAAAACTGCAGGCATGGTGGCAGGATATCGGGACAACAAATATTCCCATAACCTCACTGTATTGAAACTCGCGTACAACCTGAGGGGATGCGATTCTGCTAATACCAATGAGAAGAAGGAGTAGGAACAGACAATACAGCGCCTACCGTTATTGGTTAAGTTCTGTCTGTGTGAGGACGAAACAAAACAAGAGTACGAAAATGCTGGAAGGGTACCAGGTAAAGAAAGCCCTTGTATTGTGCACCTAATATATGAAAATGTAGCCATTAGAAGTGTAGCCATTTCTTTGTCTGATCAATTCCTTAACTGAAACAGCGTACTTAGTATTAGACCGAGCGAACTGGTGTCATTTATAGAGGTGTGACTGTACTTAAGCCACTTTTTAAGACCATCGGCACCGCCTTCATTATAACCAATAGACCCCAAACACTGGACAAAAATTAGAATCCATATGTTTTTGATGGAAACCTTCGAGTTCTTATCTGCATTTACTGGGGTTGGTATGCCCTCACTTCAACAATGGCGAAGGCCGCAAGAAGCAAGAGCACCAAGAAAGCTTACATGTCCGCGACAATAGCAATGATTATAATTAGCGCCGTTGGCGCGGCTCTTGCTGTCGCCATTATCCGTCGAGCTGCAGAATAGGTGTCGTCCTTTAAGTGTCGATCGTCTGGTCCAATCCTCCACAGTTACATGTATCCATGTACAAGTGGTGGTTTGTAGGATTTCGACGAAACCAGAGCAAGCTCCAACGCAACATCATTCGGCTACAATCCGACGCCGTGATGCGGGTTTGCGCTGGGAGATTGAGGTTTAATATCGACGTGCGAGCTCGAAGCTTAAGACGCCGGGAGGTGGAACGGGACCTTGGGACTCGCTTGATAGAAGAGAGATTCTCTTAGCCACGGTACTTGCCGGAAGCAATTAGCAACTTACATGTTACTACCATGATGTTAGCCAGCGCCAATGCCTCAAGCACAGTGTGAGGCGCTGCGGAGGTGGGTTTATGAACCGACTGGCAGTGAAAAATAAAAGTGAGATGTGCTAGAATATTTATAGGGCTCGTATTGTTAGTCTGGGCCAGCGCCACCTTTGGTCTGGTCAACGCCTTGTCAACGCCCCTACCAGGAAGGACTTCGGTGACGAAAAGCGCTCCTGCTTGCCTCCTCGAGTGGTTGCTGCACTCCACGCTCTGCCAGCTTCTCGGGGCTATCGACTAGCTATGAAAGAGCGCTTGGGTGAAATCCTGGCGCTGCGCAGCGTGACGGATGCACTCCACCAGGAGGACATGGTCAAGGTGCTGGGCGAAGTCACCATCGTCTCGGACGAGTACTTACCCGTGCTCGAATTCCTCATGGCCCCAGATAATCGTAAGCACTTTATAAAGTTGCTCTGGATCTAGTAAACTAACCAAATGGTTCAGTCACGTGTCTGATCAGCTCGATGCTCCAAGAGCCAACACCAACTGCAGCGGCCACAGCTGCAGCAGCTCGAGAGCCTGGAGAACCGCCGTCATACGAAGAATATGCGACGGCCTTCCGAGCTCACTGGGTTTTGTGCGGCTCTGGCTTCTCTCACCAGCTTTTGGCAGCGCTCAGTGCTCTGAAAGGCGAGCCCCGGGTGCTGGTAGCTTGCACCCTGGCCGAGTTCAATTCGCGCGACAATATGACGCTCGAGGCGTTCTCTCGGTTCCTCACGGCGTTCATGGATCAATATTCCCCGCAGATGTTCATGTCGCTCTTCGACACCAGTAGTCGGCAGCAGAAAACGTTTCTCGAGTCGCTGCTCTTGTTGGTATTTTACGAGCCGCTGCGCGATGTCATGGTGCGTTTGTGTAACGAACTACCTGGGGCCGACGCCGAACCAGAGGTAGAGTCGCTTGTGGGCCTTGCATTGTTGCAATTATCGCCGATGAATCCTGTCCAGAGTCTACGGGAGCGCGTGCACGAGAAGTTTCACCAGCGAGTGGCAAGTGACGTCGAGACTGTACGATTCGCACGCATGTTATTTACCTGCGACTTACTTACCGACCTCATCCACGAGAAGCGAGAAGGCAGCTTGGGCTTTGCGATGATGCTGTCGCTCAGCGAGTCGGGGCCTAGTGTGAAGCAACTAATTGAAGCAGCCGTGCGAGACTTGTGTGAGCTGCCAACGTTGTTCGCAAATGAGTCGTACGCGCTGAAAGTTCTCAACTCGTTGCTACAGCAGACGCAGTGTGGCTGCGTCACTAAGGCAGCATTTTGCCGAGCGACTGCATCAATCCAAGACAAAGGTGCTAATGGTCAAGCTGATCAACCAAAAGTAGGAGAAGGTGGAGACCCGATCGCTGCCGCTTGCACCCAGGGGAGTCCGCATGAAGACCTGCCGCTGATCTGGCATGAATTCCTCACGCACCTACCGACGCTACTGGCGTTCTTCTCGTTGACATCCCCCGACGCTGCTTCTCTACGATGGCGCTTCAAATCTACACACGTGCAGCTTGTGTATCTCATGCTGCCGGTCCTCAACGTTTCATGCACCGTGGCGGACACGCTTTTGATCCACAATCGAACGCTGGACGCACTTCTCGAGCTGATCTTGCGGTTCCCAAAGGCGTCGATTTTGCACTGCGCCATCGCACGGTTGTTCATCGTCGCTCTCGAGGACTCGCCATACATGTTTGGCAAGGAGCTGCCAGCCTTCCGCTCCCCTACAGACCCGCTGCGAATTCATTTGCTTCTGGGTGGCGTGCTGGACTATGTGCTGCAAACGTTTGGATGGACAATCGTGCCTGAACAAGACGTCATCGCAGCTCAAAACACGAAGAATACCTTGCCACCTCCTGCATTCCTGGACGTCGCTATTTCCTTAGATCAAGCTCTCACCAGTGCGTTTGCCCATTCTGCACAGCTCTTTATGGGCAATTCGGCTTTTGAACGCTGGAAGGTCTTCCGCCTTGTAGTTCTGCTGCCTATCCAAACGCTATGGGAGGAGCAGTATCAACCCCCACCTGCAGTCGATATGGGCCCTTCACCGATGCTGGCAGCGATGTTATACGGAGAAAACTGCCACAATCAGCCACAAGAAGACACGCCGACGGATACAAAGCACCACAAGGAACGGAAACACTCTACGGACGGAATCACTGCTGCAATGAGTGCTGCAGTTTCTGTACAAAGTACAAGTAAAGAACCAAAGACTGAATCGACTGCAGCTCCAAACGTCGAAGAGAGTGTCAACGCTCGACCGGAAGCACCGACAGTTGCTCTTACTGAAGACGCTGCCAAAGCTCCAGCGCAAGCTCCAGCGCAAGCTCCAGCGCAAGCTGTACCACAAGAAGGACCGTGCGTGGCGGTATTAATTCCGCAACCTACCGTGACTTCGGAAAGTTCAGCACCAGCAGTCCACGATGTACCGACGCCACTGGCAGCGCTGTATAATGAAGATGAGAAACGCCTGATGCTCAAAGTGTCTGGTAGCGACGACAAAGTGTCTTCGTCGCCGCCGATTGCCCTCGTGATGCCCGCCACAGTACCGCAAACCACATGAACTACTGCTTTTACTGAGCTTCTACTACGTTCAATGGCCGAAATAATAAAATGCCAAGGACTGGCTTGAGCACCCCCCAACGCCATTATTTGTTGATGTTGTTGTTGTACATGTATCACCTGGTGCCCCGCAGACGAAGTCTTAGGTCACTGAAAAATGTCAGTAAAATCACTGCTACAAAAACCTGTATGTACAAGCAGCAGTGCTAAGGGCCAATCTGGCCGTGGTCGGTACGTCGTTGAAAGTTTCTGCGAGTTTTAGCTCGGTTCAGCAACTACCCTGTAATTTGTAGAGCAGAAAGCTACAGTAAGGCCTTAAAGGACCGCTTAACATTGTCTTGGTGGTAGCAGCGAAAACGTCTGCTAAAAAGACTGGATGTCGTAGATAGGGTGAACTTAACTGAGCAGTAGCGGGGTTCTCCCGAAAGAAAGTGGCCTAAAGGCCTACTGGGTGGGGTACATGTATACCGTTGCAATTTGTTATTAGGAGGTCACCCGAGGCACGTTACATGACGGGTCTATAAACTGACCGGTAATATTGCACAGCCGTTTTGGTATTTTCAGAGAAAAGAGGGGGGGGGGGGGAACGGGAGGGTCCAACTTGCACTGGAAAATATAAGCAACTATTTTTTACTCTGTAGAGCAGAAGCTACAGTGACACTTTGTGCTGCGTTCGAAACTCCGTTACTTCTTGATGCAAATTCTTCACTGAGAGGAGACATAAATGAATATTTCAAAGTATTATGGCGTGGGCCTGCGCAGCAAGGGTAATTAATAGTAAAGGTAGGAATTGGACCAGCTCATACATACATGGACCAAAAATATGCATTGATTTGTCTTCGGCCGTGATCACCCACCTTGAAAACTACGAATCAAACATCACGCAACATCTATTAATGCATGTAGAATGTTCGGTTTTGCAGCTATATGTATCAAAGCACCATAAAGAATCCTATCTTATTATTGAGGGGCATTTTGGTCAAGCAACAAATCCACACAACGAGCCCTCATGTTATTAAGCCCTACTAGGGTCTGCACAAAGAGTACTCAGCAAAAATCGATCTATTTACCGGAATAACTACACGAGATTGTAGATTACAGACTGACAGTACTAATGATCGTAGTTGATGTACATGTATTTTATTCGTAAGCGCGTGTTACCATTGCTGCCGTGTCTAATTGGATCCTATATCACATATACTCCCGGGATACTATCGATATTATATGACACTTGCTATCTAAAATGGAAAAATATAGAGTTAGCAGTGCTAACTATATACTTCAGTACATGTTTGTAGTAACTTATCACCTACTGAAGACAACCACTAATTGTAGGAACATGATTGTCTTCGTGCCAGCGTCAATAGTCATTTGGCGACAGTCGTGGCACGGCAATATAGTAGACGCAGTTTCGGTTGGACAGGTTGGCCTGGTAAGCGATATCAACTAAATGGCCTCTCCCATAGCGGCCGCCAAGTAAAGCTGAATATAAGGCAAACATAGAAGTGCTACTGCGCTTTCGCCTGGCATTCGTTGCATTCTGTGATGCCTAATAATGGTAGGATTGGCTTCGAGACTTCATGTGGGCGGATTGTGTGTACTGAAGTAATGGCTTTCGCTAGCCTGTCGAGATGTATAGCAACACTGGCCTGCTGTGCAGCTACTGAGGCAGCTCCTCCGTGCCGCATACCGACGGCCCACGATTACTCACGAAAAAAGCCCCAACATTTTCACAACTGACTAAAACTATACAGGCACAATCCACCGACGCTACCAGTTCTACCTGGCGTTCTACGCAAGTAGGCTTAAAAAAGCTTAGTGAAAACTGCAAACCAATTCACAGGGCCTTAGCAAGAGAAATAATGCAAGATAGTAGTAGCATCGTCTGGGTACGTGGACCGGCGGGCCTCATGGACGTATGACTTTTACGTCCTGTGACGCCGACTTTTATGAAGGCCTAAACCTTAGTAAAACATTTGTATCGTTTCAGATTTTGAAGCACTGATAACAGTAGCTTCCGTTTTCCAGAAATTTCCGGCCAAGCGAAGCGAGGCGGGCAGTCTCACGTGCTTGGCTTAGACCTGTTCAAAGAGCCCCGCTTGCGGGGCTCCGCTTGGTTTGTACTGGGATAGGAAGCGACGAACTGATAACCCAGCCCAAACAGGATTAATTCGGGCGCTGTCCCCCCGTTCAATCGACACCGGTGTTGAACCGGTAACATGTCTTAGGTCAATTTACAGTAAGTGATGTCGATTGGCCGAGTGTTCTAGACTTCTCAAGAATGATGGAGGCTGGTCCAGTTCATTTGCGAATTCGTCGAGTTAAGATTCGTTTTATTGATTTTGCTCTAAAATCGATTGTACGTCGAGATCATAGCGGTGATACATTGTCGGGCAGATTCTGCGGCTGCGAAGCAGCCGCAGGAGATGCCCTTGGAGCGTGCGGATCGCGTAAATATACCGGTAAGTGTGAGCGCTTACAAAACAGCATGGTTTGATATTTTGGCGCAGGTCTTACTAACATGACTAACGAGACCGAATCAGGGGTCGACCAGCGATCCCCTACGAGTCTAGCTCCAGCAGGCCAGTCTCGAGTCCGAGGACAAGTGCGCGTTCCTGTGGTTTGTATGTGCTCGCTCGCGTCTGCCCTTGGCCCCTGCGCAGTTCCACCAGAAGTTCAAGATCTAAGCGATGGCGTCGTCAGGGACCAGGGACAGCGGCAGTCCCGCCGGAGGATCGACAACAGGCTGGATGGACTCACAGATGCCGCAATTCAATGTATCATCGGCGTTAGTGGAACGCTACACCTTTGCCCGACCATAGCTGGCCTAATCCGCAAGCAAAGTTGTCATGAATATTGGAAGTACCAGGAAGTAACATTACATTCCTTAACACGGGTCATCTATTGCGATCAGGCGACAAATCGACGATCTTCGGAGGTCAACCGAAATTCGAAGATCAATAAATTTGCTTATACAGACACGAGATTCGAAGAGGGGTTAGAGCACACGAATCTAAGCATAGTGAGGGGTATCCGGGTCCTGGCACCCGCATTGTTGCTCAGTTATGGGTCGCCGAAGTTGGAATTCTTGTTCAGGGGACAGCATAGTAGGTTCTTCTACATATATGAACGTTTTTGAAGTATTGTTTTGGCACAAGCACCTTGAAATTGAGCGGTGAATCAGGCGTATGTTTTCCATCTAGATGACAGTGGTCAAAACGGCACGAATCGATTCCAAGCTAGATGACGATGTTACAGACTTATTCACTCCTACTCAGGGGTAGTAAGCATTCATATGCACCTACCCATAAAACCAAATAGGCTGTGCATCGATACTCGACTCGGGGGCATCCTCCGAAATCTCACCTGATCGCAAGAGATGACCCGTGTTAAAGTATGATTTTCGTTTCATTCAAACTTGTCTAATTCCGGTTTTGCGGTGAAATGTTAGTAAAGGGGATGTTTCATACGAGGTAGGATAAATGGGGTACAGTAATTTGCCTCAATAGCGTCATGGCTACATATATACGTTCTCTAAGATAATTGCATAGGAGAGGCTAGATGAACTTTCCATTGGGTGGATTGTGTCGTAGACGGCTACTCGTTTCAGCAGGTTATTAGCCATGACTACGCTATTGAGGCAAATTATTGTACACTTTCTCGGCCAATCACACACAGACCACGATTTTCTACCCCAGCTGCCCCGAGATTTGAGCTCGGGCCCATTTATCCTATTAATATACATCGGGCAACCGCATCGTCTTGATCCTGCATTTGGACTGCGACGCTCTTGTGCTAGCACGTTGTGGGTACGACGCTTGTCATGGCGGTCACAACCGTACTGGATCAACCGCTTTTGCCTCATGCAATCTTAGCTCGTGCTTTTGTACACCACCGCTTACCCACGACCCCGCGCGAATTGATTCAAAGCGGCCTGGGCTTCCTCTGGAGTGGAGAACACCTGCTCAGGAAGGCAATCCATATACCACGTTGGTGCGCCCGCAGCATACGAATGCTAGATCGACTGAGTGGAGAGTGGTTGATACTCCGCTGGCGGCAATAACGACCCTGGCAAGGCTGGACGAGATGGTGGCGGTTGATGGGAAGCTACCCAGCCGGGGGCTTGCCCGGTGTAATAGAATCCCGCAACCATCGATGGGGAGCGCATCGGCCGAGGCGATATCGATTTTTGATCGCTTTTCACAGTTGGCTGGACCGTGGGCGATAACGACGTCACTGTAGTCGGCCGGTGCGGCAGCGGCGCCATCGCCAACATGACCAGCTCTATTGGGTCAACTGTTGCCGCTGGGTTCGCCATGGTGAACGGTGGAGTCGAATGAGCTGGCAATGTTGGTAGCAGCTCCATAGTAGAGAACAGAGGCGGCTGTCTTGCTTGCACCACAGGCTGCACAACCGATGTTGCCTGGACTAGTGGCGTTCGCACTTGCACAGATTGCGACCCCGAGGCTACTACGAGATTCAGCCTTCCCGAAGTAAGAGATTGGGCTACAGCCCCAGGTGGGTCTATCGGGTTGGCGGTGGAACACGCTGAGCTTGTGTCTTGAGTCAGGAGTTGTCCCGCTTGAAGAGCCACACCGTTGGACGGATTGAGGGCTGCAAGAAGCTCAGTCGGAGGCGCCAAGCTCGGTAGCGCTGTTGCACCGTCACAGGTTCCATTGTCGGGCAAACGAGGCATAGTGTCCATTCTGGCGAAGATCGGTCTCTTTATCCGTTTGTATTACGAGATGTAATGCTTGGCGTTTGTACTTTTGCTGCTGGTTCTGAGACTTGCTGGTCCAATCAGTTAAGCACCAACAAACAGCTCAAATATGTCAACGTTTTGGACAATGTCTTGTGTCTTGTCGTAAAGTCAGTTGGTCAGTACAGCACCCTCTGCGGTTATCGGGACCCGCTCTGTTGATATCAACTCCCGTATTCCCCACTTCAGAACGCCTCGGGCTGGTGTTCTGAAAAACACGTTTTTCAGAACCCGGAATCAGAATAAGGTACACTGTACCGTTTTCAAACAGCCAATCACTCAAGGATTTGGGGGTCCCAGAACATATTCCGGTACCTGGACCAGGGCCTTATGTACTGTTCTTGCTGACCTGGTGGGGGTGCAGGTATCAAATACCTTCAAAACCAATTTTCTCTGATACATATATGTATGTATAGAGGTTTCCGTGTTCAGAGTTTTCTCCGGCGAAGCACGACTTTTGCCAACTGTATTAACAGGTAATACGTCTCTATGATTTACTTCGTGAAAATTCATGTATTATATTTATAATATGTACAAGTTTTGTGCTTTGCAATGATTTTGGCAATAGAAGACGATATTGTACAAGACGAGGTTTGCTGGATTAATAGCGGCTGTACCTGCTACTGTACACAGCAAAACAACTGCAAAACACAATACATGTTGCACCTACAGTAGCGGTAGTCAGAGTTGGATGCAAGAGCGGTTGCAAGAGAAAAAACGTCAGTGATTGCTCAAAATAATCTTAGAACCCAAGAGATCTTACCCTAGCTACATGTACTGAGGCTCATGGAGTCCAAGAGACGGGTGATGGCGCCGATTGGCTAAATTTACCTCTTGGAGATAACTCTTGCATCCAACGCTGACTACCGCTATTAGTACATGTACCAAAGTTTGTACACCGACGCAGAATAGGAAAACTTCCCGTCAATGCTCAGCACGTGTTCATGGATCGCATTTGTTCGTAGTTCGAAGAACTATCGTAGTGGGGTCTACCAAAGGCGGCGCGTTTTGATCGTGCGACCTTCGGGCGACGTTCGGTAGCCATTCAGGCGGCGTTCGGGCGACATCGGACGGGGATGTTGCGGTCGGTGGGTCACTTGCAGAACGACCGCGACCGCAGAGGATCGAGCGCTCGACAGCGCGCGAGCGCGCTCGCACAGCGCACGCGCTCCGCAATCGCCGTCGGGGACGGCGACAGTAGTTTTAGCGCGAGTCTTGAGTGCTGCAGCTAGTCAAGATGCACACGGTGCGCCAATGCATTCATTGAGGGAGTGACGAAACTTCACGAGTAAAGTCCAGAGGTGCGTGTGCAATGTGCATGCACTTGCAAGGTGGTCGCTAACGTGTTGATTATCGATGTTAGTGACTTTCAAAGCATTCTGGTTCATTGTATTTCGCTGGGAGTTGGGTGGCTGCTTGGATTGGGGCCTCGGTCTGCCACGTTGGCGGTCACTGGCAGGTGGAAACCCGCCAACGTGGCATCGATGAGGCCACTTAGCCGCTCTTCTTCCTGTATCGCGTGCGCCGGTAGCCTGGACCACACTGCCAGCTTCGCTGTCATAGGTTGTAGAGCTAGTAGTCCATTGCGTGTTGTAACCCTCGAGACAAGTAGATAAGTCTGTTGCGGCTTGTTAATCACGGCCATCGACGACTTCCAGTCCACGACGACCATCGACCGCAGCGTTTCCCCTTGGACCTTGTACACGGTCGAGCCGACCGCGCACACGAAGGGAAATTGCTGCGGTCGCACGGTAACGGAGCGCGGCTGGCCGTCGGGCGCTGGCGCGAGCCTGATTGTGGTCTTCTTATAGGCCTTCGTGTTGAAGAAGACAGGAAACAACTCCGGGTCGCCGCCCGGCCGCACCGCGACGGCCTGCGGGCCTGGCACGCGGATCACGGCGTACTCAGGTGCACGGCTTGGCAGGCGCACGACCATCGACGTTGCAGCATCACAGGCGAGCCGGAACTCGGTGTCGACCGGGAAGTGGACGTACTCGAGTCGGCCGAGCGTGCCGTTCGCGATGCCCTTCGCCGTCGTGACGTTCTGGGTCACCTGGATCGGCATGCCGTCCACGAGATCAAGGTACGTGGCCATCCGTCCGAAACGATTGTCGGGGAGACTCAGCACGTACCGCAGGTCGCTCTCACTAAGCGCGTTCAGCGCACCTTTGAAGTTTGCGACCACGCGTGTCGGATAGACTCCGCGTGGCAGGACCAACGCGGTCGCCTTCATGAAGGCGTTGTTGATTGCGAGCCGAGTGGCGTTCTCGGGTGTCACGAACGCGGACGACACGCAGGCACTGCCGCGAGGGATCGCCTTCGTGCAGCTCGTGGTTGCACACGCGGGCGTTGATCATTGCCATGAACTCGGGCGTCCGGTGCCCCAGGCGCGCATTTCGACAGTCTTCTCCCCATTCCGGATCGTCGCGAAAGCGGACCGACTCGTCCAGAACGACGATGGTTGTAACCTGGCGCCACAACGCAAAGCCCTGGAGGTCGGCGGTGCTTGGCCGCGGCTTGGAGGTGGGGTCCAAGTAGATTCGATCCGCCCTTACCGGCGGCATCTGCAGGATGTCGCCGACGAGCACGATGTGCACGCCGCCGAACGGCACGCACTCGACGTGCATGTACCGACGCAACAGGTGGTCGAGCTTCAGCCATTCGGTCTTGTTCATCATGGAGATCTCGTCTACGACGAGTAGGTCAAGCGGCGCAAACTGCTTTTCCTTGGTGGTTTGTTCGAGGCGGATGAGGAAGCTCGCGAGCGTTCGCCCGCTGATGAGCGTTGCCGCCTTACCAGTTTGCGCGGTCTTGATCATGGACTTACTGCGGCGCCAGCCGCTGCAGAACGAGTCGACGGCGTCGATGAAGCGGCTTTTTCCCGTGCCACCGGCGCCGCCGAGGAACATGAGCAACTGGTCGTCTCGCAGTTGGTCCGTGTAGGCGGGCGTTCGGTAGTCGGCTGACTCGTCGGTGGCTGCGCGCTCTTGCTGCTCAAACCGACGGAGCAACGCGGTGGTGATCAAGCAAAAGGCGATGTGCTGACGGTAATTCAGCGTGAATGCAGCCGAGACGCTGCTGATTGTCGGATACGCGTCTACCGCTGGTGGTAGACAGCCGTGTCGCTCGCTAGGCTGTCGTCGCGGCCAAGCCTCCGCCGATGACGTCGCGGACCGAGCTCGAGCTAGAATCCATTGAGTGCTCGGTCAGGTTTACAGCGGGGCTGACGTTTCCTTCCTGACAGCGTTCGGTCGCAGACGAGTGTTGCCGCTTTACTCACCAGCGCACGAGGAAGCTCGCGAGCGTACGTTGCCGCTTCACCGGTCGGCGCTGTAACGACAGCGTTGCCGCTTCACCGGTCAGCGCTGCAACGACATCGTTGCCGCTTTATCGGTCAGCGCTGCAACGATAACTTCGATGAGGGCAAGCATACGACGCCCACAATCGGTATTTCACGACGCCCAACGGATTCAATGCGCATCGCCACTCATTTACAACGGCAGCGCCCAACGAAGGCCGCCGCCGACACCGTGCCGTGTAGCAGCGCAGTTGGCCTCCATATCTCAACTATCGTCCACGACCTCGCCTATCGAGCTAGTTGCATTCGATGCCGCCAAAGAAACACGCCAAGGCCCAGCACTGCGATGAGCCTGTCGCGTCGGCCGCTACGCTCACGTCTGCGGCTGTGGTCGCAGCCCCATTGTCCACGCCCACGATGGTGACGCCTTTCGGCAGACGTTCGCCGTCGATCCCGACGCCGGTACCGATGCCGACGTCTACGCCGATGTCCACAACGATGCCAGACCTGTCTTCGCCTGTGGCTCCTCGGGAAAAGCCAAAGCACGAGCGCATATCAAGCAACCAGGAGCAACTTGAGTACGTCTCGCCCGTCAAGAAGTTGAAGAAGTACCTGGAGGCGCACAAACCGCGCGTGATCGACAACACTAGTCTCTAAGAACCGCCAGTCTGGTTCTGACGTTGTTGCGTGTCTATCATTGTTGAGATTTGCGGACGTTTATTGCCAGCAACGACATGAGTGATCCCCAGATCCGCGGATCTGTGCGGATTCAGGCGCGCCTCTTGTGGACCGCCGAGGACGACACCCACAGAGCGCGCTTCCTGCGCGTCTATCTGGGGGACCAGTGAGCGCCTGAGCCACTGGATGACCAGCAAAAGGTACTGCACTACATCGTCGGTCCACTCAAGCATTATGCGGCTCTGGCACATCATTGTCGTACAGGTCTACCAAGATGCGCAGCGCGAGAACACATTTGAAGCAAACAAATACCTCATCACGCTGTCACTATACGACATCAAGAAGGATAATCCGATGCTACCACCACCGGGCTCAATCGTGACGGTCGTGACGACTAAGCCCCGCATTTACAACGATTGCTGCCAGATCGACAGCAAGCTCCACATGATCTCGACGATCGCTCCACCATGAAGCGGTCGTCGCCGCAACACGGTTGTCGATGTCGCCGCCGCTACTGCCGGAGCTACTACGACTAGCTACTGCTGCAGTCAGGCCCGCGGGACGGAGCGCCGCACTCATGGATTGATCATTCACGCACTCTGCATTCGCCTGCGGAGCATTCGAGATTCCCGCCATAACCGATTCAACAAATCAGTAGCTACTACATCCGTCTGCCAGCTCGAATCATTCACTATGGAATTCTGAAACCAACGTCCGCGCGCAGACATTAGCTTGCCCCCCCCCCCCCCCAACTTCGAACTACGCATCCCCAGGCTTCAGCCTGGTCTCCAATATGGTCCTTCGTTTTTGTTTGTGACCAGCACCTATTAATACCCTCGGATGAAACACCCCCTAATCAATCCCATCCCAGCCTTCGCGAAGCCCAAGTTTAATCACGTTGCTAGTTAAGAGTTGCATTAGAATTGTTTGATGAGACCACTTTTTGGTCTCATCAAACAATTCCCCGTGATTAAGCTTTTATGCGCGACTTTTGGTGAGGGTTTTGGAAGGCGCCCAGTAGTGGTTGGTGATGCTTTCGGACTTTGCGCTAACGTTGTATAAAGATTACAAAACAAAACTCACAACTATTAATCCCTGAGATTATCTTCAGCTGATGCTTCGGGATGTCTCCATATATTCGATTTACTGTGCTGTACGCAAGAGATCGGCCCACCATCGAGTTGCCCCGCTAGTATTATTCTTACCCACGCATGCTTGGTTAGCCGTATAATACCAGCCACACCAGCGCGGTCTGTGTGACACGCAATTCACCTATCACTTCATTCTACAATAGCCTACAAACCTCGCTGTGGAGTGTTGAGACGATGGATACCGAGGAGGACGCTGACGACGCAGCTCGCCAGACAGTGACAGCTTAACCGACAGCAGGACCCAATGACCACGTCAACACTACACCTGCATAATCGCCGCCGCGTCAACGGCGCCATGCATAATCCTGGGCTGCTGTCACACATGTACCTGGTACTGCGGAGCTGTAGGGCGGGCACATCCGGTATGCGCCTCACTTTCGTCTTCGCGCTTGTCGTCACCCTCCATGCCAGTGGTGCATCGCTCCCTTCGGCCAAGGATACCAACACTATGGTTCAGAACGATGCGTCTCCTGCTGTCACGGATTTGACCGGCGCGGACGGTGGACGGATGCTTCGTCGTGCCGAGAAGGACGAAGATGATAGCGAAGAAGAGAGAAGGCTTTTCTGGAGTAAACTTAGGGTGAAGCTTAAACTCACCAATATAGCCAAGGAGGCGAAGATGCCCGACAAAATCAAAGAGTTCCTGAAGGAAGCAGCCGACGAAAGGAAGTCTCTTGAACAGGCGGCGTTGATGCTTAAAGAAACCACTTAGTTGTTTTGCAACGACGCATGTTACTACCGCAGGCTAGAATTAGAATGGAACAGAATGCGTGCTATCGGCTTCATACTGGGGGGGGGGCTAGGCACACATCGCCAAACTAAAAGCTCGACTTCGCCAAGTGTACAGGCAAGTAACACTTGACACACCGCTTACGAAGACGAGATATCCGGAATGGCAGGTGGCGCAATGGATGCAAGCGGCGCTGCCGACAACGGCACAACCCGCCACTGGTACCTTGGCACCTACAACTAGGCATCCGGTGGGCCTATTTCATGGCCGATCAACGCACTGCAAGCCAGAGGTCGAAAAAATAGTGCAATACAATAAATAATCAGTGTTTCCAATACTATTTTTTATTATTGGCCTGTGCTGAGATCAATACAATATGAAATTGACCCAATTATTGACAATAAATTTGTTAAAAGTAACTACGTGGTCAGATTAGCCTGAAATAGACCCAACATATGTTCTAAGCTGCAGCTTCTTGGTCAACATAACCCCCACCCTGGAGTTATAATCGATAAGTACGATGCACATACTGATATCAATGACATGCATAAAGTTTGTCTGCAAATAACTCCATTCAGTACCGATTAGATAACACTAAGGATTAGAATATGGAATAGTAGGGGCGGTAGGAAGACCTACTGACAAGGGCTACCAAGAGCGCATCATCTCGTCTAAGACCCCTCTGCGCAATGGCTGCCAGGGATGATGTATATTATTCCATGTATTGTGCTTTGCAGTTATTTAGCCGACGATTTTAGACGCTAAATATGACAAAGCCTGCTCCTAAATATTTGTGAAAGAAGATACACGACCTGCTAAAATTATGCATAAATCCACCTCCTCATATATTTATCGACTTGGGAGGGCCTGTCAGCAGCCATGCATTGGCCCAGTAGACCACCGTCCATGATCCCCAGCTCATCCACCCTCTTATGCATAATTGCCGTGTGTGTAGGTGCTTGTGGATAAAACCCGACAGAATTGCAGCTGCACAGCCACAATTGCACTTTCAAAAGTGCAATTGTGGCACTTTTAGCGTAATTCTAGGCCTCCACCCATTTATGCACCTCGATTTATCGTATATCTAGCAGGTGGTTGCTATAAATACAGCAAATCTCGCCTCATATTGCCAAAATCATTGAATGAATAAATGATGTACGTGTTCGCGTAGCCATATTACACCTGCGCTAGGCTCAACTTAGCTAGTCGGCGGCATAGTGTGGTGTCCGCATACGTCGAGTCACCAGTAGCTGACAGCGAGTCAGCAATTCCAGCCATCAGAATCTTCCATTTCAGTCTGTCACCAGCAAGTGTGCGGAGTCCCTCGAGATCTTGCGCGTTCCGAAGTCGGTAGCCTTGGCCACTGGCTACGAGGTCAGCGTCAAGTACGACAGGAAGGGTTGTGCGGGGGCGACCGCGCCATTGGTCTGCTTCGCTGGGGGCGTAGTAGGCAGCCATTTGTGTGTAGGCACGGATGTCCGGCCGTCGGAGAATGTGTCCAAAGAGTCCCCATCGGGCTGCCACGACTCGGTGGCGACAAAATCATTGCAAAGCACAATATTGTGCCTTTCACTTATTCTGCCGTGATAATTATGGCAAACTCTAATCCCTCATTGACCTTAATTATGCCCCGAGTTAGCTAATTCCCATGTTAATTCCGGGTCGTCTATTCGTGGCCGAATTAGGAGCGGCGATGGCGAGGCCGAGTTAAGGCGGAATAAGCTAATCCAGTCTGCTTTTGGCGGAAACAGAGCAATTGGCGGTTTCCTACCCGCCAATCATGCCACCCTGCTCGTATTGGCTCTCGAATGCTGATCGCGGAGGTTCGGGGAAGCACTGACAATCTTAGGCAGAATTAGCACTAAATAAGCGTTGATCGCCCTTTTATGACTCTAATTCCGCCTGAATTAACAGCTCACCCGCCAAAATACGTGAAAGGCACAATATTGTGCTTTGCAATGGTTTTGGCAATATGAGGCGAGATTTGCTGTATTTATAGCAACCACCTGCTAGATATACGATAAATCGAGGTGCATAAATGGGTGGAGGCCTAGAATTACGCTAAAAGTGCCACAATTGCACTTTTGAAAGTGCAATTGTGGCTGTGCAGCTGCAATTCTGTCGGGTTTTATCCACAAGCACCTACACACACGGCAATTATGCATAAGAGGGTGGATGAGCTGGGGATCATGGACGGTGGTCTACTGGGCCAATGCATGGCTGCTGACAGGCCCTCCCAAGTCGATAAATATATGAGGAGGTGGATTTATGCATAATTTTAGCAGGTCGTGTATCTTCTTTCACAAATATTTAGGAGCAGGCTTTGTCATATTTAGCGTCTAAAATCGTCGGCTAAATAACTGCAAAGCACAATAGTATATATATATATATATATACGATCACATGTAGTACGGAACTCACATGAGTTTTACTACTGTACGCTCCATAGAACCTCCTCAAATATATATGTCACCTGTTCAATCCGATATTTTTTTGCCCTTGTTATATGATAATTCAATATAAATTTCAATATAAATTGCGGCAATTTTTATTAGTGCTTATCGTAAAATTGCAGTTTTTATTTGTGGCCAATGTTGACCCCAATTCAATATCATACTGTATTGGCGGACCTCTGCTGCAAACGGAACGGGGGTATGGTCTTTGAGTGGGTGGGCACGACGGCGCCAGGAAAACCCTGCATAATGGCTGGGGACACAGGAGGATGCTGGCATCGGCTTGCTGTTCAACGAACACGGCGGCGCTAAAGTCGCTTTTCTACTTACTGACCAGAGCATCGAAGCTAAATTTGCGCGGGATTAACGTGGCCGGAGACGCAATGGTGGTGATCCGATACCTTCGCGACAGACGGAGAATTTTAAAACCTGGTACCTTCAGCGCCGACGGCTAGCAGATCGGATTCGGGTAGATGCCTGACATCATATCTACCCGAGCTCTAATACAGGATGTGTGCTACTCGCTTCGGACGGACCGACAGTAGTCGATTGTTTGACCAGCAGCTTACCCTCACTGGAGCAAGCTATACGACAATACATCTCTAATATAGATGTATTATTATTATGCTCTCGCGCGGACAACTGGAAGCGGGTAGCCATTGTGGCAGCCGAAGGCAGAACTAGATAATGCCAAGTTGCTGGTCTTTTGACTGGCTAGGTTGCTAGGATTCTTTTAAGCAATTCCATATACCTCATCCTCATGGAAAGCACTCAGCTGGGCACCAACTGCAAGGATCAGTACCTATATAATCCACAACAGACTGTACCAAGCAACACTACAAAACTCGGGAGCAAAAGCAACGATTTTATTCTTTTCCCACTCGAGTTTATTCCCCACCCAACTCGTGTGTTTGGTCTCGTAGCGTGATTCTAGCATTTAGTGGGGACACCGATTCGCGGTGATGCACGTGTCAGTGGCCATACCCGACATGTGCCGTCGCAAAGCAACTAGAAAATGCCGTGTTTGGCCTTCAGAGCCTGCAATTGGAGCCAAGCGTTGTGGTCGCCTGCTTCCTTCAGAGCATTTTCGATTTTTTCGATATGCTTCTTAGCCTTGGCTGGATTGAACTTCGCGAACAACTGCTTGATGGAAAACCCTCGATGTCTTCGTACTTCTCGACACGACGAAGCATTCGTCCGCCATTCCCGTCGATTAAATCGGTGGCAGCAGGAGACGCATCGTACTTGATCACAGTGTTGGGATCCTTGGCCGAAAAAATTGACGCACCACTGGCGTGGACAGTCACCGCAATGAGCAGCGCGAACATGAAAGCGAGGCGCATACTGACAGTTGGGTCTTGAGAACGCAGCGGAGAAAGTAGGTCGAGGGAGTGTTTGGTTTTTGCTTGTGGGGTTGCAGAGCAAATTGCGGAATGAAGTGTGCGAGAGCTTCTGTTTTGCGGAGCTTGGACGTCAGGCAGGGCGTGTATCGCGTACGCACGTACGCACACAGTGGACTACATGGAACGGTGGGCTACATACGATAGATAAATATTGCGGTCGCTCGCGAAGATGCTTTGTCCATGCCAGTAGTGATATTCAGATCCTAATAACGTTTTGCTTATGCAGGTATTATATATGATTGCGGTATTGTTTCGTGCGAATCGCCATTTGTACGAGGATTAAAATATACACATTTGGAATATACAAAATGTTAACATTATACTGATACCAAGGCCAAACACTAGTTTTGTGCGAGCTTTTTGTCAAGCTGCTGTGTGTAGGACCATAGCTACGCATCATACTAGGTGTGAACTAATTGATGTTATAAGCGTGCAATATGTGAGCAACGACCGGGTAGTCAATGCGGTATTTCGAATGTAAAATAGCAGCGGCCAATGCTACCACAAAATCAAGAAAACGATCGTTGATTGAGATCGATTTGCAGATTGTAGAAAATGCTAATGCTAACCTTTGCGCTAGTGGCATTGTACAGTAGTCAATCGTTCTCTCCATCAATTCGTACGGTACAGGGTTTAGCATATGTCACTGAGTCATACAGGTGCTGTCGGTAGTTCGATCTGACCACGCATATAAACCTGCACCGGGGACATACCGGTTTCCAAGGAGATGGCAGCAGCATACATATCGCTACCGGTAATTACTGTTATCCCAGCATAAGACTATACATCTGATAAAGTTTGCTAGCCCCCCCCCCCCCCCCCCTCCGCCAAAATTTAGGAATTGGTTTAGGATTGAGAAAATGGCGGCGGAAATCGCTCCATTACCGCAAAACCCGGATAAATGCAGCACCATTTTACTATAAGACAATGTATGGTGCTGCATTTTTCCGATAGGTGCAGTAAATTCAAGTAGAACCTGATGTGATCAAAACACGGTACCAAGTTTAGATTACGGATCACTTTACGGTTGAACTTGAGAGCAGGCGAGGCTCGACAGCCGTCCCTGCTGGACGCGTGGGATTTCAGAATCAACCAACTCTCGAAGCCACTTCACCCCACGCGACCTCCACAATGCCCAGGGAACGAATTCCTCTGTCCTACACCAACGCTTTCAAGCTGCAACTCGTGCTCGACTACATCGCCGCCGCCAAGGACGGCATGACCAGAAAAGCGTTTTGCACGCTACGCGATGTCAAACGCTCAACGCTGCAAACATGGCAGCGGAAGCTCAATAAGCTGATCGCTGTGTCGGAGCGCCGAGGAACAGCCCACCCGTCTCGCGCAAACAGGCTGACACTTGGAGGCAGCGGCCGAGTCTCACCGTCCGCGCCTGTCAAAGACGCCGTTGTGACCTTCATCAAGGCCGCGAGGCGGGAGGAACAAGTGGTGACGCGCGACAGGATAATCGCAAAGGCAGCGGAGCTGGCGCCGGCGTTCATGGAGGGCAAAAGCGTCGACGCCCCCGGGAAAAAGGGACTGGGATTTTGCCATCGCTGCCGGATACAGCCGACGGCTGGGAACAAGAGAAAGTAAAAAAAAACAGCTGGAAGCGCTAGCATCACGCATTACAAGAACACGCATGCATAGAACAGTGCGGGTTATTCTGGCGTCAGGTCGACAGCAGAGCGTTGTACGTCATTGCGAAGCACTGTACCGCAAAAACCGGATAGATGCAGCACTCGCAAAAATGCAGCACTCCGTATCGGTTGTATAGAAAACAGTAGCCAATCAGCGTTAACGGAGAGTTACCTGTCCCATCACCTCATCTCGTTTTGAACGAATCGTCAAAAGTGGATAGACTTGAAATTTGTATTCAAAGAGTTACCGTACTAATTTGATTAAGTACGTTTGCACGAGATCTCAACCGTGACGTGGAGGGCCGCACTGGACGAATGGCCCAGCCTTGTGAAACGCGTTGCGCACTGTGTCTTCGGTGATCCTCTCCCAGCCCGATATCGCGCGGCAGTACATGCCGTATCGACGCTCAGCTGATGTTATCTTGCGGGGTCTTCCAGCTGGACGGTTCGAGTAGCACTTGCGAATGTGCTGTTTCAACGGCGCCATGACGCCAACATCCAGCGGCTGGACCACCCCCGTGCAGCCACCGGGCACGAACTGCACGGCCGTCCCAGTGCACGCCAGTGCATCGAGCACTTCCGCCATCTTGTGAACCTTCAAACTATCTAATATCAGTAGCGATGGCTCCGTCACGATAGGCTTCCACGCGTTTTCGATCCAGTCGAGCATGACTCGAAGATCGAACCACGCCTTTGCCTGGACCGAAAACGTGGCGACTTCCTCCTCGCAGTAACTTCTGACCTCCCTCTCGACGTCGCCACCAGGCTGTCCTTGGAACACAAAATGCGGGGGGAACTTGCGCCCATCGGCCGCAACAGTCACGGCCATGGTGCAGCGGTAGCTGTCGCTTCCTTCCGTCAGCGTTGACACGCGCGTAGCCCCAACCACCCCCACCGTAGTTCGCGAGGCCATCGTACTGTAAATGGACGTTTGGTCCATATTGAAAATGGTTCGTTTAGGCGCGAGGCCCAGGCGGGGGTCGAAACAGTGCTCCTGGGCGACTTTCAGCACCTCCGAGACAAACGAGAGCCTTGCTTCTTCTAGATCGCTTCTTGTCTTTCGTCCAGAGTGGATGATGCGGCGAATCGTTAGGCCGTTGTGACGTATGAAGCGCGTGCACCACTAAAACGTCAAAAGGTGTATGAATTTGAAACGTTTTGTCAAAAGCGGTTAACACGTGCCATTAGGTGTATGCTAGGTTGTCGGTATGACAGTATGTGTATGTGGTTTTAAGCGCACTAAGGTGCGTGATAAAGCTGCATCAGCAACGAATGTGGTGACTGGTGTGTGGGCTTATATCCAAATCCATAAAACCCGGGGTTAGGAAGTAGCCCGGTTCGTGGTGTCCATGACTTTGGTAGCGAATTGTACGGCTGAGGGACACCAATGAACGTCGTTATCCATTGTAGCCAGGCCTCAGCGTTGCCATAATTCTACAATACCTACACTCTCCCCCCGGTTGGGGGCTCTCGCTAGAGCTCCTTCACCTCCGAAATTCAGATGCAAAACCTACCTAATATAGCCATGCTATACACGCTTGCGTTGGTAGTTCCTTGTAGCTACAATAGCGAAGTTGTCGAGTACAGTTGCTCTATATGCTATTATTAGTTGACCGTGTTCGCTACAAGCGTGTCGTTAATAAACTACTGTGCTTGAAAGCTCAATCCTGGGTCTGTATGACCCTACCTCGGCCGAACTGGGACGCCACTGGGACTTGGTGGGACTTTTAAACCGGTAGCAGAATTTCTGAACCGGTAACACAAAGAAAGGTCCATTTCGGCTGGATATCTTTCGGATAACTATTCGGTTCTACCAATAAGCACTCGGTTATTTCCGATTCACATCCACGGCCCACGAAGTCCCGGGAATTGGCCGTCAGATGATACTGGTGTCATTTTCCAAAACCCGACGTTGCCAACCCTGGCTTCTATTCGTCAGAGTGTCGTTCATGGCGGTCACGGCGTACCGGTACCCGTACTTTAGCTCACCAGTACTTCTCTCGCCCACTTAAGAGTCGACAATTCAATTTAACCTCCTTTTTTGCGAACTCACCTGATTGGTTAAATATACGGTTTCAGCCATATCATTGGGTACAAAGTTTGATTAGAGTACAAGCTCACGATATTGCTTAGAAAAACCTCAAAATCTAGACGAATACCACACCTTCCGCACGCGTTCTACAACGGCGAACTGGACAATACTGTATTGACAGCTAACTAAGCTTTCCAATGATAGCATTTTGGTATAATATCGCCAAAAAATATAGCCATTTCGCAAAAAAATCTAATCTTACCCAAAATCGGGCTTACGAAATTTGTTCTGTTTCCCATAATCCTGCTTTTTTGAGCAGCCAATAGTATAACGCGAAAACCCCAAATCCCAGCTTTCTTTTGAGCTAATATTTGTCTCCGACAGATTGTTTTTGATTTTTTTAGAGCGGAAAAATAGAAATGTCGATTTTTAGGTGGGCCAGAGAAGTATGTTTTTGGTTTCTGACGGGGTTTGTGTGTTTGGTGTTGTTCAGTTTAGTTTGTCGTCTATCTGCCTTGATTGGCGATCTTTGCTTACATGTTAGCTACCAAGTTCCCGTCCCGAATATCTGGTCCATGCAAAAATGGTTTTTGCACGGACCTAAACATATTTTTTTAAGCACAGTCTCCTTTTTGTTTTTAGCAGTGTTGCAAGTGTTTCACGACTGTGGGCCACAACTATTAGGGCTCCGCGAAGGCTGGGATAGGAGAATTTTGGTATAAACCCCTTCTTTTTATTTTTTATTATATTTTTCTTATTAGCTACGGTCATCTCTGGCGCCTGCTTTGCAGCCGCAGCATCTGCCCGGAAATTTGCCAGCTCAAACTGTCCACCGGCAATGCTTTACTTCGAAACTTGGTTGATATCTGTTTATAGCTTATAGAAATATCCAATTGCTTACCTTTAGTCTTTACTTCATTTCGTTCATACGTATCCAGACATATACCGATTCATACTAGTGTTGTCGGTACTGCAATATTTGGCACCCCTCCCTAAAGCAGTTTTGAAAGGTTCCAAATTTTGCAGTACTGGTCGAAACGTAAGCTGTAAAGATGGCTGTCGAAGTAAACAAGCGTGCTAAGAAGCTGACTGTTGGTGGTAGTGGTCGCATCTCCTCCTCATCATGTGTAGAGGAAAAACTCCGAGGCTGGATCAAAGGCGAGCGGCGCGAAGAGAGGCCTATACTGTCTACGTTCTGGCTGTACCTCAGTGGCCCACCCCTTGACGACGTCAATGGGGTGGGCGTCATGTCGCCGTTTAAAAGGTAGACTCCAAAGCCGCTTTGCAGCGCTCTATTTGCGCCAGCACCACCTCAGCAAGCTTAGCAACACCGGTACGACATTTTTCAGCGCTCGATGCACGCTCTAGGGACTACCACAGCTGTGAATATGCAAGTTCGTTTGCGGAGACCGGTCCGTTCTTTCCTTTTGGGCCTGCGCCAAGCGCTTCCCCGCGAGCTCTTCTCCTGTTCTTGTACGAAACGCCCTCGATGCTAATGAGGTCGTTTTTGCTTGTTGCTCACAGGCCGGTCTCAGCCACAGAAGTAATTATGTAAGCACATAATTAGTGTGATCCACATTGTTACAAAACACGGTTGAAAATACTTGAAATGCACGCTGATTGGTCAGCCCTTAATACAGGCGAGGTCACCCGTGCCAAATCTATCAGACTTTTGCGTTAGTGCACCGGTTCAGCCTGCCCACGCATATAAACCTCGTATCAGAGTCGTACCGGTTAATTTGTATTAGACTTTAGCATTATTCTATCTTGGTAGCTGCGCGCCGAACACCCTCCGCGCTTTAGTAGATAGATTAAATATCGCTGCACAAGCCACTTGCATATTAACTAGAACACCGAGCATTCTGCTATCGGCAAAGACCCTCTCGGAGGAGTCCTCCTTCATCCAAACATTTCAGAGCTGGCACCGCTGTACTTAACATTTACCCTTAATCTCTGGAAACGAATATCCTACTCAACTAGTTTGGCACTCCATCGAAAAAAACCTCTACTTTTCCGTGAAACCACGCGATTTCTGAAATTATTAACTTACTTTACTTGATTTCAGTATACTTTTACTTCATGTGCGCCACATATCAGGTGCATTGAATTAATCCTGGTTGGGCTGTCCATACTTCGTAACCGAAGCACTACCAGGATAATACTTTGGCATATCAGTTGTTTTACCATTTGAGGATCTACGCCAGTATTGGTAATTTCAAAAGCAGACAGCCATCATTTGATGTCATCCCGTTGTCAAGAAAGCCCCGAACTATATGGACTTGCCGCAGTTCGCAGCACAAATGCAAGTATACCGGTAGATGGAATAGAAGCTTGCTTACACGCAATTATGCCAAAAAAAATCTCCCTTGGTGTGCCACCCAGCTGGCTCAAGCGCACTAAACAACAGGGTCTAGTGGCGGTGGAAAAAGCGTCGCATTAGCAGCAAGGAAGGTATGCAACATGCGTTGCGTAATACCGCATCGACTACCCCACACATTGCACGCATATAACGTCAATTAGTTCACACCTAGTATGATGCGTAGCTATGAGATTAATAGGTGTGTAGGACCATTGGCAGGTTGCCTCAGCACCACAGTAAGTTTGATTTTTGCCAAAAGCTCATTCAAAGAAAGCCCTCCTCTCTCATCATCGACGCTGTCTTGGTCCTTCTCGACACGACGAAGCGTCCGTCCGTCCGCCAGCCGCGTCGCTTTATTCGGTGGCAGCAGGAGACGCATCGTTCTTGATCACAGCGTTGGGGCCCTTAGCCGAAGAAAGCAACGCACCACTGGCGTGGACAGTCACCGCAATGACCAGCGCGAACATGAAAGCGAGGCGCATACTGACAGTTGGGTCTTGAGGACGCAGCGGAGAAAGTAGGTCGAGGGAGTGTTTGGTTTTTGCTTGTGGGGTTGCAGAGCAAATTGCGGAATGAAGTGTGCGAGAGCTTCTGTTTTGCGGAGCTTGGACGTCAGGCAGGGCGTGTATCGCGTACGCACGTACGCACACAGTGGACTACATGGAACGGTGGGCTACATACGATAGATAAATATTGCGGTCGCTCGCGAAGATGCTTTGTCCATGCCAGTAGTGATATTCAGATCCTAATAACGTTTTGCTTATGCAGGTATTATATATGGTTGCGGATTAGTTCCGCGTACTAAACGGATTAACCCCACGTAGTTTGCTGAAACGTTAATTCCGCGTATATTATCAGGTGGTATGTCTCAAAAAATCACATCGAGGATTTGTTGGCAGTGCAAGCTTGTTGGCTGGGTTCGTGAAGGACTACTTTGGTACAACATGCACTTTGGACGCTGTTATTAGGCAGGGTGAAGCGAGAGCCGATGTAGCTTAATGTACCATGATGCCTGTCACCAACGGTGCAGCTTCCGTCAGCTTCGGTTTGGTAATGTAAGTTGCTTACTGTTCAATTGTGACTGCTGATGTGGTGACTGGCCACACAACAGGTACGACCTGAGATGCACAGGCATCTACCTCTACTCCCGCATCGGTCGTACGTCTCACCTCTATAATGCCACCGTATGGGTCGCAGACACTCGGCTAGCCAATAGCTAAACACTGGAGGTCGCTATTGGCGAAGGTTTTACATATAAGGTCAGGGAGCCATTGGAGAGGCTCAAAACTGCTCTCACCACTTCATCCGTTTTATTTTTGCTTAGCCGTAGGGGCTAGCGAAGGCATTGTTATAGAAACAGAGAGGGGCACCAACCTCCCAGATGAGCCCTACGCGCAGGTAATCTCTGTATAAAACGCTACGTGCTGGTAACCCGAATGAATGATACACTCGGGAGTAATCCCTTTTCTACGTGGTTTTAATCCTCCCTCATTATATATAATCAGGCCTCCCTAATTGGGGGAAATGCAGGATTTCCCCCAATTAGATTAATAGGGGGACGACTTAAGGATTTAAAATGGGTGTGGTGGGGGACGATAGTGAAAGTAAGATAATATCTTAGGGATTGGCATAGCCGGTGCTAATTTGGATTCAACCTACGATATTCAAAGTGTTACGGTTCATCCGCATCCGAATTAGCTAGAAACGAATGGTCAGCGAAAGAATTATATATCACTAATCGTGATAAAAGTTTTGACTAGCTCTGTAACTTTGCTTGATCGGTAGATATCATGTCGCGAGTGCCCTGGATGGGACGGTCAAGCGTTGTATGGAAGCTAGAACGGTTAGGCAGTGGCACAAATAGCGAGAAACAGAGCTAATATGCAAAAGCAATCAACTTGTTCTCTCCAGTGCAGATTCACGGCTGACCCTACTTCCTTACCGCGCACGGAGCCTGACAGCTCGTGCTTCCTTCTTCTTTCGGCTCTCTGTCGGCTCACGTGCCGACTTCAACACGTCACCGGCTCACCTGGCTCTCGTCCCACCCCTTCGTCCTTGGCTCACCTCACAGCTCACGTCCCGAGCCACGCGGTGCTCGTGACCTCCGTCCTGCCCTTCGCGTCACTGCTCACCTATCGCTCGCGTCCCTGCTTCCATCGCAGCCGAGCGCGCCACCTAACCGACGCGTCGCCAGTCAGCGCCCCTCCGAAATGGATGACTGCCCGCTCACCGCATCGTCTAACAGCTGATCCTCCAGAAGTCGATCGCTGGCCGAACGGTCGTCCGTGTAGTAGGAACTGTGGTGACCGTTCCTACTCGGTACGTCCTCCCCGACTGAAACTCGACGTCCTCGTCGTGCAGCTTCCAGCTTGTCGGCTTGCATCTTGGCACGCAGCTCTCGCTGTTCGGCGCGCAACCCACTGAGCGTCCTCACGGGTTTCTTATCGCCTACGTAGCCGTCCGCACGCCACAACTCTTCGCTCAAGCGCTCAGCTCTTCCAAGTCTTGCTGCAATTGCGGGTAGCGGTCCTCGGCCATCTTCAAGGGCGCACGCCCACCCGAAGTCGCCTCATACCATTTCAGCAAGTGGCTGGCTACACAGGTCGCCACCACATAGCAACTCCACCGCACTACCGTCTCGTCGGGCACGAGTCCGTCACCGATGGCTAGACCTCCATCAGCCAACATATAGTTCAGCGTCAACAGGAGCACTGCGACGCCCACCGTTCCTTGGCACACTCGCTCCACGAAGTCGTACACGAACACTACCGTGTAGAAGAGGGCGTGAGCCAGCAGCGACACGAACGCCCAGAACCCACGACACACACAGCTCGCACGGTCGACCGTCCGTCTGCACTCTGCCTTGGATCCTTTCCAGTACTTGGCCGTCAACTTGCAGCTGAGCTCTAATACGTCAGGCAAGGAGACGCACCACAACGCGTGATACGCTTCCAACCACTTGTGTAGCAGCCTGCCGAGGCCTTCGGTGTACTCTCCACGAGCCTCGAACACGATCATTGTAACAGGGTTACACGCACAAGTGGCTACAGTCACTTGTAACTCTAACAGACATGACGTCTGTTAGAGGTTTGAAAGACTTTCTCGACTTTGGTGTAGACACACCAAAGGCTACATACATTAACGATCACCACGACGGGTGGTCCATAGAGACTTAGGATTCCTATTGGTTGAGAGCAGCATCTTTTAGCCAATGAGTGACATGCATAGCATTGGAATTCTGCCAACCAGCCGTTGGCAGATTCCTATCTTAGAATATTACATTTAGAGGAAGTCAGAAACATAAAACAAAAATAGCAGTTCTCATTTTAACCCAAAAACATTATTTGGTTCGTTTATTTAGATTAATCTATACTCGGAGGCCCGAGTATAAATAACTCTAATTTAAACTAGGCTACGCTTCCTCACATACACGCGCACACGTGTAAGCTAAAGTAGTGGGCCAAAGTAGGCCCATTACACCTGGTAGCACTTTGTAGTCCGTCCAACGACCGACTACCTGAGTTCGTACGTCACCGCACGAACGCGGAGCTGAGAACCTTCCCATGGATACGGAGGTGTCCAGGGAAAGCTCCACTACCCCTGCAACTCAAGTTGCACGCGCTGACTGTCCCCACCTGTCGGACCCAGAGTGGGAAGCTCTCCAACGACTGTCAACAGTCATTGGAGAGGCGGCTGTAGCTACGATGCTGCGTACGCTAACGCCGACAGAGCAACACAGTGTTGCTCTGGGATTCATCCTGAAGGAGCAACGCGATGTTGCTGCTACTACCGCGGTGTCGTCCGGGACGACACCACGCTCAATCGCTGAAGCTCAATGTGAGCAACTATGTCGGAAGAGAGGGTGAACCTCTCCTCCGTTGGGTTGTCGAACTAGACACTGCCATTGCGGCTCGACGTATCATCGACCCGTTGTCGAAGGTTGCGTACGCCATGTCATGCCTTGGCGGACGTGCAAGAAGTTGGGCGTATGGACGCCGACTCTCGGGTCCTACGTGCTTTAGCACGTACGAGGGTTTCAAGGAGGAGCTCAGACAAGCATTTGAGCCCCCGCAAAATGAGTTCCGGTCGAGGGCGGAGTTCCTCGACCTGCAGCAGGGCAAGCATGATGTCCATGCTTACGCTCAGAGAGCACGGTACTTGGTCTCGAACATTGTGACCAATCCGATCGACGAGGCGACCAAGGTCGTCACGTTCATGAAGGGACTGAGAGATGGGCCTGTGAAGATCTATCTCTTTCGTGAGTACCCGAGTACTCTCGAAGCTGCAATTACTCTTGCAATGCAGGAGGAGTTTAGCCTGCGGCAGGCTAAGCAGCATGCACATGTGCCGAGGCCACAGCCACGCCCGGTAGTGAGGACGGGAGGCCCAGAACCCATGGACCTCTCGAGTGCTGCAACTGCTGGATCCCAGCAGTCGCAGGGAAACAATGTGCGATGCTACCGTTGTGGTAGAGTCGGTCTCTTTGCTCGGGAGTGCACGTCCGTGCACCAGCAGGGTGGCTATCGCGGCGGTGCCGGGCACCGTCGCAACCAAACAAAAAACACTGGACGCCAGTAGGCGCGGGGCGCCCTACTGGTATCGCAGTTCCGCGTATCGACCTTTGACACGCGACACTGAGGACTGCAGCCCCCAGTGAGACTCATTATCACTGCAAGAACCAAGATGACAAGCCTGACCTTGTCATCCTGAATGTGGACTCGATGAGAGCAAGTGGCTCTCTCCGTGCTTTGGTAGATTCTGGCGCGTCGAAGAACTTTGTTCGACTGCGAAGTCTATCAAGGCTTGACTTCGAGGATTTAAAGATACCTCGAAGTATGTTGGAAGTACGACTAGCAACGGGTGCCGTCGTGAAGACCGAGAAGCGCATGGTACGCGTGCGCTTCACGTATGAAGATCAAGAGTTTGTCGAGACCTTTATCGTCCTGGGTCTGGACGATGAGTTTGACATTGTATTGGGCATGCCGTGGCTTGCACGGCATGATCCGGTCATCGATTGGGAGAAGCGCACTCTCGTGCGCTTCGGTCGCGACAGCGGAACAGTGAGCGATGGCCCTGTTGCCGCTACGCACGCACCGACAGGTGTGCGCGACTCCCCACTCGAGACAGCGCCTAATGCCACTGTCCCGGAGCGCCCTGGGCGCGCGCGAGCACGCGCGCAAGAGCAGCTAGCGTCGGTGTTGCCGCCAACAGCTAATGAAGGAAATGTGTTGACCTCGGAGGTCGACACCCGCTTTTCAGCGAATCAGGAAAAGTCTCCGGCTTCAAGGGGCACGGATGACGCAGGCGAGTCACACGCCTCAGCCGTGGAGGCTGACGCGAATTTGATTGGATCAGTTTTGGCCAATCATAAGAGCCAAGGTGACGAAACGCCGTCGACTCCGGGAGTCGACGGCTTGCGTGAATTTGATTCGTCGGCTCGGGGAGCCGACGCACCCTCCGTATTGGGGGTCTCCGCCAACGGTTGGCGTCGAGGTATTGAAGTCGCATCGACTCCAGGAGTCGATAGCTTGGACGAATTTGATTCGTCGGCTCGGGGAGCCGATGCACCCTCCGAACTGAGGCAGTTCTTCATGGAGACCACCACTGAGAGCGAGGACACTCTCAGTGCGAAAACGAAGAAGGAGCGCTTTGAAGAGCAGAGCTGGGACTCGTTGAAGACGAGTCCCTACTACGAGATCTTACGGGAGTGTGCGGACGTACTACCGGAAGAGATTACTGCGGAGCTTCCGCAGGACAAGGGCATCCAGCACGAAATTGATCTCGTGCCGGGGACGAAGTACTGTGTCACGCGGCAGTGGCTACTGCCGCGAGAGCAGGTCAAGGCGATCGACGACTTCTTTGAGAGTCATCGCAAAGCTGACAAGTGCGGGAATCGAAATCCCCGCACAGTGCTCCGACGTTCTGTGTCAAGAAGCCACAGGGTGGTTGGCGCATCGTTCATGCGTACAACAAGCTGAACGATGCGACGATACCGGCGCAGACACCGATACCGCGAAAAGATGTCATCATCGATTCGATGGCCAGGAGCACTATCTACAGTGCTCTTGATCTGCGCGAAGGGTTCTATCAGATCCTCATGCGAGAGAGCGATATCCCTCTCACGGCTGTGAGCACGCCCAGCGGCATGCTCTGGGAGTGGCTAGTGATACCGCAGGGTCTGAAGAGCGCCCCTGCGACCTTCAACAGGTGCGTGACGCACTTGTTGCGCTCGGTGCGCGACTTCGCACCGAGCTACTTCGACGATGTGTTCGTCCACAGCCGGGCTGCGGACGGGATGAGCGATGTTGAGATGCACAAGGTGCATCTCCGGAAGCTGCTTGCGCTCACGCCCAAGCACAAGCTCTATGCGAACCTGAAGAAGTACATCTTCGGGGCGAGCGAGACACCCGTGCTCGGGTGTCTCGTCGGGAAGAACGGTGTCCGCCCTGACCCTGAGAAGGTCAGAGTGATCAATGAGTGGCCGACGCCGTCGAACGTCAAGGAACTGCGGCAGTTCCTTGGCTTGGTCACGTACTTGTGCAAGTACGTGAAGGACTACGCGGGCATGATACGCCCGCTGTGACAGCTCCCGAAGAAGGACGCCGAGTGGGTTTGGACTGCTGAGTGTCAGCAGGCCTTCGATGCAGTCAAGCGGGGCTTGACTGAGGCGCCGATCTTGGCGGTGGCCGACCAAGATCGCCCATTCCACGTTGTGTGTGACGCATCCGACTTCGCAATCGGATGTGCGTTGATGCAGCACGATCACGAGGGCCGTGATCGTGTCGTCTACTACCAATCGCGTCAGCTGAAGCCAGCTGAGCGCAACTACCCAGTACATGACAAGGACCTCCTTGCCATGAAGTACGCACTCGCGAAGTTCCGAGTGTATCTACTTGGAAGCAAACCATTCGTGGTCTATACGGACCACGTGTCACTGCGGACGGCTGTGAAGTCGCCGCAAATCTCGCAACGGATGGCGAGATGGCTCTCATTCTTCGCAGAGTATAACTTCCGGGTTGAGTACAAACCCGGAAGACTCAATGTGGTGGCCGACGCGCTCTCGCGTCGACCTGACTACACCACGACTGATGCCGACGTCAATGCCATTGACGCCATGCGATCGAGCACCCCGACGTCGTCACTGTTGGACGACGTGAAGGTCGCGTACGCGCACGACGCGGACGCGAAGCTCTTGCTGGCCTACGGCTCAGCGCCTTATGGCCAAGCTCGTCAGTTTACACTTCTTGGGAGTCAACTTTCGATGTCGACTGCGGACCATCCGCAGACGGACGGGCAGACCGAGCGCGTGAACCGCGTGCTCGTAGACGTGCTTAAGAGCTACACTCACTCGTTCCAACACTGGAGCGAGTGCCTGCCGATGGCGGAGTTCGCCATCAACAACTCGGTGTATGCCTCGACCGGGCATACACCGTTCTACGTGAATGCCATCAGGCACCCACGCCTCCCGAGTCTACTCGGGATGGTGGCTCCTTCCTTAAGTGGGGGAGGATCTACGACTGCAACGCAGCAGCCGCAGAATGCCGCTGACACTTGCACAGTGTCAGCCGCGACTACGCGCAACAAGAAGAAGAAGCACGCGTCTGTGCAGGTCACAGACGTCGACAAGAGCAACAACAAGAAGAAGAACGGGTCTGTGCAGGGCACAGACACCGCGAAGACGAACGCAGAGGCCGGACCTACTGCTAGAAACGAGCTGAACGAGTTCAGCTCGGACTCAATCAACTTCGTGCAGCGCAGACAAGCCATCATTCGGTTTGGCCAAGACGCTATCGCAGCTTCTGTCGGTCGACAGAAGCTGAACGCAGACAATGTTGGTAAGGGCAACACTAATGAATTCAAGAAGGGTACATTGGTTTTGTTAGCAACTCAAAACCTGCCTAAACATTCCGTTTCCGACGTCGGGGCGAGCAAGCTCGCTCCGTGCTTCATCGGGCCGTTCACGGTGTTGGCACGGCATGGCAACACCTACACGCTAGATATTCCATCTAGCATGCGCC